TCATTCGAACCACATAGCAACTGTAACGGCTGCCTGGTTCCGTTGTGACCCGAAAAAAATACAACAAAAACTACATGATCCTTGAGGACTTGTCTTAATTCACATGCCAGACTCGCTCCTTGTCTAGCCATTCTTCGATGCCTTTGGCTCTTTTCTCAGGTGGTGGCGGATTGTGGGAAGCAGTTATCAATCCACGGAAATTAGAAGCGGCTGAGAAAGGCTCTGTCATTTTCCCTGGTCGTGGATAGAGAAACTGTTGAGAAAGGCCCTATGTTGCCTGGTGGGTAGAGAATCGGTTGTTATTCCACCGAAATGACAGAGCCTATGACTATGAGTGAGTGAGTGAGTGAGTGAGTGAGTGAATGAATGTACCCACTCCAGGGGTTTGAAAGACTACTCCTCGACTACTTTTTCTTGCATGAATAGAGAATCGGATATTATTCTTCTACCGAACTAAGCACAGAGCCTAGCCTCCCCGCCTGAGTAGAGAGGCGGTTTTATTCAATTTAACCACAGAGATGACAGAGGCTAGCTTGTTCTTCTACGCCTGAATACGAAGGAATAGAGAAGAACCCAGGAGATTCTTCAAGAGAATGGCTCTTCTCCCTTGTAGTGGCACCGATCATGTCATGTGTATGTCCCTGCTATGGCCATTCTTGATCACCGTAGAGACAGAATGGCAGCTAACACGAGGTCAACACCCAAGCCAATGGCATTCCCAATAATACGGGTGGAGCCAAGCTAACTAGGAAGAAAAGTAAGGATAGGTAAAAAGTATATCTATATTATAAGTACAGAATTATAGTAACGTGGAAGGGTCGATCTTCTTCATGGTAAATTAAAATTTCTATTTCTTTGTGCCGTAACAACAGCACAGTCAGCAAGCATGTGATCGAGAAGTAGCCAAAATCTCTGCTGGTTCAAAGCCACCCACAACCTCTCCTCCAACGCCAACCTAAATAAGCGCTTCTCCACTCGTTCTTGCTCGAGGAACTTTAGAGAAAGTGAAAGACTCAGACTCAAAATATTGATAGGTCTCGTAGACCCAAAACATAGTGGAGAGTCGTAGTACAGGAAGAAACCAAAACATAGTGGGACGATCCTGTCTACTTTCATTGTAAAAAACAAACGTGGTCAGAGGAAGTCACAAATCGATCCTGCTGAGGAAGAAACAAAAAAATAGTGGAGAGAGGTGATCCTCGGGTCTTGTGCATATGTATAGGGTCTATGGAGTATGCAACCAGCCACACCTCCACTTTCAGCTTATCACCGATTCTCATCTTGCTTATCTTCTTACCCAATTACTTGATGATCTGGATCTCTTCGGCAATCTCTGTTCTAAGATCTTCATTTTTCTGATCAAGTTCAAGATCATGTACTTACTTACTACTTATTCAAGCCTTATAAAAGACTCCGCATCCTGCTCGCCTTCGATAAAAGAGGGTTTTTCTCTTCTACTTTTTCTCCTTGCGGCTTCTTTATTCTTCTTATCGGATTCCGCTTTCGCCTTTAGGTTCTTGAGACCCTTAATTTAGAGCCCAAAACATTTCAGTCTCAGGAGAAGGAACGATCTACTGCACGAAATGACTCGTAGAAGTCCCTAGGTTAGGTTAGGTTGTGAATCCTGCACATCAAAGCCCCCCGGCACCTGGCTTGACTCCGAGGATGTATACGCGACCTGAGTAAAGTCAGCGACGAACACCGAGGCATGTGACCTGAGTAAAGTCGCTGCCATTAAACATGACCGATGTCCAAGTGGAAATATGTACATTGAGCCTTAACTGTCGGCTGCCTTCCGCAATGCTGTAATTACCACCTTCCGTTCCTCATCTGTCGAGACCTCAATCGACGCCTTGACGTTCTGCTTGAAACAATGCAAGTTAGAGGTTCTTGTCTTTCATCATTTCAGTCACTGAAGACATGATCATGTGCCATCTTCAAGTGACTAAAGAGCACGCAGAAGCACTTCGGTCTAGAGAAGCTCACAACAACTACTAGTAAAAGCAGTAGCTCATCTAAATACTCTATTTAAATACTATAAAAAATCCCCGAACACTCTTCGCCTTTAATGTGAACACTAAAGGACCCCTAAGACGCCTTTAGTGTGAATGCTAAAGGACTCGCCTCCCCTTTAATGTGAACACTAAAGGACCCTTGAGGCGCCTTTAATGTAAACACTAAAGGACCCTTAAGGCGCCTTTAATGTAAACACTAAAAGACCCCTAAGACACCTTTAAAGTAAACACTGAAGGGCTTTCATGTGGGCAGCAGATGCCCTTGAGGAAGAACAAGAACAGCAACAACAGCAAGAACAACAGCAAGAACAACAGCAAGAACAACAGCAAGAGCGAGAACAACAACAACAGCGAGAACAACAACAACAGCGAGAACAACAGCAAGAACAACAGCGAGAACAACAGCAAGAACAACAACAACAGCAGCAGCAGCAGCAAAAACAACAAAGACAGCAAGGACAACAACAACAGCAGCAACAACAACAACAAGAGCAACAACAAGAGCAACAAGAACAAGAGCAACAACAAGAGCAACGACAGCAACAAAACAACAGCAGCAACAACAAAGCAGCAGCAGCAAAGCAACAGCGACAAAACAGCAGCAGCAAAACATCAGCAACAAACAGCAGCAAACAGCAACAAACAACAACAACAGCAACGCCAGCGACTATTTACATACTACGAAAAACCCCCGAGCACTAATGTGAACACTAGGGGACCCCTAAGACGCCACTAATGTGAATGCTAAAGGACTCCCTTCCCCTTTAATGTGAACACCAGAGGATCCCGAAGGCGCCTGTAATGTAAACACTAGAGGGCCCCTCGCCTTTAATGTAAACACTGAAGGACCCCTAAGACGCCTCTCAAGTAAACACTGAAGGCCTTTCATGCTGCCACATTTTCAAGGGGAATCGGTGGCAGTACTGCCACCTTCCTCTTGTATTTAAAGCCTGCGCGCTCCCGCTCCCCTTTGCCGCAGCGCGGAGGGGAGTGCGCGCCCTTCGGGCGCCCGTTTCACCTTGTGAAACCATTCACCCCTGCCCACGTCCCTAAAGTATCCCTTTCCCTTCCTTAACGTCTCCCGGGGCACCCGGGCCCGGGGAGTTATTAATATACATAGAAGACTTACTCTGTGAAAGGTATGATGAATCACTGAGACAGAGTAAAAAAATTTAGATTTCGTGTACTCTGATGTCTTCACGTTGAATTCCAAAATTACTCCATACCACAGCAACATTAATGCAAAACTCACTTACACGAAGCACAAAGCCTTAAGCAGGTCTCGCTTTCTCGCCTCCTCTTGTTCCATTGCATTCTTCGGTTTTTTGATATACGCTATCATTTCCAGCATCTTCCGGAGCTCAATTTTAGAGTGTAACCTATCCTTGAGGAGGACCGAGTTGCCCTTCAATCTATTTCTCGATGTACTCTCATTTTTTCTCTTTCTACGTAGTAACTTTTACCCTTGTATTTCAGGCTAGTACAACACCTACAAGAACTGCCTACCAGTCACTATTCTATTATGTGCATCCCAAATAGGCAGATATCACTAATACAAAGATGTTCTTGACAATGAAGACACTAGCTAATCCTCAGTAGATTTTTCGCATAACCTTCTCGTGTTCCGAAACTCTGGATCTCAGCGTCTTCATCGTGATAGTCCCAGGCTTTCCGTTGCCAGCCCCTCCGACAGGGCCAGATTTTCGTTCTTTCGACGAGTCCTCGAAGATTAGATGACGTGAGGATGCGGTCTATAAGACGCCACATATCGGATAACATGGATTGAATTAGGCACTTATAAAATAAACGGCGTATAGGATATGAGCATCGGATAAGTAGAAAGGAGAGGATAGGAAAGTATACACATCACCTCGAAGCTTGTCTCGTAGAAATGATGTGGTCGCGTCGAACATCGTTTCATCATCTGCGTCCCTTGCAGGTGCATCTTCCCCTCCTGAGGGTAGCAGTTCCGCGAACGCTGTCGCATCCTCATCAAACACATCATCGTCTTCGCTGTCATCCTCGAGGAGTACCTTCTCGTTCATCTGTTTTCGATCACCTGGAAGCCCTTCTACGGGGTTTTGACCCTTGCTTGCTGCCCTTGAAGATGACTCCGACTCCCTTGATGTCGCTCTCCGGTTTACAGTACTAGTGGCAGCGCCGTTTGAGGGTAGGAACGCAGAACCAAGGAAGTAAACGGGCCATAAGACCACAGGTATCGCACCAGATACACAGACAGCCGTGGCCAGGAACAACAACAACGCCACGAGTTAGAAGCGGAGAGAAGAGAAGTGCAGAAGATCGTGCATCATACTATAACAAATAGATACTGTACTTATTATACAAGGGGAAAGGGCATCGAGATGCTGAGCAAGATGAACCAATAAAGGTGACCATAAACGAAGAATGACGATGAGGAGGCACTGGTCAGCGTAAACCCAGGATACGATGTGCTGGAGGCAGCACGACGACGGTCAAGGCCCATCTTGATCTTCAGCAGTACGGCGGACCTCGATGTAGAGCTCATCCTGGTCCTTCCGATGCTAGTCGGCTTCCCCATCTTATTCGGTGCAATGCCTCCTGGCTTCCCCATTGTGGAAGCCCAGAGGCAACTTCCTCTGCAAGAATCCCTTGCACGTAGATGTCCTCGTCACACAGAGGACGGAAACGGCAAGGAAAAAAAATTCATATTAAATTACAATTGTTCATCGGTAATCGTAATTCTTAATTTCAAAAACTTTTTTAAGTCAAGGAAAACATAGCTAGGGCTCGCCAGCGACGGCGACGAGCCCCGCCACGCACGGGTCCTCTCATAATTCTCTCCATATAAGCTAAAACCTGGATAGATGGAAATCGATGGATTGTTTTTCATTAGATGGATCAAATTAGGAAGTCTAGTCAACAGAAGTTTCGATCCTAGGCAGCTAATCCCAGACCACCAAGAAAAGCTCCAGCAACACACGCATTCGTTCAACAAACATAAAAGGTGCTCATAACTTGTTTCTTTAGGTAAATTCGAAACCAATCAGTGCGCTGTGTAGAATGCAACGATCCATCACATTTGCATCAAGTAATGACATAATACAACAGAGTGCTCGACGGGTACATTTTAAAAAAAAGGAATACGGGTAATGCAAAAGCAATCGATGTTGTTTACTTAGATTGAAATGGTACTGAAAATCTGTTCTGTCACTAAGTACCTCTTCCCTTCTACTATTGTACAATTTCTACAATGCAGTTGAAACTTGATTCACCACGCCCTCTTCTCCCACACCCTCTTCTCCCCAAAGCCTTGTTCTCACGTAGTTCCAAACTCTTTCGTAGTCCACTGCGCCATCGCCTTTGTATGCCGCGCAAGCTGCCGTAGTGTCTCGATTGTCTCCTCCCGTACTAGGGAACAAGGAACTACCAACTTTCTTGACGACCTCGAAATACGGAATGCTTATCGTCGACAACGATTGTACTCCTGGAAGGCTTTCATCTCCAGTCTTCTGCCCATTTTCGAGTCCACCACTTGAACTTTGCTCTTTGATCCATTGTCCACCCATCCGTCTGTGAACCGCACACAGGCGCTCCAACATCGCCCGTTTCGCGAGAGTACGTCCTAGAGGCCTTGATAGGCCAGGATAGAGACAAAAGTGTGCGGGACCATCTACCTCGAACAGAATGGTCCACGACCTTGAGGATGATTTTTCTTCGTGTAGTAGTTCCAAAACGAAATCCACAGACAGTCCGTACCGCTTTTTCCATTCCAATGCTAGAGAACTTGTAATTAATGAAGATGAGCTTGAGCGGAACCTCAAACCCCCTCCTCCACCAAAGCTAACCTCGGGCGCTGTTAAAAAAGCACGGATATTGCGTTCCATCTGTGAACCACCGGTTTCACTGTTGTCGCTAGGCTTGAGCAGTTGCAGCTCTGGTCGCTGGTGCTGGTTGCCAAGAAATTCAAATCTATCCTCCTCTCGTCCGGTCATGGTGCTGATGTCCGTGTCATTCAGAACCAAAACCGGAGCCAACATCCGCCACTCAGGGATTCGACCAGTGGGTTGTAGCTTTTTGATTTCTTCTAACCGGGTCCAAAGCCATGCAGGAAGCCTCGAGCGTCTTGATGTTGATCCTTTTGAGTACTTTGTAGTACTACAGCTCACTTGCAAAAGCGTCAAAGCGTAACTTAATTGCAACAGCCTTCGCGGGGAGCCGTCTCCTTCCGCACCTGGCAACCAAAATCTTTCCGACTCTTCCGAGAGCAGCCATTGCAATACGCTTTTTTCGGATTTCGTCGTTGTCATCTCGTGTCCTAGAGTCGCTGCTGCCAGGAGGATGCGGATGGCATCGGTTCGACGTATGTTAGACCCAAGAGAAATCCATCTTGAAACGCATCTTAGAACCTTTTTCCCCTTGAAAACGGTCTCAGGATGCACGTGAAGATGGATTTCTTGTAGCCTTAAGTATGGACATGTCGTCCAGTCTCCTAATGCCTTCGTTACATAATTCCTGGCAATAGAAACTGAGCTTTGCACAGGCTGCAAGAAGCTTCCCGATGGAGTCATTTGCTGCGAACTCGTAGTTGCAAGTACAAGCACTAAAGGCCTCTACTAACTCCTCAGTGTGTTTCCAATTCCAACGGTGGGCTGCGGCTCCCTCGTTGCACATTGCAATCGATTCCGCCAAACTGGCAAGAGGTGCTGCATCATCATTGCGTAATAAAGCCTCGTCAACGTCGAGGCTTGATTCTTCTGCTCCGGCAAGCTCTACTTTCTTCGCGCAAGAATCGGCAACTTCACGCAGCAACCCTCGATAGCCAGGATGCCAATGCAAGGCTCTTTGTCTGCGCAAGAACTCACGCTCCTCAGCTCGATCACAGTTCCGTCGTCTTCCTTCCTGAAGCTTCTCTGCTAAACCGGAGAAAGTGTCTCGTAGATCTTCAAGCTTAGTACAACACGACCCTCTTCGAAGGAGTGCAAGCGTGGTAGAGGGAGATGAAGAAGTAGAGGAGCAAGAGGAGGTCTTCTCCCTAGAAGTATAGGAGCAAGAGGAGGTCTTCTCCTTAGAAGTAGAGGAGCAAGAGGAGGTCTTCTCCTTAGAGCAAGTCGCCCTCGTCTGACGCGAGCATTCTTCCAGGCCAGATTCTTCATCAAGAAAACGTTGCCACAGCAGATTTTGCGCAGAGGGACTAGTGGCACATAGACCCTTGCTCCCATGCGGACCACGAGGTGGAGGTCTAGGAACGAGTGCAGCTGCGCGCATGGTGAAGATTGGCGCTTTCAAATACGATGTTCTCTCCCTCTCTAAAATAAACTCTCGGATCCCTTTGTCCTCTTCATCTAACCTCTACTAGTAGAAGTTGAAGGAGTGATTCACGTCTCATCTACTAAAGTCCTCAGCTATATCTTCATTCTCTCGATAGTATCCTAGGAAATGTCAAACTAGAACGTTTGTGTCCGTTGATCGACCTCCAAATCGCTGTAGAAAGATCTCATGACCCATTCAGCTACGTGAGTTGTCTCTACATGGTCGCTACAAAGTTCATTGTCCGTTCGATCGAACACACGACATGATCACTGAAAAGTGATAGTCTGACTTCGCGAACCTAGAAGAAGGCAGCCTCTGGCTCCCTTCCTTGTGCACGCCAGCTGTGGGCAAGAGCTAGAGGACTTGTGTCATGTCCTCACATGGATCCTGCTCTGTTATGTGTTATACTAACACTCTCGAGGACTTCGGCGCTACAATTTCTTTTCACAACGTGCTATCAATTTGAGCTATCAATTCATGATGTTGCTGCTCAACATGTTGTCCATTCTCAGGTTTAGCTATCCTTCCTTGCTGCTCCTTATCGTTCCTCCGTTGTCTCTCTCTCCAAAGGCGATGACGGTCTGCCAGCGCCGCAAGTCGAGGTCTAAACTCATCATTTTCCCATAATCTCTTTGCTAGATCGTCGACCATATGGGTACGATGCATGGCTAATTCTGAAGCGACCACATGCTTCAACTCGGTTTGAATTTGAGACGCTACTTGTGCAGATGTGCTACATGAGGGTACTTCTGTGGTAGGTTCTGGAGATGAAGAGGAAGATGACGAAGATGCAGTGCTAAGTGTGAAAAAGTGTCTAGCCTCCGTGGTCTGTGCTAGTTTCGCTTCCGAGAAAGGTGCGCTCTGAGAACCAGATGTTGCATTCCTCTGTCCGGCTATTGCGGATGTGCTCACGAATGGCCTCGCGGCGGCATAAGTTTCTGATTCCGATTGTTCCATCGTTCTTCTATCTACAGAACAAAAAACCTCCGAAAATTTTCAAACTAGTACTCTCACTTATTTTATTCATAGAGAATATTAATATTTCCACTCCTCTAGAAGTAGAAAAACTACGTTGCAGCGATCTCCGTCAACCTGCTTTCCTGATCCTCCTCGCAAACTCACTGCAAATCTTCTATCGATGAAACATCACGAAAACACCTGTAGAACCGCCAGACAGAACAATAGTTGTAAGAGCAAGCACTGGAGGTCCTTTGTAAGTATTTCTTTGTATCAGTTCTACCAAACAGTCCAAATGGTCATCTTTTCGTCGCAAAAAGCATTGGTTCTTTCATTATGACGTCTCTATTTTCAGCTATCAGTCGTGCAGGACTAATCTTCGTGTCGAGCTTGTCTGTTTCTCGCGGAAAAAACAGCTTCGGAGTATCCAGCTTCGTTGTGGCGGCGATTAGAGGCGGATGGAAGTACTCCATCTAAGTTGAGGTGCTGATGTGTCTACTACAATGAATTGTTTGAGAAAGAAAAAGCCTGATGAGAATAATCAAACTCCTACAACACAAGATCATAAGTAAATTAGTAAATCTGTAAAGCTAGGTCTAGCATGAATGGTGCAGGTGATCATGCCAGCCTTAAGGCAATATCATCCAATTGGCCGCTTCGTCTTCTCCTCGCACCAATGCCACTAGACTCCTCCTGCACCCGACTCGGCCTCGAAGAAGGTGCACCTCCTCCTTTCGTCTTCTCAGGCGAGTCTGCACTACTAGAAGTCTTCTTCTGCGTCAGTGCATACAACAATGGCAGTCTAGATTGATTACTGCCTCCTCTCGCATCCGCGTTATTGGTCACGTCGCCTACCTTGAGTTCGTCTGCGATGAACCGGCGATCAAACACTCGAGTTTCTGGATGTCCGGACTCAGCTAGAAAAACGGACAGAGTGTGGAAATTCTGATTGTACCTGGACGAGAGATATGGGGGACGATGAGAGAGGCCATCATTTGGTCAGCCTTGGTCGTTATGTCTATAACTGTGCAAGAACACATGATAGCTGCATCAGGATGAACATATTTATAGGAATTTCTCAATAAGGATGGCGTATCAAAGAAATATTACGAAAGAAAAAACTAGTACTCCAAATATTCCCGTATCAGTTCGTTAATGATCAAATTCGGAGTCGGTATGTCGGGTCTTGAGGCTGTTTTTTCATCCAAGCTGCAAAATATCTCTTTCTGCACCTGAGCGCGCATCTCGCCTAGAACCCCCTTCGCCTCGAGGGTCTCCATCAAGGCTTCTTTGAGATCGAGGAGAGAAGCCATCTCGTTAAGTGGTTGAAGCTCCTCTTCAGAATCACTCTACTAACTCCAGCAGATCACTTCAACTTCTATAAAGCAAAACAGTTCGCTTTTTTTTTTGTAGTGCGAGCGAGTTCCGATAAGTCAAAACCTACCTGCGTATTTTCCGCGTAGCTACCGGCGTTCGGTTAAAAACACTCGTTTTACATACAAGAACTAGTTCTGGTTTCATCTACTATGCTTATCTGATTGCAGATCATACTGTACGAAATTCTGAGCTCCTTTTCCGTATCAAACCATGGGAAAGTGACCCAATTTCCTTTTCGATCTCTCATCCAGCACACTTTCAGTTTCTTGTTCTCTATCCGATTTTATTATGAACAACCACTGGCGTGGGACCTCCATCCGTCAACGGTGAGTCTTGGCTTCGCCTTCGCGCCACAAGATCCTTTGTTAATATCATACGTTGTAGGTGTTTGTTTCAACGCAAAGTGGTGTATAAATCAATCCATCCCAGTCGTCAAAGCATCTCACTCAGGACCCCGCATCAACAACGACGCGTGGCAAAATTTCCTCTGTATAAATCACTCCATCCCAGTCGTCGAAGCATCTCATTCAGGACCACCCCGCATCAACAACGACACGTGGCAAAATTTCCGCACAAATCTACTAGAGTACCCCATTCAGCCTCTGCATCACTTCCTTACACCTCACTGCTATACCCTGGAATTCTTTTTCGGAGCTACAGAATTCTCTTACCCTAGGCAAAAATTTATCAGGATGCCACCTCAACAGGAGTTTCCTTCTATCCAGCTGAAGCAGAGCCACTTGGTGCTTCTGCAGTTCCGCAATAGAGGGCCAAGGCACATCTTTTATGGTGAGCTTGCCGCGCCGCATCTCTGTGTTGGACGTGAACGACTGCCATAGTTTTTCGTCTCGGGCTACGAGAGCAGTGAAGTGTTCAGCGGAAGAACTCGCTTTTGTACTAGAAGATGACGCGGCTGTTCGAGGATCGTTTTTCCGAGATCCGTTCTGTGTTCTGCCAGACGTCTTAGTGTAGTTGTACCTAGTACGTTCAGAGGGTTTATAAGTGAAGCCTTGCTTGTCTCGATAGGTGTCCTCTTGCTTCTCACTGTCCTTACTTCGAGCTCGATCCCGATCTCTACTCCCATGATCAGGCGAAGCACCAGGACTCTCGTAGCCAGCATCGCGACCAGAGTAGCTAGAAGAAGTCTTGAATGTTGAGAAATCTGCGAAGCCTTCGCCATACTTCCTCTCGAAATCGTCTCTGTCCATGTGAGAAGTAGAGCCTCCGGGCCTGGCTGGTCCTATGAATGACGAGCCAGCACCAGCAGGTGAACCCGTAGAACCACCAGAGCCACCTTTTCGTTTTTCTTGCTCTTTCGTTTGCGACTGTTGTTCCTTCGATAATCTGTCGTAGATGTTCTGCTCCATATTCCTCTTCTGTCGCAAAGCTTCTTCTCTGGCTTTCGCAGCTTGTTCTTGGCCATAGGCGTCTCGTTTACGCCGTTTTGCGTCCATGAATTCCCTTACATCATCGGCCCAATGAGCGGAAGAGCCAGATTCTTGAAACGAGTCGAAGTACGACGTATAAGTCTGCTGCTGGTGCTGCATTTCATTTCGGGATGATGTACCTGCTGATGCGCTACTTCGTTTGATGTTTCCACCTGGTGTACCGCCACCGTTTTTCCCATTACCCCTTTTCATCTGCGAATAAAATGGATTATCCTCTTCAAATTGCCCAGTATCTTCATCGTCACGTAATGTACTCAAGCCTATACCAGAACGATTCAAGCGTCTCAACAACATCAATTCGTCTGCTTCTTCATCCTTTTGCCAGACGTCAGCCCAGGATGGTCCTCTATTCTTACGACCTCGCAAATTCTTGCTAGACGCATCATGCGTACTAGTTGTCGTGGAACCAGCTGAGACAGAGGCCGCCGATCTCCCAGCACCACGTGGAACATTTTCAAACTCGTCTTGCTCACCTCGTATCCTTCGAGGCAGCATGCGCGCTCTCAGATGTGGAGGTAGTAAATCTCGGTCTGCACCGCAGTCTTCTAGTAGACTGGCTAAGGATCCACGATAGAGGGAACATGCGAGTTCGAGGAGAGAGGTGCTAGAAGATGTTGTAGACGAGGCTGCTGAAGAAGCAAGTATTCTTTTCAGCACCTTTCCATCAGCCAAGCTTTCACAGGCGGCTAACAAAGCTTGCAACGCTTGTGAGGCGAAAGAGAGCTCTTCATGCTCGATCACGGCACGCCACAGGTGCATATCGTCGAAACCTTCACATGACTTCGGAGCGGTATCAGTCTTTGTCTTTAAGGCCTTAGAAGCTCTCGCTTTCAGTATCAAAACCCGTTCGTGCAATTTGAACAAATCGCCCTTTTCTACTGCCTTGCGTAAGTGCTTGTCCTCGATCATCTTAGAAGAACAAGCGGTCTTCTCTGTTCTGTCGTGCTTCTCTTCTCCCTGTTGTTGAAAGTCTTCATCTCCAGAGTCGATTCTCCCACCATCATCTGAGGAAGCAGAGGGTCGTTGTTTCCGTTTCTTCTTTTCCTTCTTCTTTTTCTTCTTGGAAGATTCACCGCGTCCATCACGTGAAGCTTTTTTAGACTTCTGACGCTTCCTTCCTTTGCTTCGATCTTTGCAATCGGCTTTCTTACTTTTCCTGTCGCTGATGTGATGGCCGGTGTCGCTCTCTTCATCTTGGGACTCTGATTCCCTGGCCGAAGGTCGTTTCTTCTTATCGGCCTTGCTCAGCTTCTTCTTGCGTTCCCTTCGGTCGTCGGAAGACGACGACCCGCCAGAGGTTTCCGAGCCTGAAGCGCTAGAGGACATCTTTCTTTTTCTAGTTCATGCGAGCAGTAGTTCTTGAAGATAGTAGAATCAAAAATGGGCATCTCCTTCTTCAAAACATAAAAAATCATATCCTCTTCATGTACTTCTACATGTGCGACCACCTAGAAAAGTAGGACCTCCGTAGCGGAAAAATCATGACTGCCTTTTCAGAGAATGATAATGGTCAGCAGCTTCCTCACAAGATCGCGGATCGCTATTCCCACCTTCACCTGCGAAAAAGTAACTTCCTTTCGTGCGAACCCAAGCCCGCGTTTGCAGTTCGCATCAAGCCTGCTGCAGGTCTTAACGCGGGAAACATTTTACCTTGCAAAGACCGTGAAAAACTACATTGTTTCTTTCTGCACACAGAACTCAATAGATTATCATTCATGAAAGGTACGATAGATTATCATTATGATGCAGAAAATCCTCAAAATAAGAATCCGCCATGATACTGAAAACTGTTCTATCGCGGGTAGAAAGAATCATGACATTACTGGCAACAGCGAAGAAGCGCTCTCCGAAAACTAAACCAAAAAAGAGCACACCATGTAATTCTTTAAATCTTTTCTGTACACTGCGCTGTGCAAGCCATAGCACATCATGGTTGATTCAAGTTTGAAAGGGAAAAACTTGAATACATTGTTCGTAGAAGGGTAAAAAATTTCTACCACAGGATAGATAAAGACAATGCTAAACATGCTAATTCTCACGGAAGAAAACATATACCTGTTAGGAGGTGGTGGCCACTATGGAAATAAGAGGACGAACCAGACTAGTTGGGATAACGGACCTCAATGTTCAAAAATACTAGCATGCGTTAACACAACCTACTCGGAGATGAATCAAAAACCCACATGAAAAAATCGACTACCAACTAAGAAAAAGAACTTGCAAAATGTACCACATGTGCTCCTAGTCGGCACAGCACTTATTGACACTCCTTAGTGAACTTTACTATTATAACATCTCTGCACTCCTCCCCAAAAGCACTACTCTACTGGAGGAACAACCTGTTGCGTATCGGGACACGTCTAAACAGTGTTGAGAAACAGTTGTATCAGACTAAGCTACTACTACATGATCATGGAGCTGAGTATAAAAATTCAGAAAGCTTAAATGGAGTAACTGTCTAATATCGTCCTTCTAGTGGTTCTATGCTCAGAGAATACCAGTGTGCACCACATGATTGCATCCGCCAGCTGCCGATGCGCCGCCTTTACCCGCGCCTGCGTTAAACTGAACTAAAATCGACCCGATATCGTCGCAATAGTCGCCCTCTACTTGTGCCCAACGTTTGCGACTGCTATCGATCAGGGCATTGGTTAGAAATCAGACCCAATGTACCTTCCTTATGCCTCAACTAGTACTCCTCATGTCCTCAACTATTACTTATGTCCTCAACTATTACCTAGACCTTTCTTTAGTCCTTCCTCGGGACTAGAACTCAAGTCTCTCTTAACTTATTAGTCTCCTTTACTCCCTTCAAACGCAGCTTTTTCCCGGCAAATTTTACGACCTCTTCCGCAGTAAGGAATTCCCAGATACCATCAGACGCCACTATAGCATACCATTCGTCACCAGGCTGCATCGTTACTGTTTTGTACTCCGGAATGTGGGTGATGCCTTTTTCTTGTAGCGGAAGGTGAAGGAAGGTAGCAGACAGGGGCCCGAAAGCTAGGGAAGCTAGTAGAGGTAAGCTGGTATGGAGTGAGTGTAGTCAGTGAATGAGTGAATGTACCCACTCCAGGGGTATAAAAGACTTGACGACTGATTACTTCGTTCTACATTGCTACTCATTACTTCGTGCAAGAAGTTACCTAGTATGTTATTCTTGATTCCCTTCATAAATGAAGTCTCCCAAAGCTCGGCTCATCGTCAGGCCTGGAACGTTGGTTCCCTTCAGATATATTCTGTAACTCCCCTCCGCAATTTCACGCACCTCAGCATCCCCTGACATTTCTACTTGCTCTTTCTCCGTCTCCGGCACATGTGCCCGAGAGGAGAAAACCTCCGTACTGTCGTGCCGGTTGTACGATGCGAGGAGGATATCTGGAGGTTTTGTTGAATATATTATGGGGGAAAAAGAGAAGGTTCTGATGTTCAATATAGAGGAAAAAGTAGCTGGAACAGTAGGACTCATGTTGTCGCTGAAGTATGGAGTACTCGGATGTTCGTCATGGAGAGGTGAACAAAAAGGAAGTTTATTAGTACTCGAGTCCCCAACCCACGCTAGGTGGATTTGTTGTTCATGTCGGATCATGACAGCAGCAGTGGTACCAGAAACGTCAAAGTTTACGTTCTCTCTGGCAGAAAATTGTCCCAAATCCTCCATACTCTTGGCAAAGGCGTCCTTTAAACACTTTTCCCAGTCGACCACTGTGGAGTGATGGTGGGGGCCGAGGTCGTATTGATTGGGTTGTAGCCGTTCTCGTTAGAGTAATTTTGATCTGTTAGTACCTATTGACTTCAAGAAATTGGTGAATAAAAAATATAGGTATAGTACAACAGTGCGAAAGAGTACTTAGAAGTACTGTAATGTTCGCTCTTCAGCACGAAATGTGGCAACGTCTGCGCCGTCCGTAATGACACAATATGCCCAAAAGGTCCGTGCCCGTCACACACACCCAGGAGCAAGGTTCCATCCGCCAATGAGTGGTAAAACAAGTTGTCTTGATTCGGTGTCGGATCGAATGCATGTTTCTGTCCTTTCTGCAGGACAATAGATACTGCGGTCGGGCCCTTCAACTGCGAGGGCACAGAGTAGGAATAAGAGGCGCTGACCGGTGCGGAGGTGGGAGAGGTCGGCTCATCTGAACAATGGTGGCGTTATGGTTGCATAGATTGGCAAGGAGAATAAGTTGTTCATTCTCTTTCACAATTCCAAGCCTCAAAGGAACAAACTCACAAACAGGAAGTAGTAGTAGCTAGTGAACGATTATACGCTTCGCGATGACGGTGGAACTTATGCTCATGCAACGAGGGTACGAGAAGATCACAATCTGAATGAAGAGACATGGGAGAGGAAGAACCGCCTGGCTACGCCTAGCCCAAAGAAAGACCCTGTCTGATACCTCCCGCGAAGAAGAAAAACCATACACGACCAAGCGACAACCAGCAGGGGAGCCACGGGGGCCACCCGCTCACCCCGGCGGACGTTTGGCCTCGCTGGGCCGAGGCCTGCTGCTATAAAGAAAACAGCCCATCCGCTTGCGGTCGGCTACGCGGGCCCGCTGAGGCTTAGCCCAATGCTGAGAGAAAGGGCAGAAGCGCCGCACGCGTGCCGGAATCTAGTCTCTCGCCCATGTTTCTGCCGCATCCCTCGCAAGCTCCAGCCACAACCGCGTCCGCGGCCCTCGCCTATTTACACACCCCCCGGAGCTCAGCACGCCATCGCTTTCCAGCACCCAGGTGGCCCCTCGCCTCTTGGCAAGCCTAAGCCCGTGGCGGAGGCCCGGCAAACACGCAAGGCGCCCCCCTTCCGCACAGCCGCCGAGTTCGCACGGCCATCGCCTCCCATTTTGCTGCCTGCTTCCCATCGCTCTTCCCCCGTTCCCGCCTCAACACGATACCCCGAACCGCGCCGAGCCCTCAAGCTTTGCCACCGAGCAGGCCCCTAGTACCCTCGCCAGAGTTGGCGCCACCTCCAAGCGTGCCCCCCGCGTTGCCTTATCATTTTTCGGCAGCCTACACACCCGCAAGCCCATCGCGCTCCTTTTCGAACGCCATGAAGCCAGTGCCCCCACCTGGTAGCTGTGTGCGCTTTGGTGGTAATTTCAACCCATCAGCAGACGGGTACCCGGTAAAGATTTTCCGCAAGTTCTGCCGGCTTCGTGCTCATGAAACACTCAACGGCATGCACCGCCCGCGGCTTTCACATGTCAGCCCGCCCGTGGCTCCTGCAGCTGCTCGGCCGCGCCCACCAGGCTAAGCGCCACGGGCTGCCCCTCCAATTCTTTGGGTGCTGTTCTTTCCCGGGACTTATACCCCCCTGCGCGCATTCTGAGGGTAGCGGCATGCTTCAACCCTTGAGCCTTGGCAACAAAGTGGCCAACTTTATCGCCTCGGAGTGGTTTTCCTAGCTAGTGTCTCGGCCCCTTTTCAAACGTAGAGGCGGTAAGGCAAGGCAAGGCGAGAATGGAAATATATCGCTCGAGCCAAAATCATGCCTCTATAAAAGTGAAGTACCACCCACCGCCACCGGCGCCTCTTGCTTCGTGACTTTTTCTCCCGTCACAATTGACAGAGGCTTGTCATCTTTGAATTTTTGACTGGCACGCAATTTTCCAAACACCGATATGGCGGTGCCTCTGATGGTAAAAGCGTCATTCGGCTCAACCAATGCTGGCCGCTTGAAATCGGCTTCGATCTGTGGTGGGGGTTGGGGAGAATTAATAGGCAACACTGTAAATGATAGAAGCAATACAGTGCTACAAGATCGTCAAAGCTCGCCAACGCGAAGGAAGTACCAAAAAATGCAGATCTTCAAAACTCACAAAAACAGGCATTCACAAATTCACTACCTTCTCCTTCAACGTTTCCGGCTCTTTTTCTTCGAGCATGACCATCATCCCCCTAGCAGCATTAGTCGGAGACGTCGATTTTCGGAGAGCTGCATTGTCTGCGCGGACTCGATACCGTCTTTGAGAAACTACTTTCTGCGTAGCCACAACACCGCTGGTTCGCTTGTTGGATGTCTGAATAGGTTGTCGCGGTACCGTGTGTGTGAGTGTGAATTTATCCCCGGATTATTAGACCATAATTTTTCCCGAGGCTTATATGGTCAGAACTGATCTACTATTGCCAGCACGGAAATAACTGAAAAGAAACGACATCATCGTACTTTGAATCAAAACCCAATCAACCATGTGAGGATAAAAAAGTAAAAACCACTGGTTCCGCATCGTCCTCATCAACGCCTGAGCAAAAGTCTTCGTATTTTCGATAGTTGTCGACATTTCGCTTTAAGATATCTCGTATGGGACCTAAGATACGTCGAAAACTGTGAGAATCCACCATCAACAAAACCGTCTCCTTTCCGGTTGCGTAGACGCTGGCTTGAGGTGTTAGAAAAGGGGCATTTCATCTTTGACAAGTTGTAACGAAGCAAGTGGCTCTAAAAGGTTGAGGTGGAGGTGGAGTGAGCCTTCTTGGTTAAGTAGGTTAGGTTACAGGTTATATTTGTGGCGGAGCCGACCTAACTAGAAAAAAGACAGACCAGAGGAAGATAGAAAAGAGAAAAGGGTAACTATCGGCATAACCTCGGTGTATTATTCAGCAACGCAATTTCCCCAAAGTAATCCGCCACCCCATACTGCATCACCTCCAGCTCTTCCTCGCCGTCTTTCTGGATACACGCTACACAAGACCCCTTGAGAACAATGAACATGCTGTTATCGATCGCACCTTGCTCGATCACCGCCTCATCCATCTCGAAGTCCTCCTCTTGAACGACATCAGCTAATCTGGCGAGCTCGCTTTGCGAAAGAGACTCGAAGATGTTCACTTGGGTGTTAGAGAGGAAAGAGGGGTGGAGTCGAAGTGAAGAAGGTACTTCGACTTGTTGTACGATTTTTCTTTTTGCTATGCTCTACTATTTTGGCGGTACGTAGGCAATGATCTATCCACAAAGTGCAAGTAGTATCTTCAACTACAATTACAGGTGCCGGGAATTCATCTCATGGATCATCTGGGTCCCTTTTTCCTCTTGTCTTTCTCTTCCAGATGACTTTGGAGATGAATTCCCTACACCCATAATACAACAAGGGTTGCTACTTACTATCTGAGAACGAAGTCCTTCACTCGCTCCATAATCTTCAAAAAAGCGATGTATTCTTTCATCTTCTCCTCTTGTGCTGTGACCACAAGCATCCTAAAGGCCTGTCGATCCAGCCTCCACACTTCGCTGTCTTTACTGGCTCGAATCGTCGCTGAGCGGGGCGCATTATACAACAAAGCCAACTCCCCAAAAGCAAAGCCAGGACCAGCTTCAAAAACCTTCTGGCCCAGTGCTGGCAAAGCTGCTCCAGAAGGGGTCGAAGATGATGAACTACTAGACGAATTCCCGGCACACAACGCACCACTGCTGCTGCGCACGTAGATGTCAAACTGACCTTCGTTCACGATGTAGAAAAAATCGCCTTCTTCGTCTTGTCGGATCACGTCAGTTCCGTTGCTGATTTTCCGTAGTTCTACAGCATCGATCACTTTTTCTAGTGTTGTTTCACTAACCTGACCAAACAGCATGTGCATTTTTCCGTCTTTCGACCTTCGGATAAGCCCTTTCAGCTTCACACGTTCCTCTGCTGTCTTCCCGAAACAAGGAGGGACCGAGAATTAGCGAGGCCTCTTGGGCTGGGGATCTTGGTCAGAGGTGGAAAAAAAAAAAACCTCCAATTCTGAACGAGAAGAGACATGCGCACGCGTGCATCCGAATCAGAGTCGGGTGCACACGTTCTTGACGTATCAACATCATAGATACCAAAAGGATGGACACTGTAAGAGAAAGACCAGAAATCATAACAATTCTTCATCTCAGCTTCGGTCATTTTTTCGGCTGACACCCCAATCCTTCTGTCAGTCATCATTCGCTGCATTCGTTCCACTTCTGATTCGTCAATATCAGCCTCGCTATCACTAGAAAACTGACTCTCGTTCGAATGCTGAGAGTTCTGGGAATGGCGGACCTGGAGCATGTTGATTGAGAAATTTTACGCTTACGTAACTAATACACTGTAATAGATACATCCTCGTCCTACGTTGACAAAAGATATCGCGCTAGCGGTAAGTCATCGAGCACATGTATACGTTCAGAAGTCTAGTACCGAGTTCTTCCTATTCCTTTTCCTCATCTTCTCGAGCAGAAACACTGGCACGTTTTGCGGTCTGGAAGTGAGACAATCGTACGTAATCTGCCACAACATTGGGGACACCTCTTTCTGCACATACTCGCGTCGTTGCTGTTGAGTAACGCCACCATTTTTAGGCGAACTTGCTCCAGCCGCCGATGCCTTTGTTAGCGATCAAAACGATAGAAACAAACACCTTCTACCTCCAAAATCGTTCTCAGCATCCGCAAGAATGAAATAGATAGCAGCAAGAACCCACACACCTACCTGTGAAGATGAAGATTGTGATTAACTAGAACTATTTTGAGTCTCCATAACTTTGCAGGCACATTTGTACCCCCAACCTCCTTGGCAAGCCACTCAAGAACGAAAACTTCCGCTTCCTCCGGCATTTCGGCAGCCATGGCCTCGCCAAGGCGCTCCAAAAGCGGGTGCACATGTTCCTCTATGTACTTCTCAGAGTCGCCACCGCCTTCGCCTGCCTTGGTCTCCATTTTTTGATAACTCTAGGAAACCAATCAATAGAGGAAGAGGACGTTGTAGAAATTATAGAATCAAGTATAGTAGCTCCTTGTTTTTCCCCTTCCTACTAGCTTTCGTATGTGAAATAATACCTTATGCCCACTGTTCTTGTGGTTAGACCCGCCTAAGCAGGAAAAAGACGCGAGCAAAAGGGAAATATGTGCTACTTTGTTCAAATTTTAGATCGGTCTTTCATTCTTTTGTGTTACCATCTTCACTCTCGTCCGTTTCATCATTTTTTGGTCGTGCAGTCTTTGAGAAGCTGAGAATGCGACCTAGAGCAGTGTATGTGTAACACAATGGAAACTCCAAAACTCATGTTGTCATCTACCCAGGTCCTCATGTTGCAGTCATTTTGTGCGTCTTAAGTAATAAGTAGGAACAACGCAAAACTGTTAAGGCATAGACAAACAAGATGAACACCTAAAGCCAGCTAGTAGGAGCCTTAAAAGTAGCCTACTTTGAGCCACACTCATAAAGACGTAATCGAAACAGTATTGGTGAATTGTAGATTCCTCACCGCCCTCGTCGGGATCTAGGTAGCAATCCCACACTCTTACACGCTCATTCTCAAACAGCAACTTCGTTCCGACATCAGTGGAAAAAGTCGCTTGGCCTAACATAGCGTCAATTTGGTTTCGAGTGAATTTCGGTTCGGGGTCGAGGGGTCGAGGAGTTCAAATATGATTTGGCGGTAGGTCGTGGTAGATCCTGTGTCCACATCGTGCTTGTGATCCGAACAAGCGTTTTCTAATTCCCATATGGTTCCAGGCTCAACGTAAAAAACTTGTCCATCTTTTACATCTTCACACGGTGCTTCGTCAGGCCACGTTATCACTTTTTGAGTCTCTTCATCTTGTTCAATCTCTTCAGGCTTCCCCGTGATTCTCGCCGACCTCGCCAGCAAACGATGTCTTCCTTCATCCACTTGCTATCGGATTGCCGGTACTGGATGCTTTATACGCACACGCGCTCCTGCAGGCAATGGAAAGTCGGATACGCGAACGCGTTCGTTTTCGAAAAGGACAATAGCGTGGTTATTCGCGCTGTCTCTTGCTGAAGTGTCCTGCTTCTTTCGCGTGGTCACACGAATATCGCTGTGCTGCGTGTATGACGGCATATCTTGCTCATTCTTGGTAGAGGTAGCCATTTTCGGGTTGACTTTACTTATAATAGACTGAAGTGGATGCTCGCATTAATAGACTGGTGTCAAAAGTATCTACCCTGTTTCCAGCGACTTCCTTGTGGTTCTACGCTTTTCGAAAACTCGTCAACAATTTGTCTACCATTTTTACAACAACAGCTTCCGGAGAATCCCTTTTGCGACGAAGAACAGCAAGCTACAGCACAGTTGTGCCCCAAACGCCCTCAAAGCAAGGGGACCTGAAGATTTCTTCATCACATCAGCTACCAGAAAGCTGCAGATGGATCATTCATTTCAACTACATCCATAGTAGTGCATGTCATTACAACATATGCCAAAAGGCGAGCGAGGGTCATCCAGAAGAAGATCCTTCCATACTTGTGTCCGAAGACACCTTCATCGCATTCCCCTGATTTCAAGTAATGCCATCGACGTCCTCAGGCTTGTTCATCACAGATAAGGTCCTCACGATTACTCATACATTTCTCCACGCCGGCCTGGTCGTGCTCACTATCACTAACAGTACACTTTAATATTCTGATATCTGGTGATACTCTCTACTTTATTCTTATACTTTTTGCCTTCATTCTCTGGATAAGAAAAGTAAACGATAGACTAATATCTCTAGTATCATCGTGTGATCTCATCATATCACAGGATCATCCGAAAGATTCGCTCGTGGTGGAAACAGTAGGTCGTTGTGAGAGGGACACCGAGAAGATAATCATCGACCATCCATGGTGGAGGATACATGCTACTCGATGACGGAAGGATTCATTTTTTCAAAATGGAAAAGGAAGGTATTATAATTCTTGTAAAAATATCAAGAAGATAATGGAGACGGGATAACGATAAGTCAAAGGGCTGTTCGTTTTACAGATTAAGGTGAGCATCTTCAAGGTCAAGGTCAAAGTCTGGGTAAAAAAACAACAAAACATACCCATTCGGTGCGAAACGGCAATAGACATATGAGAAACGTACCCAAGGTCCTCGGGAAAGAAAACAGAGTCGCGCGACTAGGGTCGGGTGATAATTACGTGTGAGATTATCTATGTGGAACAGATTGATCAATATGAGCAGTAGATTCAATATGACATGAATTCAATATGGGAACTAGATTTATCGTGTCATAATCCACTGTGTGTAAGAACATGTGTTGAGAGGAGAGCTATATTGTGTAGTTGTGTTCATATTCTAGTACGTAGAAGTGGTCTTCAGATATAGCCAACGCAATCTAAAAATTTCTGTCTTAGCGGTGTACTCTTGTAGAACGTTAAAGAGCGGGAATCTATCTACAATCTTTGGTTTGGAGAATCGATATTCATGGTTCTTACGTTCTTGCCATGACATGTGTACATCGAAACCTAGAGGAGAGGCCGAAAAGCAAATCGTTGAGTTTTCGTGTATAAGAACAAAACAAAGCAAGTTTTCGTGTAGAAGAACAAAACAAAGCATAACATAGCAATTTCACAAAACAACAAGGATTTTTCTAGCACTGAAGACCATTTTACCAGTGTTTCTTTGACAACAACAACGTACAGATCTTTACATCGCGACAGTACCTTCGTAGATGGCGTTTTCTAGTAATGGAGGCATCTTTGAGCTCTTGGTGCCCCGGATTGTCGTGGTCATGTGAGGACTATGAGATGAGATTGGTATCATCTTCTATTAGGTGGGGGCAGAATAATCCAAAACCAGAACTAGTGGGTGAGTGGTAGAAGAAGTAACAAACCAAGACGAGAACAAAAAATCCAGAACCAAAACTTAAATTCTGTCCTGTCTAAAGATTCCAAAAAAGGCCTGGCCCTTCCAAAACAACTTCACTCAATCCCCGTGATTTCTTTCATTTGGTCTGCCTTCTTCCGTCGAGCTTTCGCAGTATCAGAAACAATCACTCAATCCCCGTGATTTCTTTCATTTGGTCTGCCTTCTTTCGTCGGGCTTTCGCGGTATCAGCCAGTAAAAAGGCATTATCTAGGACATTTTCGCGTGATCCCTTGTTGGCGGCGGTGCGAATACTGTCGATCGCTAATTGTGCATCTGCTTCGTGGATAAACTCAACGAAACCAAACCTGAGAGGGGAATGATGAATTTCAATTTGATTGATTGATTGATGTGCCTGGCAATCGATTCTTGGGATTCCGAGTTCTTCTTGGTTCAAGAAAGACTCGAAAGAGACATGATTGATTCCTGCCATAGGTACACACGAGCAGAAATCAATTTCGAAAAAAAAGTCAAGAGTACATCAAAAGTGAAGAATTCTAAGTACCCTTTCGGTCTTGGCGGATCTGCCTTGTATTCTAATGGCAGATAGACGTCTTTGATTCTGCCGAATTTTTGCAGATACTCCCTCAAAGAGTCCGGAGACGTCATTATTGACAACCCGCTAACCAGAATACTCGGTCCGTGTGCTGCAACTTTCGGGTATTTCTCCTTCTTCCCAGACGCAGCAGGACCACCCTTGCCAATGCCTTGATTGTTTTTCTTGAAGGCTTCTGTCCAGGAGGGTTTGCCACTTTTGCCTTTACCTTTTCCTTTACCCTTTCCTTGATGACCTTTACTGTTGTCTCGAAAGGAAAGAGAGGGTGAGGGAGTAGGACTAGGGTTCATGTAATAGGCAGGAGGTTTGGATGGTCTAGCATCTTGTCCGGAGCATTTATGGTTGCGAAATCGGTCTTCTCTGGCCGTGGACGTGTTTCTCCTAGGGCTACTTCTACGGACAGAAGAGCGGTCTTCTCTGGCCGTCGACGTGTTTCTCCTAGGGCTACTTCTACGGACAGAGGAGCGGTCGTCTTTCTGCGCTTGCTCTTTGCGGTCGCTATTGCGTGATCTTGACCTTCTAGTAGCATGCTCAGCAGCATCTCTACGTGGTCGCTCTTCAACTGCTGTATGGGGTCGCTCGCGGTCATGTCGTTCTTCGAACAAATATTTCTTGTTTACAGGAGGATGCTCGCGCCGAGAAAAGTTTTCCGCTGGACGCCTTTCTCTATTGCGATTCTCTATTACGTGCTCTTCAGAGGAATGCCTCTTTTCAGTGCCCCTGGACGTCTGATCATTTTCACGACGACAAGGCACAGGACGTGAATTCTGAACTCGTTCCTCTTCAAAGCAATACTTCTTCTTCTCCACAGCCGGCCCTCGACGAACTGCATCCTCTTCAAAGCAATACTTCTTCTTCTCCACAGCCGGCCCTCGACGAACTGCATCCTCTTCAAAGCAATACTTCTTCTTCTCCACAGCCGGCCCTCGACGAACTACATTGACCGGAGAACGAGATCGCTTCTGTGGTTGGTCTCGATCAGCGACTCTGTCTCGTTGTCGTTCCTCTACTGGAGCCTCTTCAAAGTAGTACTTTTTAGGTCCACGAACAGGACGTTGGTGTGCTTCGTTATTTCCTCGACGAGAGGGACGCTGCTCAACATGCTCGTTTGCTCGACGAGAGGGCCTGCCTTCTGCATCTTCAAAACAGTACTTGTTTCTCACATGATCTGCGATCGCTGCAGGATGAACTCTCCTGCATGTTCTATTCCTGTCGACGCATTGCACCCTGGTCTTTTCTTGTCGTCCTCGACTACGGCTTCGGTTGGCATGATTCATGGCATCTACCCGTTCTGGGTTGCGATCTGACCTGCGCTCCGACCTTCGACGTCCTCTAGGAGCTTCTGCGTCAACAAGAACGTCTTTCTTTTCCGCTTGTGCTTCATCGACGCTTCCATTTTCTTCTCGATCAGAATCCTCCGTCACCACAACAGCAAATGAACCCGCACTAGATGAGGAGCACGCCGCGCTTGATGGCGCGATCGTGGACGGCGTCACGCTTCCGGAAGAGCATGAGGAAAAAGACTCGCGAGTGGTACCAAAGTCTTCCTTGTAACGCTGGCGACTAGTTGCACCAAAGTCTTCCTTGTAACACTGGCGACTAGTTGCAGCAAAGTCTTTTTGCTCCTCCTCCTCGGAGGACATTTTCATGTTCATCACAAACCTTTGTGCGGAGGATCTTGACGCAGATTTTGGAAACGCACCCTTTGGAAAGGCGCCTGCTACTGGTGCTGCCTCCACTCGGGGACTGCTCACATCTCCTGCCACTGGTGTTGCCTCCACTCGGACACTGCTCACATCATCTTCAAACGAGTTACTCCTGGTACTGTTCGCAGCAGTGGTTTTCTCCTCTTCTAGACCAGCAGCGATGTTGAGATGATGAAGATGTTGATGCTCCTCAGACCGAACGAGAAAAGGGTTATTGATGTTCCTTGCGGTTGAGGCTGTCCTTCCTCCACTCGAAGACCTAGGTGTATCTTCTACTTCTTCGTCGTCGAAGTCTTCTTTGATCCTCATCGCGGCACAAGAGCTAGCGGCATTCGAGGCTGCACCATCATTGACGACGTTTTCCACGTCCTCCTCACCACCAAGAGAGGAAACATTGCTCTCGTTGCTGTTGACCCGGACTCGCTCGTTGATACTTTCCGCAGGAGTGACAACGCCACTTTGAAGTCCATCCTCGTCCGGATCACGAAGTCCTGCCACGCTAGCTGCAACATCACTCTTCATGTCCGCAGTAGATCCCGCAACGTCAACATTATGACTAGAAGGAGCCGCTTCCGAAGAACAGAGGCTGGATCCGTACCCGGACACACTGCGACCTTCCTGCCCCCTACTTACAACTACAGAAACAGACGAGGTTGTATTTTTGTTCACCATCAACGACTTGTCGTCCCCGCGTGCTAAGGAGGAAGAGGAAGACGCCTTCATCACCAAGTAGCTCTCGTGAATTCTATTTGCGTCATTCTCCACGTCTCCTTCTTCATCGCTGCTGGCCCACGAGTCTTCTTCCTCTTCCGCCTCCTCTGCCGCGATCACCTCAGCGATTAAGTCTTCGACGTCGCACATCGTATCCTCTACGAAATCCATTCTCTTTTCCACATCAACCATTCTGTAACTTTCTCTCGTTGTAAGTATGTCACACACACACTCTTTTATGAGAAGAATCCTCGTGGGGTCCTTTCAAGTACTTCCTTAATACTAGTACGTTCGTGCTATTCCTGCTCGTCCTTGTACCTCTTGTTTCATTTATGCCCTATTAGTAGTCGTTTTGTTGCTTCATATAGTTCTTGTCTAACTTCTGTTTCTGACTTCTTCGTCCTATAGTAAGTAGCAGTTGTATACCATCGATCCGTCTCACTGTCGTGAGAAAACAGTAAAAGATCTTCTTACAACAGTGGTGATTCTATCTACTTAGTTTTTGCGAATACTCAATCATGTTGGTTCATCCTCTTCATAGCTGGTACGGAGGTCTAGCAATCTTTGAAATAAGAGAACGAAAAGTCACTAGAAGAGAAAAGCTAGAAGACATTGATAGAGACAATTATCATGTTGATTCTGGAGTTAAGAAAAGAAAAAGTGGTCATTAGATTCGTGGGGGCATATTCGATTGGTTGTACTCAAAAAGAGTAGGTGCTCAACAAAGGGATTGTAGCTAATGATGATGAATTCTTCAAATGATGGATGGGTGGGCGTGAGTTACAAAAAAATATCAATATTTAACCTCCAACTCATCAAAGGGGAAACATGGTAAAAGTGGTCAAAACTGTTAGGCTCTCAGAAGTAGACAACAAAATCTGTTACTTTTTCAAGCGGTACATCGCACAGAAAAGAGTACTGAGTTAGATGCCTGTTGTAGATGTTGTTTAGACAGTCGAAGTCTTAAGCCTGCGCATCATGTGCATGTGTCATCTTCGTCTTTTCTTCTATGTTAAGCTTTAACGTTAGAATGCACTTTGTCTTCACCATTCAGAAGAGAATGAACAGAGAGAACCCGTTCAGAAGTTTCGAGCCGTACAGAATTTTGATTCGTGGAGGACGTAGTATCAAATGCTGATTTGTTTCAGATCAAGAGGAACTCTGTCGAGAAGAACTGCGACATTCGCGTCTTACAATGTTTTATTCGTATTTCCACACTAACAGCACATCAATTTTGCTCAGCTTTTTAGCCGATAACAGGTCCATCACGGACCTACTCACACGAGGATCCAAAAACAAATTGTGACTTCAGAAAGGGCATCGTCGAGATAAGAGTTTTTTTTTGTCAATGACGGTGATTACTTATATCAAAAACAGAAAAGATACGCTCCTTACGGGTGTCATGTACAACATAGGAAGAGGGTATCTTTTCGGAGATTAGCAGACGGCACATCCCAGCATACTGACGCTATTGAAGACTGTGGGCTAATTTTGTAGTTATTCACCCCCCACTGGAGACGCCGTCCACCGACTAAACCGGCATAGTCGCGCTTGAACTCTTCGAGTGCGTCTTTCGTTACCTCGACACTACTGCCATACGCTATTGCTGCAATCTTGGGAACTAACTCAGAGAGCGTCTGCGCCGACCGCACAGATATCGTATACGTGGTTCGGGCATCGGCCGTGACCACAATCTCATACCCGGCGTCAGGACCACCACGTCGCCTCGATCGGGATCGACTACGTTCTCGCCTCACGTTTCCACCGACTGCCCCCCCTGCTGAAGCACCTTCCGCCATGCGTTGCCGCACCTCCCTGGGAAGCTTTTCAGGCCGTACACCATTCGTCTCAAAAAAGTTTTCGAAATTGTCCCAGTCTTGGAGTTTTTGGAGACGGAGTTGTTGCTCTCTGAGGGTCGCGGATACGTTCATGTAGTTTTTGTTGTGTACAAGATCTTCATCTACATCCAGCCGACTCAGACGGTGGCCATCATTGATCGTCTTCGTGGAGGGATCGATGAACGTTTTCGCGCTTTTCGTCACCTTGAGAACTATGGCGGAGAATGTCCGATATTCCGCGGTATTTAGTGATTGCTATGCCACAGCGAATCAATATGCAGGGTCGGAGAAAGAGGATCCTGGACACGTTTTGTTGAAGTGAAGCCATCTTTTGTCTTGGACAATAGCCTCCGAGGTGATCTACCAACACGAGTACAAAAGGGCGGATAGTACTATAACTCATATATAACTTCGAAAACAAACCTTGAACCAAGAAAATGGCTACGGTCAAATAATTTGAAATTCAAATTTGTTTTTCCAAACTAGATTACAATTCGGTTGCACAGCAGTATCCTCAAGCGTCAAAGATTGTCTGAGACTGCAGGAAATTTCCTGGGAACACACTTCTGAATCAGGTCCCCCTTCCCGCCGTTGCACGATCCAAGTAGAACTCTACTGAGAAACTTCTTTAGTGTTTTCAGTTTGAAAACAAGTCACATCATGGGGATTTCTTTGAAAACTCCGCAACGTATAAGGACAACTACAGGGTTCTTGTTTGGGGACGAGTGGGGTTATATACCACCTAGCTACTCAAAACGGCAGAATGCTTCACAACGCAGAGGGATCGAGGGAAAAAGACACATCCGCTACTAGGGGCACAAAAGCGGGCGTTTCGGATGCGCCAGGTGGTGGTAAGGCATCTCCTGGAGGTAGTAGCTCTCCACCAGGTGGTGGTAAGGCACCTCCCGAAGTCGAGGACGGAGGAGGCAGCCCAGATGTGTTTGGAGGTGGAAATGTCTGCGATGCACCTTGAGTCATCTGCTGTGATCCGGCTGTAGACGAGGCTCCCCATGCAGCACTGGGCGGAGCAGCGGGACCAGAAGGAGGATTTCCAAATGGTGATGGACCTCCTTGATGTGAAAGCCCACCACTAGAAGTACCGAAACCGAAGGGACCACTAGTAGAAGTACCACCACTAGAAGTACCACTACTAGCTCCTCCACCAAAGTATGAGGAATCATAGGTGCCGAGCCCTTGCTCTGGCTGTTGGAGGTCTGCCAGGATATCTGCTCCGCCACGAGAGGCGGGTGTACTCTGACTAGAAGCTGGCGTAGTGATTGCTCCTGGTGGTTGTGCTCCCACATTGGCTCCCACTCCCACAGTTTGAGGTGGTTGTGAAGCTAAATGGGGGGCAACTAAACTCGTTCCTTGATCCGCAGAGGTGCTGTACTGGAAGTGCTGTACTGGAGGCGCTGGACCTGCTGTATTACTACTATTAGAGAAACCTCCTGCGGTACTAGTACTATTAGGAGGACTTCCACTAGGGCCTTGCCAACTACCACCGCCAGATGTTACATCGATAGGGGGTGGTCGAACTTTATTCCCTCCTGGCGACGGCTGCTGCGGCTGCTGCATAGGTGGCGGACCGGCTTGTTGCTGCTGCATAGGTGGCGGGCCGGCTTGTTGCTGCTGCATAGGTGGCGGGCTGGCTTGTTGCTGCTGTTCAAACTGTTGAGGTGGTACTACTTCTGGTTGTGACAAATAATTTTGCCGCGGAAACTCCTGTCCGGACAGTTGTCCTGCTTGCCTCTGCAGTTGCTCCGCTTGTTGTTTAAGCTGCTGCTGACCGAATTGGTGCTGATGAGATAACTGCTGCACTACTTGCTGCTGCACACCACCTTGTGGCGCCATGCCTCCACCCTGTTGCGCAGCCATGCCTCCACCCTGTTGCGCAGCCATGCCTCCACCCTGTTGTGCAGCCATGCCTCCTGCTCCAGTCTGACTTTTTCTCGAGAACGAGATGTCGATGTGTCTGGGTTTCACTTTCGGCGGTGCGACAGCTCTCACCTGCTCTTCCCGCACTTTCTTTTCGATCTCACAGCTAAACATCCTGATGTTGTTCGCCATCTCCTCATCGCTGGAGCCGACTGAAGAAAGCGTTTTGGACTCATTACTTGATGATGAATATCAATATGATCGTACCCAATCATCTAGAGTCAAAATTATAGAGCACAATTGCTCCACCAGACTCTTTGTGTACTTATACTAAGATGAAAGTAGTACCTTGTGTCGCATACGAAGAGAGATGTGCGCCTTTTTGCTGCAGTCGTCGTATCATTTGCATCAGGTTGGTGTCCCTAACAACACAATAAACCACGTACATCGAGTACACCATTTCATTTAGCAGGGTTACCACCTGTATTCAGCGAGTGTTGTCGTGATTATATGTGATAAACTTACTAGGCAGATGATCGATTAATATGGTGGTCGCAACTATTACACTTGCACTGTCCTTGGGTTCACTTCTAGTTCGCTCCCCAGCATTTTTCTGTACTAGTTGAATTGTTATAGTTGGGACCACCATATCGACCCTACGATCTTGGTGACGGACATCAACATTCATAGAATCCTTTGACCTTTTCAAATACAACGCTCATTCTCGAGTCTTAGTAGTGGTCCTATAATGTAGTCCTGTACCTTCAATTTCGCCCCTGTATTTTCCCTCAATGCTTGTGCGAGTATTTTCACACTGTCTGCGATTTCGTAGGGCCTTTTTTCCGCTAGTTCGCATATTTCGGTGATCAAAGGGAAATCCAGTTTTTGATTCTCCGAGAAGACGCGTTGGATCTTAGCCGGTAGAGTTCCCGGTTCCTGCAGAGGGTAACGATAGCCACTCCACAAATCCACCCAGGCATCCGTGCCCCACAAGGGTGAAGGAGCAACGGGGAGGCGGGTTGCTGAGGTGGACCCAGCTCGTCTTGTGGAATGCTGCATCTTTATTTTCTTTAATCAGTGCGTAGTTTGAAAACTCGCTAGCATTCATCTAGAAGAATCTGTAGGTATAATTCTCGAGTCGAATCGTAGCGGCGGGAAAGCACACTAGTACGGACGGAAAGAGCCTCGTCTAGAGAGGAGGGGCTGCTCTTCCCAGTACTACTCGTGGTCTCGACATTTCGGAATCTGTACAAAATTTGACATCATCTTCCCTGAGCTCGTTTTGTTCTTCAGAGAAATTGAGATACTTCTGCTTTGTTCTTTTTCCACCAACAACGTGATGCCTCTCGCCTCACCACTTTTTGTACTACAAGACAGTGAAATATTTTCTTGTCCAACTACATCTTGATTTTTTTTCTCGTTGTCTTGACAATGTTCATCTTGTAGGCGTGTTCCTCACGGCATTATTCTCATTCACTTTGAAGTATCGCACTGAACGGCGCTAAAGTTGCGTGAACCGCCTCAAAGTTATGTGTTCATATCTTTGCATACCCCGAACGGGATCCTAGGTGGCAAAAGAACACATGTAATGCTCGCAGGTCTTCAGTGATTTCGTTGATTGAAAGATGATATGAGTAGGTCATCAATGGAGTCCATCAATGGAATTTCTTTGATTGAAAGATGATGGAGTCCATCAGTCCCTGAATCCATCAATGACTCAACGAGGAAGATCTTTATCATCGAAAAACATTCATAGAAGAAGTTGTTTTAGATATATATGCACGACAAGGAAGTCCATGATCCTTCTACGAGTTTTTCCTATATTTTCTTGCAGGGTCTCTTATCTTGGCAATTACAGATGCTGATATATGGTTAGCTGTCGGTAACTGGGCTTGTGGACAGCGCGACACAGCAACAGTTCCATGCGAGATAATAGTTAAACCCATCACGACTCAATCTATAGCCTGATGTACAAAGTTATCAGGAGCCCCTAATATGACCTCTGCATCAACGATTCTATCTTAGAATCAAGAATGCGTTGCAATGTGCAGCGGAAGGGCTATTTCATTTTTTCTATTATTAGATAGCGAAAAACGTCACAGAATAAGTGTTCACCCTCACACGCATACCTCTACAAGTTTTATGTTTTAGGTGTTATGTTAGATGATGTTATGTTATGTCATTAGAATACTTGTAACCCCGTAGACCCTGATGTGATTGAATACGCTCACGCGTCCATGTTACAGGACAAGTCGTACTGTCCCCATCCAACCCCGATTCATGTCGTACTGGGATACTCTTGATTGATTGATTGATTTACCTATCCAACCCCCGGCATCGGCACAAAACAGCAGTGGCAATGGCGCCGCAGTAGGCTGCTGCGTAGCTGCTTGAACCGGCATAGCTGCTTGAACCGGAATAGCTGGGTGGTCCCCCATAATAAAAGGTTCCGGCGAAGTCGTTTCATTTGAGAAACTGCGTTCTTGTTGATTAAGAAAATCGCTATGAATACAGTTTTGGGGGCTTGGCTCAGGAGTATCTAGTCCAACTTCCTGAGGCTGCTCGACTTCCGGAGGCGTGCAGCTTGCAACATACAGCTGCAACGCTGTAGATGAGTTACGCAGTCGGTCCCAATCTGATCTCAAATCTGGTTTAATCTCAAACTTTTTCCGCGAGGAAGGATCCCAAGAACTATATTGTTTTTCACCTCCACATAAAAGTGCGGCTTCTTTTGGGTCCACTTCCCCAGAAACAAAAACATTGCACAGGATATCCGCTTGCAGACGCTTCACCTCACACTCGAGGCGACTGTTCAAGTCGAGAATCAAAAGGTCTTCTAATGCAAACGCACGCTTGCTTTGAAAGCCAGGGTGGGCCTGCGGCGCTCTCCGACTGGAAAACTGTTTGGTGTGGAAGCAGCCGCGGCAGGGTCCTACTGTGTCGAAGAAGCAGCCGCACGACCAGGTGACATCGCTTGATCTCGAGGACGCGGGAGATCATTTCCATTTGATCTGAAGAAGGATTAGGATTCGGATTCGACCCGCCATCCACCCTATTACCTGCATACTCAAGCGGAGAGGAGGGAAGGAGATCATGAGGAATTTTCTGGCGATAGTCCCGAGGTTAGGTTGGCAGACGTGACTGGCTGCTGAAGAGCCAAAAAATAATACTACGGCAGAGAGCTGGCGGCGCTACGTCCTAGTTCCTAAGTTCCTAAGCTACACTAGACCGATCACCGCCTCAGCCTCTGTGTTTATGATTAGAATTACTCTCGTTCTGGCCAGCTGCACGATTATTTCAGGATATCTCTTGGGTCCTAGGAACTGCTGTTGGCCTTCACCCATGATGATCCCTTTGTACGTGACACAATGCGGCTGTTAGTACCTATCAGTACTGCTGGTTCCTAATTGGTTAGTTTCGTATCAGTTCCCTCTATAAAGTGCTGATGTTGTTAGGTTTCTCGAGTGTTGCCTCGTCCTCCGCATTCACTTGTCCTGCTATCCAATTTGAAAATTGACAACGGGTTCTTCTGTTTCTGGAATGCAGTTGACACTTCCTGAGATGCGCATGCGTTGACACTTCTTGACTAGTAAAAAGCGTGTCACCGTCTGTGTGCTGCTATTGCTCCCTTGTGGACGCACATAGCAGTCATATGTTGAGACATATTCAAATCCTCCCTGAAGATGCGTGAAAAGCCATAATTCCAAACAATGTCATCATCTAACAAAACTATGTCGAAAAAAGAAATCTTTATCAAGTATGTTTGTCGATTTAGGAAAAATGATATGCGGTCATGATATCCATTTAATACCTGTTCACATTCTATACCACAACGTAAAAAACATTAGTGCTTACCTGCGGGCTTACCTGGTGTTCCGAATAATATTAGTACTCACCTACTTACCTCAGGTAAGCTGCTCTTCAACAACATCTCTTCCAGTTAACCTTCTCTGTCATCATGGATTTATACTCTCGTTCTTGCGTGTTGTTAGATATCTTATAACCTAGGTTGTCTCAAGATTGATCAAATAATATGAAGAAAAACGTCTAGTTATTTGTTGATTTACGAAAAATAAAATTCAAACGACCATCTTGTTAGACGTATCTGATTCAATGAATAGACTACCTCTGTTCTTGCCACTAATTTTTTGAGGATCCTACAGTTTGTTACAACAAATGTCCAGATGTTTCTCCCTTTTCGGTCCTTTCGTGATGTATCACACGATGTATCACACGATGTAATATTAAAGTTCTTACAGCCGTCACTGATACAACAGGAGACCCTCAATTTCCAATTTACCACTACTGCTTAGACTTGTTGAAGTCTAGTCAAGTGGATAAATTATCACAGTCCTTAGGCAGTAGGCTCAGCGCCCAATCCCATGAACGGTCCCAAGGAGATTCCTGGCATTGTTATGAAGAGAAAAAACACACTCACACTCTCGTCCCAACAGATCTACTATTAGGCCCTATCATTCTTGTGATGCTGTGAATCTCCTCTGCAATCTGCCTAAAAAGACTTCCCTGTAAACCATTTGAGTGTTCTAATCCTTGTCGAAATATAAAATGAGCGCGATTTTGAAAATGAGCACTGTGAGTGTGTGATTTCTCCTTCAACATAATTGTCAATGGCTGAACATTCAGGCTTGACCGAGTCATGGCGTCAGCAGCGGTGCTCTGCAGCCCTGTGATACCGGGAAGACCCCCGAATGCGAAACCACGAGTTGATGCGCCCAATCCACCACCGAGAGTTGTGCCGAAGTATGAAGGAGAGGAGGAGTGGGAGGAGGAGTGGGAGGAGATAACCCCTGTTCCGAGAAGGTCAAGTGAGATATAAGAACGAGGAGTGAGATAATATAACGAGGAGTGAGATAATATAACGAGGAGTGAGATATAACGAGGTAGATGGAGGAGAGAAGGAAATAGGAAGATGGAGGAGAGCAGTTGGTGAGTAGACCAAGGAGAGGGCTGGGTAAATGCACTGGAGGAGTGCTCCAAGATGCTGATTCTAGTTCGAGAAGAGTAACAAGATACGAACCTCTTTGCCTAGAGATGACTCGAAAATCGAATTTCTCGAAAATCTGCTTGGACTATCTTCATCATCCTGTGCATCTTACGGATGATCTTTGTTCATGAACTCTTCACACAACGACAGGCCAACACTACCTCTTCTCTACGGATTGTAATTGTAAAGATTGATGTCCAAGGAAGTACAAAACGATAGTGCTTTGTGAAGTCAATTTATCCTAGATCCAACTAAGAACCTACATGTGTTTCATCATAAACTCAATCCCAACTTGGATGCCATCAAGCCATCTGGGTGTGCTGCTAAATCAATCTGGTCCCTAGGCAGCATTGGAAGAGACATCTTTGAGAAGCTTGCTGGAGCCTCGGTTTGTTTTAGAGTCAGCTCTTATTCCTCTCGGCTCCCTCATCTCGGCCCCTTCTCTTGTTCCCAAGAAAAGGATACAAGGGAAGCAAAAGGACACATTGAGATGCTGAGAAAGATGGACACTAAATGCTGACCTTAATTGTTGGTCCCACTCGTGGTGGACATGAGAAACCTTAGCCTCAAGAGGAGGACCTTCTTCGTGGACCTGTGGTTGGGGAATGGGGAAGATCATTTGAAATTGAAATCTAATTACATCTACAAACATGGATACATCTTCTAAGTGCCATAGTAGTAGTGGTAGTGAATCCTAGACGAGTTGTTGTTCCACCTCCTAGCATGTTTCAAGAATAATTCTCGACAGTAGTAGTAGTACCTTCTCAAACTGTTGTGGTCCCGTGACCTCTTCCCTTCCGAATTCGACGAAGACGACCTGAGGCTCCTCATCGACGCGTTCGTGAGAGTCCTTGGTGATCTCCACGATCTTCTCCACAGTGACAATCTTCGGAACGTCGACGACCTTGTCCACATACCGGATCTCCGGGACCTCGATGTACTTGGTTACAAGAGATGAAGGTGAGGGTGGAGTGGGGTATGTGGAGTGGGATATGTGAGGAGAGGAGGGGAGTTGGCTCACCTGTGAAGGGATGAGCGTATAAACAAGAGGCGCCTTCATATATAGTCGAAGCCGAGACATGCACAAGTCGGGGGGGGATGTATGGAGTGGGGTATATGGAGCGAGATATATGGAGTGGGATATATGGGACGAGGTAGAGGAGGCTGCATGCTAAATGTGGAAATGTGGTAGTAAAAAGACGCGGTAGGAGGTGTAGTCCTCGTGGTTGTAATATCATTTGCGATACTTCTTCTAGGTGGAAGGGAAGATGCTTACTGTAATATCATTTGCGAAAGCAATCACAATCGTAACTTTCGCACTTGCGGTACTTCAACGATCTTGTCAACATACTCGATCTTCGGCACCTCAATAATCTGCTCAGTCAGTGTCTCAACTGGCTTGTCAACGTACTTCGTGATCTTTTCGATGACTGGGACCTAGTTGGAATAAAAGTAGGTAAAGATCATGATATAATCAAATGGAAATGAAAGGGAGCTGCCTTGTTCCCATTTCACGTAGGTCTTTGACAACATCGTGAAGTAGACACAGATGCTGCTACTAGCCAGAGGAAAAACAAACCCTGAAGAAACATGCAAAAATTCCAAATACGAACCAGCATTACATAGTACCTCAACAAATTTCTGGACTTTTTGTATAACCGGCACTTCGACGATCTTATCGACGTACTTCGGCACTTCCACAATTTTCTCAATAATGCGCTCTGTGGGGACGTCCACGAACTTCTGCCGCTTCTCGATCTTTGGGACTTCCTTTATAATTTCCACAATCTTTTCGACTGGGACCTTGTTGAGAGGTTGTAGATGTGATGAGAGGAAGAGTTGTGGAAATAGAAAAGTATAAACGCCCTTTACTTCAATATGTTCTTAGAGTGTTGCTCGACTATGTTGATGTTGATGCAGCTCTTCTATGAAGAGATACAACCTTGAAAATTCTTCTAGCAGGATCATGATCTTCAACTTCACCAAATAACGTATTTAAAAATAGTACCTCGATAACCTCGTCTTCGTATTGGATTTTGGGCACTTCAATGACGTTTTCGATGACGCGGTCTTGAGGGACGTCGACGTATTTCGTGACCTTCTGAACTGTTGGCACTTCAACGTACTTCTTGACCTTTCGTGCCACCTTCTTTTCGACGATTTCCTCAACAATTTGCATCGGCCCTGGGACCTGAGGGTGAGGAGGTGAGGGGTTGATGGGAGAGGCAGAGTTAATCGGTATGGAGTCAGCAGGCGAGGGGTTGATGGGAGGGGTGGACTCCAACATAATCGGTCGTGTTGTTAGGATGCGATCTAGTGCTCAACTGGAATGAAAAAGGTTGCAACCGTTGTATATTCAGATAAACCCAAGTCGTCAATCTAATGCAACTATATGTGTAAGTAGGATAGGATAGGTTGCCGTTGCCGAATCTACACTGAACGGCCCCAGCGAGGACGTGTAAGGTTCTCGGGAAATCATACCAATCAATGGTACCTCAATAATCACAACTATATGTGCAAGGTTCTTAGAAGGAAATCAATAGTACCTCAATAATCTGCTCCACTTGCTCCACACTCTCAACGTGGATGTATTTCTTGATCTTTTCGATTTTCTCCACTTCCACTAACTTTTGCACCTTCTTGATGACCTCGTATTCTTCCACGACCTCTTCAACCGTCACCTTGGGGACCTCGATGATCTTCTCCACTTCTTTGACAGTTGGCACTTCGACAAGCCTCTCGACCTAGCGAGGAAAAGTGGTAAGTGAAGCCTTGACAGTTGGCACTTCGACGAGAACAGACGAGGATTTTTGAAAAGAAGCAGCTCCTGTAAACGGACACGAGATTGAAGAGGAAACGTAACTGAAGAGGAGTAGCAAGAGAAAGCACTTTCGTGAAAACAACAAAAACAACTACTTATATTGTCTATGCATGCTCCAAGCAGAAAAACCGTATTACCTCCACAATCTTCTCGACTTCGACGTATTTGGGTACGTGGATAATCTTTTCTTGGATGAGTGGTTTCTTGCGCTCCACGATCTTCTCAATGATCTTTTCCTTGACGACCTCAACGGTCTTTTGTCTCTGTTCGACCACGTGGCGGTGGTGGTGGACATGCTTTTTCTCGACCTCAACGTACTTCGGGATCTCGATCTCCTGTTCGACCTCACGCTGGAGAAGACGCTCAGGCGATTAGAAAGGATGTGATGTAAGGGAAGTGAGTGAGTTGAGTATGTAAGGATGAAAGGGTCGGTGAGTGAGTTGTAAGGATGTGATGTAAGGGAAGTTGTAAGTCTAGCAAGACTTGGTTTACCTGGTCAAGGATGTGATGTAAGGGAGTGTGCTTTAGATAGGACAAATGAGAAAATATGAAGAAAACGTCGTAAGATTTTCAAGATTTTGTGTACCTGGTATGGTACCTGGTATGCTACTGCAGCTATCTACAACTATAGCCTATTGTGCACGTCGTGATCATAAACAGTCTGGACCTTCGGGATCTCGATAATCTCCTCTTCGATGACGTCCTTGTAGACGTGCTTCACACGTTCGTGGATCTCTGGCACTTCGACGTACTTTTGCACAGTTCCGACCTGAGGCACCTCCCGTTCGATGATTTCCTCTTCGTACTGGACTTTGGGGACCTGGTTTAGGTTATTAAATTGTAAAAGTCTTCTTGTACAGTTAGATATAAAACGCGAGGAGTAAAAAAATTGTGGTCGATTTTTTTTGAAACAAATCCTAGTTTGAGAAGTGATACAACGAGGATACACGGTCTATACAAAAACAAATCGTGTAACCACGTTCCTACTCAAAAAACCATCCAAATAGAAGTACCTCAACAATCTCCTCGACAATCTGCGTGACTGGTTGTTGTTGAACGCGCTCGATGATCTTCTCAACATATTTCGGCACAATTTCAGTCGTCTCCACTTGTCTTTGAACGATTTCTTCGTGAATGGTCACGACTGGCTTTTCGATCTGAAGAGTGGGATAAAGGACGGAAAACTGAAGTCTTGAAACTTTGCGCTAGGACTCCTCTAAACTTCTTACTCCGGTCATCATCCTCAAGTTCATTACTAAATTCCACCCACGACAACTAAACTCTACTATCAAAAGAGAAGTCTAACAACCAGTACTATCTTCTCCACAATTTTCTCGACCGGCACTCGTTTTTGTCTTTTCTGGATAAGCGGCTTCTCGACGTACTTGGTTTCAAACTGGATTTTCCCGGTAACCATACGTTCCACTATCTCTTCTTCAAATGTAACTTTAGGAATCTCCACGATTTCCTCTTCTTCAACATCGATAATCTTTTCAACCACTTTCTTCACGATGTTGGGAACCTGGTGTGATAGTGTGTGCAGTGCTCAGATAGTGTGTGATATTGCCTGGGCAGTGCTCAGACGGTGTGTGATAGTGTGTGATAGTGCCTGGGCAGTAAAGTGTCTAAAAAGATTTCTGGAGTTCGTATTTTGCATCCGTGCTACAAAAACCGCAAGGTTTGCTGTTGGCATCCTGGCAGATACACTTTCTTCACGATGTTGGGAACCTTTCTTAGTTACTTCCTTGCTTCTAGGTCATCGTACAGCATGATACAGAAAACGAACGTAGTAAATAAAAAGAAAAAACCCTTTTAGATTATAAGTACCTCCACGTATTTCGGCACTACGACACTACGCGTCTGAGGCACCTCCACGATTTCCTCTTCGTAGACGATTTTAGGAACCTCCACGATTTCTTCCTCAACCTTCTCGACAGGTCGGCTAACAATGCGCCTATGGACTTGCGGCACCTCAACAATGCGCTCAACCTCAACAATGCGCTCGACCGGCTTCTCGATGATTTTCTCTTCGTATCTGATCACGGGGATCTGGTGTAGGTTTGAGCAGGGTGAGATGGGCGAGCGTTGTGAGGGTGGAGAGCGGAGAGTATTGTTGTTGTGGAGAACGGCGTTCTTTTCGATGCTGCAGTCTAAGTAAAAAGCAAAAACTCGCGTACAGATCATCTAGTTATGAGTAATAAATGAAGCTCAAGGACACACCACCACCTCGTAAAATCGTAAAATCTCTCCGTCAGCATCAACTACATTTTTAAAGTACCTCAATCACATCCTCGACGATTTTCTCCACCGTTTCGACAACCGGAATTTCGACGATCTTCTCCACAATCGTCTCCTTTGGCACCTCAATCACATTGTCTGCGAGGATTTGGACTTCCCGTGTCTCGTGCTCGGTGTGGACGATGCATGTTAGAGTGGGGAGAGTCCAACATAAGTGAGGCAGGTACTGTGTCTTTAAAAAGTTCTGAAAGCGATAGTACTACTGTGTGAAGATGAAAATTTTTGAAAAACATAGAGGAAGAAGTGTAACTACTCGTCTCTATAACTCTTATTGCACTCGACGGGCTAGCGTCGCCCTGATTACGGGCTAGGTTCACCCTGATTGATGGTCATGGTCATGTACTTCAGTTGTGACGCCTACCAGCCAACTTTGAAGCAAAACTTACACAGATAGGACAGGATAGGATAGGATTTGATTCACCGTCCACAGTTTGACCTGCCTCCTCGGGTGAATATAGGATTTGATTCACCGTACACAGAGGTGAACTCATGGTATGTCGTTTTTACTATCACATTTACTACTACATCGCCGATAGCCGTAAATCCTCTTCATCCTTCTTCGCAACCGGCACTGGCTCGGAAACACTGAGAATACGGAAGTTTGCTGCGCCGTGACCGTTATTATTAGTAGACATCGTCGACCGGTCCAGTATTGAACCGGACAACGAGGTGTTGCCCAACATTTCTTTGCCTACTTATTCTTACTTAATTTCTTCTCTTTCTTTACTCAATGATTTATTGTTGCTTATTTAGTGTTGCCTAATATTCACTAGTGTTGCTTAGGTTGTTGTTCGAATGAAAATGAAAGGGATTGAGAAATAAGTAGGAAACTAAATTTGCACCAAATTGTTGATCAGATTAAATGAAATAAACAGGACTAGAAACCACTTCTATGCTAGCTGGAATCACTACTACCGGTGGTCTTGATGATGTTTATTGCGAAGGTATGATGTCGAAGCGTATGATGTTACTGGTTTCATTTCGCAAGCTAGACAAAGATCAACAGTGTCACATCAATATTTGAAGTCGAAGATAACACGCTGAAAATCTGATGTAAAAAATTGGTGCGTAGAACTTTGGCGTTAATATTGAGAATGAAATTCCTAAAATCACTTGCGACGACTATCTAAAACAACTGTATGAATCTAGAAGTGCTGTTTTCTCTCGGTTTTAAGGGTAAACATGCAGGTTCCCTCCCAAGTATGTGTGGGGTGTTTTCCCTCCCAATATGTCATTGTATGATACACCCTGTTTTCAATTGAACAATTTGATGGGTCATGGGCATCATTTTACTGCCGTCTGATTATATGGTCGTAGCTAGAGGGTGCTGTAGCCATTCTGAGATGTTGTACCCTTTGCTTCCCTAGTAGCAATTTGCTTTTCGAAGCTCATTCATTTCGCAAAAAAAATCTGCAGTAAATAAAGGGGGCAGCTTTTTGGGTAGGGCGGGAGAGGTGATCGCTCCATGCAGTCCTTTCTCTCACCCAAGACAAACTTTCAAAAAACATCGACACCTCACTGCACTAGAGTGTGACAACATCTCTCTCTCCCAACCGCATGACACACACTTATAACTGTGCAGACTTTATTACTAGGAAACAAAAAGGCACTCTTTCCACGAGAGTTGTCCTTCTTTCTTGGCAGCACAGAAATGTGCCACGAGTTTCATTTGGAAAAAAGATGGTGCTTTTAAAGCACATAAAAAATACCGACAATTCCATCTTTGCGCATATGATTTTTCACATCTTGTTCGTTACTAACAGATGAATGGTAGATATTGATTTTGGATGTTCTGCACTAGGTGGTTCTACTCTAACAGAGTGACACTAAGACTATATTCTCAACCTCCAACTACGTAGTGCATCACAGGCGAACAATGAGGCAAACAGGAGCCCAGGAGCACAAAGTAGCACGCCCTTTGAAGCTCGAAGATGAACTCGCAAGGAGGACCGCTTCTGCTCGGGCTTTCATATTTAAACTCATAGTACTAAACTACATAAGTAGATCATTCATTCATTCCCTCCCGGTTGCGGGTGGCGCTTCTCCCCCTTAAAAGCAGCCCCGTGCACCCTACTAGAGATTTTCCGCTGAGCGAACATACTAGGAACAAGAGTAATGTCTTTTGCTACAGCATGAGGTACCTAATTCTATGATCTATCTAAATGATCGTCTACCTAAACGGCATGTCCAATTCCTGATGTACGTCCCACAGCTGGTCCAATTCCACTAGGATACTCTTCATCATGGCTCTAATTTCCGGGAGTTTGGAGACGTGGAGGAATTTCACCATCCGGCCATCACGCGCATTCCTGTGGGACGTCTCGTTCAGCATCGGGGCAAACCGCTTCGAAACTTCGTTGATCTTAGGTGCGTGAGCGGCGCCCTCCTTGCGGGGACGGACGGATATTAGAGGTGTTGAGGAAAGTTTTCGACCAGGAAAGGAACTAGCATTTGCGCTAGTAGAGGATGCGAAAGAGCATGGACAGACGGAGAGCACAGTATCAAACCAAAGTCCCTCAAGCAACATCGTTTGTTAAAAAAAGATACCCCAGGCCACCTCGTCTTGAAGAAGTCATAAAAGAAACACCGGTCTTGCATTTTCTTCGTGTCCCCAGTTGTACATTCCGAAAATTTCCAAAGCGTACTCCTTCCGAATCAAGTACGGTCTATGTCTTCCCCAACTTGCCAATTCAAAACTTGTTCTCCATCCTGGCTGTTTCGTCGTATCCTTCGGATCACCCTTCCACCCTAAATATCGGCTAAAGCTAATCACAGCTGCTCTTTCTGGCAAGAACATGATGTTACTCATGTCTGCGCCAGAGAAGGAGATGAGGATGTCAGTGGTAGCCATGAGTTCGACTTGCTCTCGCATACTGTACTCGGAATTAAGGCATTGGACGCGATCGCCATTGTCGAAGGGGAGTACTTTTTCGCCTTCCTTGAGCGCACGTCTGCGAGACCCTTCGGCGTCGACCAGAGGCTTAGCGATCATGGGGAGAAAGAGGAGGTAGCATGCGCAGAGGTACTTAAGATGGGAGAACAGAGGAACAAGACGAGGGAAGTAGCATAAGCAGAGGTTAGGTTAGGTTGTGGATCCTTCTCAGCGAGCCCCACGGGCACATGCTCGCCTCCGAGGATGATGGGTGACCTAGGTAAGGTCAACGAACACAACCGAGGCGGTGACTTGAGTAAAGTCGTGATGGGTACGAAAAATTACAGATAGTGTAGTAGGGTACCAACTTGTTGTAGACACTAACCGATCCTCCATAACCAGCAATGTCGTATCGTTTTCGATTCTGTCTTCTTCGTTGAGGAACATCTGAGTTGGCGACAGATTGCTTTTTCTGACCCAATTGATCAGTCGGATCTCGTTGATAGGCAAGGACTTGTCGGCCAACAACATGTCCCTAAACGCCTCCGCATTGACGAAAACGCAACAATTCTCACTTTTCCAGGCGTCTTTTTGGAAGATGGTGACGTTGTACAAACGGCGATGCTGGTGCTGTTGTCTCCCACCAGCACTTGGTGATGATCCTCGTCCATCTACGTTAGAGCACCGACGTGCACCATAGACCCTGTTGAGTCCATCCTTGGCTTCTTTTTCAAGTAGAAAAAGAGCCAGCGATGGCGTTGAGGATGGTTCAGCGGGGGTAGCCTTAACTCCTAGTACATCTCCAACACTAGTACCCACAGCCAAAGCGCGTCTATCTGCTTCTGCGAAGTAGTTCAGCTTCGGGGAATCCACTATGCCATATTTGTTTAGGACGTAATCTCGGAAGCCAAACATGATGCTGAAGGGTGAACTCTTTGGCGCTCTGACGAGGATGTCGTAAGCATCCTTCATACCCTTATGCCAGTCGTAAGGATTGTAGTATCTGAGAGGATTGTATGTGGCGTTGAGAAAAAATGCATAGCCATTCTTACCACTGAAGTCTTTTACCACTATAGAATAGCCCCCGTAGCAGTAGCTTCTGGGGCTGATTGCTGCAGCCGTTGAAGCTGCCGCGTGTGCCCTTGGTTTAGAGAGGGCACCCGCCTCGCGCCCGCGTTTGTCTCTGAGCTCCTTTGGTGGCTTTTTGCGCTCAGTTTCTGCAGCTGCAAACGCTCGGGCCCATTCCTCAGCCGTTTCATTATCCAAAGCGAAAGCTTGCGCTTGCGCTTCAGCGTCGCCCCTGGTATTCGCAGAACGCTTGGCAAGCTCGGCCAGCTAGGACGCCGCTGCGCTTGACCTCGCCGCCCCTGGGTTAGCTTCACCCGGTGGAGGTCTGCCGGATTAATTTCTCTGGGAAGTCTGTGAAGTGTGGGGCCATCAGTGTGACACAAAGCGAAGACAACGCCGCAGAGCTGCGTCAGAGTCGGCGGCGTCTCATCTCACCCCAACACAATAAAAAACTAGAAAAAAGGCACAAGGGGACACGCGGCCACAGCTACAAAAATGGACGCAAGGCGGGGCCGCCTTTCTCCTGATGTTGAAGTCTCTCCACCTGGGGCGAGCGGGTGCTGAGGTAACTCAGGCACGCCATTCGCTGGCCTGCTTGTCAACGAGCCCCACAGAAAGAGCCCCCGCACCATCAAGCCACGGCAGAACGACGGCCACGAGCACGACCATGCTTGGCGTGGCTGAGCGTGTCAGAGATGGCTGCGGGCTTGTCAGTTTTGCCGCCGCCACACAGGCGCGAGGCTTCTGGACCGCGGGGGCCGGGCGGGGGCAGATCGGCTTGCGGGGTCGGATATTGCCGCACAAGTGTAGACATGCACGGCACAAGTCGGTCGCCTTTCGGTGGGTCTTCCTTCAGCCAGAACGCGCCGGCAGATCAGCACGGCTGCCCTGGTCTCCAGTGGGTGGCCCTTGGAGGTCTTCTGGGTTGGCCGTTGGGAGCCTGCTGGAAGTCTGGCCGAGACGCCTCCTGGAAGTCTGCTGGAAGTCGCGCCGGGGTTCCAGGTTGCCTGTCTGAGGGCCATCCGCCTGCGCTTTGCGGGGTAGGGGTGCTGCTCCACTGGGGCTCCCATCGTGAGCCTGAGTGCCACCCAGCTGGTTGACAGCTACAACAACTGGCCCGGCCCTTCGACGGCCTCACGAATGCACGCGCGGCTGGGCGGCCTTTGCCAGGCGAGGGCTTGTCCAGTCCCACGCCATGCCCCGCACGCAGTCAGCCTAGGGAAGCACGGCTGCAGGGCCGAAGCACGCGGCTGGGCCGCTGCGCCCTCGGCGGGCTCGGCCTGCAGTCGCGTGGCGCCTTCCTTTGACGAAAGGCGCGAGAAAATGGCGACGCCGTCGCGCTGCCGAGTGTCCTCCTGCGTGTTGTCTACGGCCGTGCGTCGTTGGTACGTACTCAGCCCCCGTGATCGACCAAGCGACGCGAAAGAGTCTAGACCCTATGCTTTTTCTACTCCATAATCTAAACTTTTTAGTACCCCAATCTCGCTTGTCCAATCAGCAAGTGCCGGAAGCACCCAAATTTGGGTATCGCATCCCACGTGTACACCTTGTCCGCGACCAAATAAAAGTATTCACTGCTCTTCAGCTTCTCCAAAAACAGTATCACCTTGTACTTTTTTCGGTCCAAGAACTGCCAATATTCCAGATACCGATACAGCGAAATCACTTCGTCTAGCAACACATGCCCAACATTGTGCGCGCAGCATTTGTATCGACCAAAAATGATCGCAATCGGAATGCGATTGTCCTTCTCTTTACCCTGTTCGTCCATTGGGTCATCCACACAGCCTTTGGATATCAACTGCCGATCTTGATCCTCTAGACTGTTCGTCGCCTCACTACTTCTGACAAAGTCCCACAATGGATGTCGATCCTCTAATCTTGGCAGGAAAATCCTGTCCATCTCATCTGGCCCACGTGTGAAGCGAGAGATAAACCGCTCCTCAGGGTAGTCTTCGTTTTCTGGTAGTAGAGGAACCTGCGCAGCTTTCACGTTCTTCAACAGAGCACCAAAATCGGCTGAGCCGTGAACGCGAAGCTCGGTCTGCGTGGCGCGGTTGGCTGGGTTCAACCTGGTTTGAATAGTGTTAGTGAAAGCATGGGGATTGGAGATTGTTGAACAACGCCAGTCTTGCACACAGGTACATGTCACAAACAATCCAATGAACCAAAGCAACCCTAGTACGACATCCTCATCATAAAAATCAAAAAAAAACCAGAGGATTATACTCTTCAAATTTTTCTCGCAATTTCGCTTCCTCATCCGTCTCCTCCTTTAATGGTTCCCGCAATACGCCTTCTGGACTACTATAGACGTTGACGCGCAATTCCGCACACTCGTCTTTCCGAATCGCCAACACCGGATAATTCACACTAGTCCACAATCGCCCTACCATCATCGGCAACGATTGCACAGGTTCTTGGATCGAGTTCCGCATGGGCATGAAGAGGTAATAGCAGAAGGGAACTGCAATTATACGTCTACCTGCAAATATACGTCTACTTGCAAGTTGTACAAAAATCACTTGACAGACCATCTTCTTACTTTGTCCGGCACTAGCCATTAACATCAAAAAACGAAGAACATGAAAACACCAAACCACGACCTCCCAGCATAATAGACAGCGCCACATGCTCCTCTTTCGGCATCGCATACGCTAAATCCACCTGCAAAGCCAGTTTCTTCACTGCCATCCTCCCGTCGGGAGGCAGAGGCTTCGACATCGAATGGTTTTCGAATTGCTGAAAGCAAACATTCTGAAAGTAGCAGTTCGGTCCTAGATTGCAGAGATGCGATGAGTACTGCTGGTCTCTAAGCTTTTCTTGGTAAGCGGAGGATGATTTTGGTGCAGCGGCAGGAGTTGTTTTTTCACCGGAGGTACTGCTCTTGTCAAAATGAATGTCGTCTTCCTCCACTTTCTTCTGGTAGCGTTCTTTATGGGCAACGGCTGCTAGTAGGTGCTGTTGTAGAAAGGGCCCAAAGTCGTCTCCTAGATCGACGTCGGGTACTACGAGTTCGGAGAAGAGTGCAGCATCTCCTGAGGCAGTAGACGACGCTGCGCTTGTTTTTCTTCCTCCTTGCAATGCAATTTCCGCCACATCTGTATGCTTCAACGCTGCCTGCGCTCCTTGCTGCAACAGCCCTTGCTCCACTGCACCCCTCAAAGCCGCAACTTCCGCTTCCTCGCTTTCTTTAACTTCTTTTGCTAATTCAGGGTCAAGTATCTGAGGTTCTTGTGCCAGTTGCGACGCCAGGTTTTTCTCACCAGACGGCAAAAATCGGAAGCTAAAACTGTCCACGTTGTTGCGATAATAGCCGTCGATTTGCGTGGTAAAGCCACCCTCTTTCGCGATCGTAGACGGTTCATTGATGGAAGGCACCGTCATTTTCGTACGCGCTAGGATCTTAGGCTCGCGACTCAGAGCAATCTTATTCAACTTGGATTTGACCTGGGATCTACGGAAGTTACCATTTTCTTCGAACCAACGTGTTGCAAAAGCTGCTTCGCCGGAAGGTTGTTCCCCTTGTACTGAATGTGGCGCAAACAGTGCGTCTTTACCATCTTCTGCTACAGTGGTTCCTACCCATCCGACCGTTGGCGCATAAACTAGGCTACAACGACCACCACGCCATCCCCAGTGGCCAAAATCCTCGGTCTTCGTCTTGCCTACTGCTGTGCGGTCTGTATCGGCCAAGACTGCTCTGCCTTCTGTACTATGAATCGCCTCGATCTGGTAGCTCCTTCTTGGACAGGGCAATTTCAACACTCCGAGCAAACCAGGCGAATACTGATTTACACCCACCATCTGTCGCCACCCCGCGATGTCACCATGTGCAGACGATGTGTCGTATTTCTGCTCCTTCTGCTTCTCGACAGTGCGGCCTAAGTGCTCGATGCCTTCTAGTAAGGCTGCATCGTCTAGAGAAGCTGCTTGGCGACGTTCCTCGTGGAGAGACACTGCTGTCGTCCATGGAGCGAGGCTACTTCTATTGCTTGCCAAGGCCTCAAGTCCCGCACGTCTCCTGTTCGCCTCAGCTTCCAGCATGCGCTGACGCGCGATGATATGCGGATCCAGGCTCAGGCCATAGCAAACCCGCCAATGCCTCAACTCTGAGCTCGTAGTCCATTCGCGAGTGTCAGCGGTGAAGGTGGACCAAGATTGCTGGTAGTACCTGAAATTGCGACGATCTGGGATGAGATAATTCAATGATTCCTGAAACCAAGAAGTTGCCGATTTGGTATTCTTGCTGACTAAGGCGCCTTGTTCGTTTGTAGGTCTTATCTGTCTAGTTGCTAATCTATGCCCAGTGCAGCGGGCCCATCTGGCGGCAGCTGCCTGCAATGGAACCTTCGTTGCGGTAGATCCTACGTACACCCTGCAGAGCGTATTTGCTACATGCTGCGTGGAGCCAATACATAGCGGACGACTACAACGAACCACGAAGTATATCAAGAACATGTTGTCAAGTACCATTTATAGAAATCCTGCGGTCCTCCATAGCCCAGTGGCAGGTTTGAACAGCCCCCTGAAGACCAGATTTGTACTTGGCAGTATTCGCCTACGTTGATGCGGTCTTCACGCTTGTCGCAGAAGGTGTAAGCCACGGAATGAGTAGGATTCTTCGATGTTGTCTCCATTTCCTGGATCACAGATTTCAATTCTTGTTGTCGTTTCTTCGATAGCAGTTCATCGGCTGAAAGAAGTACTACGTCTTCCTCTTTAGATGTAGTCGTTTCCGCACTACTAGAAGTAGATGCTCTTTCCAGCATCTGTCCTGTATAACGTAGTAAGCTCCGGCGTAAGAATTTCCTATGAGCTGTGATGTTGTAACTGAACCTGACCTTGACGTTGTCAGGGAGAAAAGGTTGTTCTTGTTTGGTGCTCTTCCCTCCAACGACCTCTGCCGCATACATCGGCCATTCCTGCACGTTCAAATATGGTCGATGCCGCAACAATCGGCGTAGTTGGAATAGTGCGCCGGAGTGTCCAGGCAAAACGCGCGTGTGGCGAGGATAAAGGCTTTCCATATTGAAGAGTTCGAAACTCGCTTCGTCTACGTTGTGTTTGTGCTTGGTCTCCACTGACCGGTAAGGCGCGAGTATGGTTCCCAGTTTCGGTAATAGAACCGCCTGCGTGACAAAAGCATCATGCTCGAAGGCGTCGAAGCCCGCAAAGGAGATCAATACGTCTACATCCAGCATCGTCTTCAAAATTGTAGAAGCAAAGCTGCTAGTGTTGTTCCCTTGACCGCTCTTCAAAGCCTTGAGAAGTTGAAAGTATTTCGGCAAGAAGTGGCATCCGCTGACGAATTCCACTTCCAGCAATTTCTTCTTCGCGTTGATTCCTGCTACTATTAGAGGTTGAGAGTTGGCATCTCTAGCTCGCATATCTATGGCTTTCCTACTTGAAGAAGCCATAGAGATGCTCTTAGATGATAGGCCAACTTCCAACCCTTAATACTAGAGCGCGAATGCCTTGTTGCAACGACGACGTCGACATGGACATGCGTGGACAGCGAGGTGCGTTTCCTGGATGCGAAGCGTGCGGGTCATCCAGCACGTATCTAGTCGCTGTCATCGGTTCCCCAATCACGAGACTATGGTAATGCGCGTCCGCTTCAGGCACCAGTTGTGTTATCACACGCTGCCACGTCTGATCTGCTTTGCTACCGTCTGTAGAAGAAGACAAAGTCCCACTATCACTTCCTTCTTTCAGATACTGTTCAGGACAGCAAGGAAGTGACACTAGAACTTTCGTCACGGCCTCTGCTCCTTCGGTCGTCTTGGGGGATAGTGCACTTGCGTTCTCTGCATTCTTCTCACCCATGCGATAGAGAAATCGCCGGAAACCAAGCAAGTCTGGGACACTGGTGCCACCACGGTCTAGCCCCAGAGACAGCGCCATTCCTATAGCATCGTTGGCGACCTTGCTGTTAGATAAATGATGGTTCTTTGCTTGTACTATTCGACTGCAGCTTCCAAAAAGTGTGTCATTACTTCAGGAAAACCAAAGCAGTCTGTCAATTTGATGTTGCGACGTATTGTGAAAAAGCTTCATAAGCATAACTTTGTAAGCAGGCGTCGACAAATGATTATGAATCTCGTCACTGTTTGCGTAGCCGCCTGCCGCAAACCCGGTCACGAAATTCTTCACGCAGATCAGATTGTCAGACTCGCTGCCGCTTCCACGAGATACTAGTTCAAAAGGCGACTCCGAGTCACAAGACTCGTCTGAAGGTGCTCCTGCGTCGCTTGATGAAGCTCCTTCATCGAGGAGACCGGAACGTTTTTTCTCAGCTATGACATCCCCCCAAGATCGGAAATCACTTCTATCCTCCGTCAACCGTGTCCAGATATACTTCCTTGGAACCGCGAACTCGAGGATCCCTAGTTCTTCCTCGTCTAAGGCGGAATCGACCAGCAGCACGAGTGCGAATTAAAAGAAAAAGATGGTGTGTAGGGGACCAAAATCTACTTTACACTTAATAATTCATACGCTGTAATTTCAGTGGCATTTTTCCATAATGAAATTTCCCATCTGGATCGCTCACCTTCTCCTCCAATGAGAAAAACTTCAGGGTCATGAAAACCGTTCCCAAGTCGTCCAAAAGCATGTTGCCAAAGGGCTTCTTTCGTGCCAGCAATGAAGGACGAAAGAGGACAAAAACGAACTCTTTCTTGTTCCGGATTGAAGAGGAAGTTGGAGTAGTTGTACTTGAGCACTTATTTTTGCTAGTTGTAGAAGTTGTACTTCTGGTATCTCTTGTCTGCTGACCTCCGTGTTTCCATCTCATTTTTTCCAGATCCACGTGGACATGTGCGTCGCTAGGCACCATGTCCGGCACGTTGTTCGTGCGTGCTCTACGCAGGTGCTCCGAGTCACTGCTATGCGGCTCCACGAATAGGTTCTCCAAATTGTACCGGTCTATCACTGTCAAGACCACGTCTGGATGCTTGAAAAGGAGAAACTTTCGTCGAAACGGGTCCAAAGATTGCGCAGCGCGAGACTCTATCAAGGACTTCATGTGGGAAGACCCAGAGGAAGGACTACTTTGCGCCACTGCTTGTTGTCGGCTGTTTTCAATCTCGGCACAGTTATGCTTGTAGCTGTTTTCACAGGTTTTCTGAATCGGGAAACAAACATCGCGAAAGAAGCAGGTTGGCCCACGACCACAGTTGTGCCAAGACGCGCGCTGCGGTGCTCGGGAACTGCTACCAAAGTAGACACTTGCAGTACTGGTGCTGGTGCTTTCTGCATACGCAGTCGTGGTAATATAATGCGCTAGGCCTACAGCCCCAGTGAGGAGTCGTCCAGTTGGTCGCTTTCGCCGCCGCTTCCCGGGACGTCGCATGGATGCGGCATCGCGGTTACCCAATGACACTGGCATTGGTATGGAGCAAGACGAGGATGACTCCGACATTTTGTTGATTTCCATTTGGTTGATAAATACTTCTCAGCTACTTAGCTGGATTGGATGTGATACTCAGTTGTAAACACACTCTCACACACCTCAACAAACTGTCACAAAGTCTCTGGACCTCTCCACAGGGACTCGCAACCAAGAACCGAGTCAAAGGTTATACCGATATGACAGATCAACTCATTCTCCTCTCGACAACAGTAGGATGATGAGGACAGAGTCGAATCTTCATCTTGTTCAGAGAGAACTAGAGGATAAGCATTGTCACAGGGTAAGCACCGTTGTAGGATGAACCGCCCCCATACCTCGGCTTGCATGCTAATGAATCTCAGGGACGGCCCAACTGTGGACCCGGCGATTTTGTATCAAGTAGTATGAGAAGTTCGTTTTATGAAATCACAGTAGACACCCGAAACCAAATCCTTGATTCTCAAAATAAGACACAAAAACTTCCATGAAACATAACTAATGAACATGTTGCCACCTTTCATTCTGTTCGCGTATATCAATTCTTTGTTAATGCGTAGTAGACCATGCCTGCAGTCGGTGTATCGCCTATCTTGCCCAGACGAGCCACACTCTGCTCATTAAATTTTTTCCATCAAGAACCCTTTTTTTCTATACCCCGAGAACCCCTACTTAGTTATCAGATTTCGAATGTTGGCAGCTTCGATTATGCTTCTCCTGCCTTCCCTCCCAGACAGTCATATGTTTGCAACTTCTCCATTGTTCCCGTCTGCAGTACTTACTAAAACTTCAACACGCCATCTCAAGGCGCCGTCCACTGAGTCGCGCCTGTGGTAACGTCCCAGAAATAAGGGCTTTCGCCATATCGCGGATCTTTCACCCTTATCCAGCCAAACGCCGGTTGCTCTTCTAGGGTTTCACCGGTACGGATGTTCAGAAAAGCGACCTTTTCGTTTTCCTCGCCAGCATTCTCAACAATTGCTTCCCAATCGACGATAGTTCGGCTACCCCCTTCTTGCGAGGCTGCGCGATTCACCACCTTCGATTTGCTATTCACAACCGTGTTGGTCGTGAATTGACCCGCGCGTTTTAGAGGAAGACGAACAACAATGATAAGGAATACGAGCAATTATTCGGTGAATGTGGTCACATGAAATGCTAGTCGGCTAACAAGATAGCGCTCATGTGGTCCTACTGTCGAGGGCTCACTAGCTGGTGCTAACCTACTATCTTACAAATTGCTAATCTGACTATCTACTGTGCTTACTATCTTACTAATTAACCAAAGTACTAAACGCAAATCCTTTTCCTTAACTTCGAAGCCGCCGTCGCCACCTCGCCAGTTTTGTAGTAAACATCGCTCCCCTGTTCTTGCGCCGCATACAATGCAGAAACATCGGTGTCAGCAAGGGCTTGTCGGGACAACGAATCCAGCGACCAACCTTGAGTTACTTCATGCGAATATTAGATCCGAAAGTTCTTGTTAGTCAAAGACTCTGCAGAGAACAAAACTAGATAGAATACAAGTGGAACGAGGTTTTGTTCTACAACATCAATAGCTACGTCTCCAGCACTCATAACATTTCCTATGTTCCGACGCTCGGTCTTTCTCCCCTGCTTCAAGCAAGAGACGCATCATTAGATTCGACAGCTTTTCAGTGGCTTGATCCTTTTGCTTCACGTTTTCATCGAAATAAGCGATTGCTTCTTGTTGCTTCGACTCCCCTTGTAGCCCTCGCATCATTGCGTAATGGGTGTATCTGATGAAGTTTTGATTCTTGAGTAATCGCATTGATTCTTGAGTAATGAGTGCAACTGACGAAGTTTTTGCCTTCATTCTGGATGACAGTTCATTCTCAATGAAAGCAACGAAAACAAAAAGAAACAAATCTAAATAATCATAGTACGAGTTGATATGGAGTCGCGTGCGTCCAGTCCTTGACTTCGAGTTTTGACGATTCTTCAGTTTGTCAAAGTACTCTTGCGCCTTCACGCCTTCTCCCTGAGAGAAGAGAAAGGAAATCATCAAATTCCACGCAATGATATCATCTCGGTCGCGTCCCTGCAGATTAGCGGAGAAAACAGCCTCCGCTTGTTCTATTGGAGAGCGCCTTTCTAGAGGGACCATTTCCTTGTCTTCACCCTCTTCTTCGCCTTGTTGTAGGGCACTCGCAGAAGCTTCAGGAGCACCTTTGGTCTTAGAGGTTTACAACGTGGCATTCAACAAAGTGTTTTGATATATGGTGATCGAAATCTTCATCTTCTCGTTTCTAAAAATATAGAAGGAGCATCAACAAATGCTCAGCGCAGTGATTTACTCCTTTAAACACACAAGGCTCCCTCTCATGCCTTAATTCTCATCCCGTCTGCAATCACCAACCTCAGAAGTCCATCGATGCGCAAGTCACGTCTTTTCACCTGCTTGTCGTCTTCCGACAACGCTTTTCCGAGCCAATGGAGCGCATCCTCCACTTTGCTCGCATTGATATGCACACCAAGCACACAATTGTAGGCAAACGCATCAGGTCGGACATGGGATATGAAGAGGGGACTACCTAGGGTAACTTAACCATGACCTTGTCAAAACCACTCGTCAGCATCAAAATAATCAAAAATTTTCTTCCTAACCCTCTTATTGATAGCTATACCACCAACGTGAAGGTAAAAAGCTACTACTACAACATGACATCCATATCATTATCCAGCATCTTCTGCATCCATTCGGCGGTTTTTTTGGGATTGCTCTGCGAAGCCCAATAACTCATGAACCCCATGTAACAGGCAGCATTGGCCTTCACACCATTGGCCTCCATCTCCTTGAAATACTCTATGGCGCGATCGTGATCCGAGCACCGACGCGCAAATCCGTAGACCATGATGGAGTACATGACAACGGTCGGCGACGTGTCTTTCTTCAGGGCTTCGTGTTTGTTAGAGCTATAGGAAAGAGAATGTGAGAAACCACGACTAGCCTGTAGTTCCGCAAAAACTGGTAATATGCGCTAACATTCATCCATCAGTATCATCCTTCTAACGTGCATGAAATATAACCAAAAAGAATGGATTCTCTCCTTAACTTTGAACTCGTTGAAATACTGCTCTGCTTTCTCTGCTTTTCCCAGTTTGAACGCCCCGTTGATCAGTGTCGAGTACAGCACTTCTTCGTCCGCTCGACGAGGCTTTTCAGCGGCTTCCGAGTTTTTTGGCTCAACTGTGTCATCCGCAACCTGCGACGCCATGTTCTTTGCATCCTGTCCATCACTTGTGGCGTTTTTCCAGTCCTTGAAGTAATCTTCCGCTAAATCAAAGCGTTGCGCTTCCAAAGCGCAGTTGACCAGAGCGGCGTAGGTGTACCCATTTAGCACTTCGCCGTTGGACAGCGCGCGAGCCTTCATCTGCTCTGCTCAGGGTTAGAGGGGAGTGGAGAAGGGATGGCACGAAGATTGACAGATCTATCATAACGTGCAACTCCAAATCCATCGTGCATGAAGATGCCATCACAAATATAACAAATGAGACAAGAAGCAGTCACGTCTGAAACCACAAAGTGCAGCGTCAGATCCTTAAGTGGAAGAAAAAAAGAATTGTTTCACAACAGGTAGAATTGTCCATAATCAGCCAGTATTTTTTCTCCGTCACCACTAAAGACCTTCGGAATTCCCTTCAAGGCGATGTTGTACATCTGGATTCTCGCATTCACGTCCTCACTCATTTCTAACTCAGCCAAGCATGCAGAAATCTGTGTCCAATTTCCTGCATTTGCTGCATCATCCAGAGTTTTAAACGTTTTCTTCACAGTCAGCATTCGTCTGGCTGTCTCCATGTATAGTCGACGCGCTTCGTCCTCATCGGCGGCTGCTTCGGCCGCTTCGGTCGCTGATGGAGCAGCTGTGCTAGTCTTTTTAGAGAAATAGATTGACCATTGTCATTAGTTATAAGATATTCCATTGTCAAACAGTGAAAAAAGATGCCGTTCTTGAAGCTGAAGACCACATGACCAAGACCACGTGACTCCGTCTAACTAAAGAGTGGATCGATTGTTCTGAACTGCTAAGTAGTTCATAACTGCATCGACGCTCTTCTCACTTTCGATTTCCGCTGCACAGCCATCTTCTCCGAGAGCATACTTTTTCGCAGATTGCAACTTGGCTTCGAAGGTTCTCTCAGCTTCGATCTTTCGCCGGTAACCTTTCGAAGTAGAACTGCCAGTAGGAGGTGCTTTCGGTAAAGGGATAAGCTTCCCACCAGGCAAGGAGACTGTGGAGAAGAAGCTTGAACACGTGGCAGCATCTTTCGTGGTAGAAACGTCCGCAGTAGCCGTGGCGGCTGCATCTTTTATGCTGACTGCAGGGCTGATTGGGGCATTTGCAACTCCACCAGAGACGGCGTTGGGCGCAGCACTGGTTGCAGCAGCACTCGAGAAGCAAGCAGCCCCTGAGCGGGTAGTTGACGAATGACGAAGCAACAATGCCATTTTTGCAAGATGTAGTCAGAGTCAGTTAGGATATCGATATACTGCGTGAAAAGCAGAGTTATGCCCTCGTCATCGCTCGTATTCGTCCGTCTTCAATCTTCTAGTAGACCAGACCCTCACATAAAACGATGAGAAACAACTTCCTCGACCAACTTTCACCAACAACAACACAAGATCACACGATACCAGCACACAATCACACATTGCGCCGCTTTTGTGATTCTGCAGGGAGCCCCACTAAACTTCAATCTGCTTCCACCGCCAGAGGGAGAGCAGAGCGTCAATCAAAGGAACACCATCACAACCCTTCGCGCGCATGGCGCCTCCATGACGTGAAGTTTTTTCTTTTGCAGGTCGTGTTACGTTAAACTGATATCCGTATTGATGTCTTTCCATTCTTGATTACTTGTGTAAAGAGCATACGGAATTATGTGCTAGTACTTGCGTTTTGCGGTTGTGTAAAAACGCTATGATTGCGCCATTAAAAAATCTTCAATAATTCTCATCAGCTCCAGAAAACAACCGACTCACAAAGCACAGAAGTGGTACTAGATCCACGTGTCTGTAGCATCGGACCAGAGCCTCGCTCAGTTCTTCCAGAATCTAATGACTCCTTCCATCCTTATTTCACGGGTGCCACAGAGCTTGCCTCCATATCAGAGCCTTCCTCCTCATCCTCCCAGTCGTTATCATATGCGCTACCATCCGCAGCTTCTGATTTGTTCTGCGTCTCAACGTCTCTTCCTGTGGAAGTACTAGGGCCTGCACGTGGCCCCGCGGCCAGCTGTGGAGGCGCTTCATCTGCATATGGGATTGACGCCGGAGCTGACGGCCCTGGCGGTGGGCCACTAGCCTCAGAGCCACCCTCAGAGTCAGACAATTCTGAAAATTCCTCCGGATATTTCTCGCCACTCTCTCGGGAGACCTGTGCGTCGTCTGATGTCTCAGACAGTGCATCTGCATCTAATCGCCCATACTGTGCATCTGCGTCTAATGGCGGAGGCTCTTGACCTGTACTTGGCTCCGCAGCTGGTGGCAAACGCCTGACACCTGCGATATCCGCATCTGCAGACAGGACATCTGCATTTGCCGCCGGAGCTGGAGGCACAGACTCTTGATCTGTGACACCCGGGACCTCCGACTTCAGTGGCTCTTCCGGAGGAGGCTCTTTGTCCCATGGACCACCAGAGTTACGATCTATGTAGCATGATTGAGGGAAGTCTCGAATCGAATCTGATGGTTGAATGTGTTTCCACTTTTCCAGCTCATAGTCTTCAGGGTTCCAAGTCCGATGCAAATCGGCCCCCATGCCGATGACGATAGCTTCCACCTCACTTTTCCAAGCTCCGTACACGTTCCAGGGAGAGCATATTCTCTGGACAAGATCTAAAAAAGTGCTCAAGCGGTCTCCCACCTCCGCGACATTTTTGTAAAATCTCCAGTAATCGACTCCCTGAAGTGTATGCAAGGTGAGAATTGCTCATGTTTGAAAGTTGCATATACAACCAAAAATTCAAGATTCAGCATCAAATCTGCAAAGGATCTTCCTAGTATTTTTCCATACGACCCAAACGAAAAAAAAATACCTTCAAACGGGACGCAAACTGCTTGGTCTCGTCGCTACACAGAGGGTTGACCTTGGCTGTCATCTCCGCTTCCACTCTGTCAGTAAACACCGTGGTCAACAGTTTGCCAGCAGGAGTATGCCCCCATGTATTAGGCTCAAGCCCGAGAAAAACCTGGAAAGGAGTGTCTTTTTGAATACTCTTAGACTCTATGAAAAACACAAATTCCTTGTTGTTGTACATCAGGAAATTATGTAGGTGAGATGTCATGCTCTCCGTCCATCTCGGGTTGAGTTTGCAACTAGGAGCATTCTAGTCCCCGTCAGCAAAACATTTGCTCTGTTCTACCAAGTCAAAGCTTCAACATGCAGTGCGAAATTATACCCAGTTGAGCATTTGCGCGTCCTTCTCTGCTGCCTCCTCGCCCATTGTGTCTTCCACGTGAGAAACTTCTGAACTCGGAACACCACAGCTCCATGCGTGATCCATGTCAAACAGGTCCAGCCGCCAATATAATGCCCCTGCCAATTCCTGGAATGCCTCAGCCGCGCGATATGGCGCCAGGAAATCGTCGTCGGTATTTAGAAGTGGTTTCTCCCCCATTGTTGCAATGAGTTTTGCCGGATTCCCTTGCAGAATCGCAGTAAAACTCTTATCCAAGCCGCACTGAATGGGAAAATATGGGGATTGAGATGGTGGGATCCTCAAGAAAAACACGAATTCATTGACCAATCTGAAATCTGTGGGTCTTCTCCATGTTGTGTAAGCTGATAAATCTTATAGAACAATCGAGATACGATACTAGATAGCTGCGATGTAGATGTCCTTACTCCGCTCTCACGCTTACAACGGCAAATCTATTCTGATGCGACAGCATCAAAAGCATTTCCAAAATGGGCTTCGGCGCTCTTCCCGGTTACAAAAACTCCTTTGCTGCCATCAGACGCCGAGTGTATACTGCTTGCTCTCGGCGCACGAAACTAGAACGCCCGCGGTTAATCTACGCAAAAAAGTGTCAACAAATATTTCGCACATCTTTGCGTGATTAGTGGTCGCACATTGACACTTCTGGCTTTTTGAATTCGTAGCTCAGACAATAATCGATAAAAAAATATTCTGAACATGAACTACGAAATAAATGTAAGAAGTGTGCCAATCTACTTCTCTTAACAGAATACGCTCCGATTCGTCAGTCCTGGGGCAGCACACGCGAGCAAATACCAAAATGCACAAGCGCGCTATTCTACATGCTCTTGATTCTGAACTAACTGCGCTTAAAGAAGATAGTCAATTTCTCTGAGTACCATTTTCTGCTGGTGGTCGTGCTCGGTCCATTGCTTGCTAGCTACTCTCACCTTTTTCCATTGCTCACTGTCGATATCACACCATGCCCTTTTCTTGACTATTTTCGCAACGTCTTCCGGCTGCCACCAAGTTCTACCTGCATTTGTGAGAGCCTTTGCCCACTTTGTGATTATCGTCAACAGCCCAATTTTCTGCGGGCCTTAGAATTTCGTATGGGACTTTTTATTTACTTACAACAAATAATATCACTTTCTCTGTGTCAATCCAGGAGCAATATCTTGTGCTGGAGCGGGATTCTAGGCGACAACTTCACTACACATAGTTCGTTTTTCAGTGTTAGCTCTGAACATTTCAAAAATATAGAGCAGAACTTTAATAGAGCAGCACTAGAATCCAACCAGCATGCATCTATAACGCGTTGCCGAAGTAACGCGCTAAGCCTGTCATAAAAAACGAACTATGTGTATTGAAGTTGTCGCCTAGAGTCCCGCTCCAGCAAGTTTCAAAAATATAAATATCCTGACTTAACCATCGTGGCAACGGATCATCCAGTCCTGCTGATCACCATGGAAGGCTTTCGTGAACGCCGGTCGCAATGCTAGGGACATTATTGGATTCAACTCCGCGAAGAAACGTAGACCCGCTTTATACCTCTTTTTACATCTCTTTTCTTTGTCTGCCTCCCGCTTAGCCCTAGCAGCCTCTTCTGACTCAAGAAACGACGCCAGGCTGAGAGCCTCTTGCGAGACTCCTGAATCTTCTAGATTTGTAGCGAATCCAAGACGTGGTTGATTCCTCCGCCCATCATCACCAGCCGTAGTTACATTCACCACTGCACCTGCTCTTGCCGCCTTGTCTCCATTCTTGTTGTACCCTGAGCATGACACAGCAACGAGGACCCACGTTATCCAAAACCCATTCACCGACGGCTTTCCGAATGCAGCCGTTGGCCTCATGGTTGGGCCCTTCATCGGAAAGACCCACATATTCCGACGAACGGAATGAAGCAGAAACTTGAAAAATGCTCACCCCATAATGTTGCTTGTTTTTCCTTACACTTTCCACTTAGACATTTACGTAAGTACTTCGCCATTTGATAGAGAGCTAACGCAAAACGGACGAAATCGCCAGAAGTAGGACTTCTTTCTCTCTGATAGAGTAAGACTCATTTCCCAGTTCGTTTCTAACTTTGCTTTCCTTGGTTTTGTCTCGCTCATTCAGGATTTAGGAAGCCGTTTCTTCAAGAAAATTTAAAGGCCTTCTTTTTCTCGCGTCAAGTCCCATGCGAATAGGAACACCAAGCTCTGCCTAGTAGCCGAAGTATGCTTTTCCTTCATGGATGGACATTCGCAGACACATTCTCTTCAGCATTTCTGCGGCTAATCAATCTTCATGTGGTCCTTGCACCAAAAGACGAGGATTATCCCTTATGCGTGATCGGCTACGCGGCTCCACCCCGCCCGGCACCTGCTCCTTGAGGCAGCGATGTACTCTTTTCGATTAGACGTGACCACTTTCCCATTGAGGGAAGCTCTAAGGATTATGTTACAAGTAGACGTCGAGGGACATTCACTTAACACTCAATCAATATCAATCGACCTCTCTTAACTCTATATGGTTCTTTGCGCTCTTTAGGCCCTCCTCCAAAGCGTCACCCCGTTGCAGGTACTTCGCGCAGATTTTCGCAATGCACCACATTCTCCAGGATCGCGGTGCCTGTCTTTTACTTACGGCATTGCCAGCCGCAGACCCACGCGTTTCTTCCTCAGGACAAAAATCGTCGTCAAGCCAATCTCCTTGCGACCTGCCGCGTCCGTATCCGACGAGTTCCTGAGGAAGCGTCAAGCACGTAGTTAGCAGAGAAGCACAAGAATGGACAGCATGACGAGGATAACTACTATGAATGATGAGATGCTGTTGAGAAGACCACAGTCAAAGATCGTCAAAAAACATTACATCAAGGGCGGTTCCACTCCCAAAAGTTTTGCTTGCAAAGTCGCAAAAGCTCTTCAATTTCTGATCTTGTTCCGCAACTGTGGCCAGGAGGGTCGATATGTCCACCTTAACCTGGAAGAAAAATGAGATTCAACAAGATGGATACGGCTTCTGAGCCACAAAACCTCAGTTAGGGGATCTCGACCAGGGCATCAGACACAGGGATCAGCTAATCCGCCCCATGAAGCAAATTGAATCTTTCAGGCCATGACGAGTGGCGAACAAACATACATAGCAAGCTGTGATACCTCGGATCGCTTAAACAGCTTATCTACCCGTTGTTCCAGTGTTTCGACTTTACTATGGCTATTCCGCGTGGCGTGTCCAGGCAGGAGGCGCTCCAACTGATCCGCTGCCGCTTCCCTGTGCGTGTCTTCAGTTGTCCCCGACCAGGGGCAAAACGCTTTCAGTCCGTTCTGTGATAGCGTACAGAAACAAATCCACTAGCCGTAAATATCCGAGGGATGGAAAGGAGAGGAAGAACCAACAACAGACACTAGAGAAAAAAGTCAGTTTGATTCATAACGAAGCAAGTTATATTACAGTACATTGCTCCACAAGACTCGTTGTTCACACAGATCTTGATTTGAATCACAGAAACTACTCTGCTCTATTCAACGACTGAGACTTGCCGGTGATCGTATTGCGAACCAATTAAGACAATACCTGAATATCCTGTGTTGCGCTTTCGTATAATCGAAAAAGGGGGATCATGTCTGTATAACTCGGCTCCTCTCCCTCCATTTCCAAACTCACAAGGTACCCCGCGTCGTTCGCTATACTCGTGAATTGACGCATTAGAGATGAAAAAACAACAGTCTTACATAGACATCTTCCAGTGTAGTCCTTCTGACTCGCCCTTCAAGATCTATCTTCCCCTGGCCATGCCACTCCCATATCTAAATCAGATAGGCCAAGTATCGACCAACCCAAGAGAAGCGAAAAAGCAAAGAGGGATACTCACTAACAGCTTAAATTGCATTTTTTGTAAAGGACGCAAAAATAAAAAGTGTCACTCATAAGCTACGAAGCCCCTCCAGCGTCGTCTCATCTACCTGTTGATCCAGCTCCGCTGGCAGCTGCTTTACCGCCAAATGTACCTTTTCGGTGTACTCCAAAAACGAGGTCTCGTAGTACAGCTTCCTGTCTTCATCAGTTGCCTTCGATACCTGTCGGTGGATATGTTCGATCCCGAGTGAAGCCCAAAGAAAATTTAGAATGTGGCGAGTGTGTCTTCGCATCAACATTTCTCCTCGACTAGTATTTCACCGCGTTGCTCATCATGCGTATTCATTTTTTCATCTACGCTCGTAGGAGAATGTAGTTTACCAGAATGTTATTACAGACCTGAATAGTACCCATATCAGATCTGCACGCAGCTCGCTAAGCTCGCGGCGCCTAGTCGGGTCGTCGATGATAGTTCGATTTGGATCATCGGGGTAAATCTTCCGAATAGCACCCCGAAGTGTTTTCGCCCACATCGCCACGAGTGTAGGAAACCAGCACTTTCCCGACGGGTCGTCTGTGTTAGACGTCAAGTCTGGAAATAGCGACAATTTTCTTAGGTTCTCCTTGCTAAAAAAAGCGTCAGAAAAAAATGTCAGGCTGGGACGGAGCTCCGCCAGCCCAACTTTCCTCGTATTCTCTGCAGTCACCTAGAAGATGATTGTTGATTGTAGTCAAATCCGAAGTAATGTACCCATTCGGGGGGTATAAAAGATTTTAATTAGCAAGTTGTGCTTCTTCCAATACTTCATTCCTCATTTCGCTCCTGATAAGACTGCTCTTACCAAGAAGGACAATTGCTCATCTTCAGCATTTCTTTACACTGCGTTACTAAACAAAGACTAGACTTTAGTTTCTGTACCTTTTCATGTACGTCGGAAAGTGCCGGGGTGCTGAGGAGCTGCAACTGCCTCTCTGCCGGCGTACTGTGCGTGTCTGCCTTCCCCGACGGGGTGCACTCCGCTTGCAGTTCCTGTGAAAAGATTGTGTTGTTGTAACCACTTCCTGTACATAGAGGAGGAATCTGTAGAAGTAGGAGAAAGATATACAGTGGGGCCTTGAGCAGAACGTGATCTACCGAAGCAAAAAATCATACTTCATCTTCAACTTTACATGATTATGTCCTTGTTTTCAAGGGGTATTTTTTACAACCCAGACAATGACTTGATGAATAACAGATGAAAATAGATTATCCTACTAAAGCGTAGAAAATTCATGTCTTTTATCGTGTTTCGGACCAAGTAAGACAATACCTGAATGTCCTTTTCTGCGTCTTCGTATCGTAAAAGCGGAATAGTTGTAGAACTCGACTCCTTACGGAAATACCCAAAGACGGTCTTAGTTGATGACCGTTCCGGATCCGCACTATACTGCAGCCTGTTCCATGGCTTGTTTTCCGCGCCCTCTATTAGCAACTCCGCAAGGTAACCCGCGGTATTCGCCATACGAATGAGGTCAGACATTAGAGATTATTAGAAGTCATTCTCTAATTGTCTACATCGTTATTTCTAACGAAGTCTCTAGAAAAAATCAAGTGGTGCACACATAACCAGGGGTGCGGTGGCGCTGAAGACCCGATTTGCGGGACAAAATTAGACACCTACCGATTTTCATAAATCCTTTAGCGTCGCACGATTCTCAAAGAGCTGCAGAGCGGCATCATCGGTGCTCGCCGTCGGCAATTCTATTTTCGACGATGCCGAATTCACCTGCTCGGTGTATTCCAAAAACAGCGTCTCGTAATAATGCTTCCAGTCTTCATCATTCGCTTGCGATTTCTGTCGGTTGATAAATTTAAACCTGCAGTGCAATCCAACAAGGATCTTGTATGATGAAAGTCTGTCCTAGATTCAAAATTCCTCATAAAATATGGCTCCATCCCGAATGATTATACACCATTTGGTCTGTACTGCTCACACAAGCATAAGGGACGAGTTACACATAGCATATAAAAATATCACACATGAATTTATGCTCAATAAGGTGAAGGTTGAGGTTAACCCTATATGCTCAATACGTATGAATATATATGTCGCCATTCGTTAAGCTGCTCACGCCTTTCCATCCGGCCTTTCCATAGTTCGCCATCATCGGGGTAAATTTTCCGAATAGCATTCCGATAAGTTCTCGCCCACATCGACACAAGTGTAGGAAAGCGGCACTTTTCCGACAGGTCCTCTGTTCTGGGCTTCAAGTCTGGAAAGAGTGCCTTTTTCCTCAGCGTCTTGCTGGCAAAAAAATCGTGAGAAAAAAATGTCAGGCTGGGACGGAGCTCCGCCAACCCAGCTTTCCTGTCCTCGAGTGCACGCGCCTATGATGACGATGTTTTTCGTAAACAAGAACAACATTGTAAAACCCACCCCCTTTTTTCAGCAAAAGGTAGAAACGTCCGTCTTCTGTACCTCGACGGACTGCACTAGTAAGAGACTAGACTTTGATTCTGAAAACTTATTGTTGGCGCTGTAGTATTCATGATTGAGTATCTACCTTCACCTCCGGATCCTCCGTCGTGGTCGCAGTTTCCGTCGACGCCACAAAGCTCGATGGAGATACTATCGGGGCATCGCCGACGACATCGACACTCTTTTTTTCATCGTGGAACTCCTCTCCATGTTGTCTCGTCTCTGCTTCGTCTGGGATAACATCGCCACCAGATGGAAAAATTTCCCATTCAAAATTAGAGCAGCATGTAGGAATGGTAACGAAACTATTCTTGGAGCAAACTTCACAAGGTTAAATTTGCATATTGATACAAATACAGGAGGTAAGGCGCTCCTGGTGATCTTCATTATTGCTACGATTGCGGGATGTGACGATCTTCATTACTGAAACAGCTACAGTCTGACGAAACATCTTCGGCTAATGATAACTGTTCCTTCTTGCCTTAGCCCATCTGTGTGCATGGTCCCTCGCAAGAACAACGAGAACACTGATGACCGGGATCAAGAAGACGCCTATTGTGACAGTCCTCCCGCACTTTTGCCGATCCATTTTGCCGCAGCGTGCTATGCTGACGTATGATGTACCGAATCGACGGCGAAAATTGTATCGCAGTCACTGGCGCGACTTGCCGCAGTGTGATGTGCCGAATCGGCGGCGAAAATTATATCACAGTCACTAGCACTTCACGAGTCGACTGCTTCTCGAAAGCACTGTTGCTGACACGCAGATCGAGCTAGGAGTGCGCGTTGGAAGACAAACGTGGTACCTCGACAAAAACGGAAGGAGTCCGAGGTTGTAGGAAGGCGACACTGCTGGTGATGCAGTCCACTAAATGTTATCGAGCGCTTCGCAGGTCGAGGCGCGCCCCCGCTCTTCGAGCACGAGCGATGACGCTCGCACAAAGACTCGGTCAAGGTTTTCCAGAGACGGCTTCACGGGGTCCGTCCGGGAGTGTGGTCCCTCGGGGTAGAAAAGGGCGCTGGGACGCAAAACTCGGAACGTAAGTCGTGACAGCGGTCCTCATGCACCATTCGGCGAACTCTCCAGTCGGCCAGCAAGTCTCAGAAGGAAATTTCGCATCTTTTCTAGGTCACTGTAGTTACTAGCCTAAAAGTTTGTATTATGCCCAGCAAGTCCCAGTATCTACCATCAATTTTTCCCATTGATTGCGCTTTCAAAACCATTTTGCGTCCCAGCCATACTGTGCTTTTGCTCATCTGTACCTATTGTATTGACCTCTCTCTCTCTCTCTCAAGTCACTCCGTCTCTCTTCCGTTGTTTCCGTGCATGTCACCTTTGTTTCCACTCATTTCGCCTCGGAAGTCGTTCCGCGGATACCAAAAAGGAACAGTTCGGGACCCGTACACATCTCGTCTCTAGGAGGCATTCTTCATCATCATGTCATCTTTTCCCAACAATAAATTTGATGAAGAATTGTTTCTTTTGAAAAATATTTTTTGAGAAAAGCGTAGCCTCTTCATCCCCCTAGAGGAGAAGGATAGCTCTTCCAATGCGATGAAACTACATGATGTGTAGGACGATTCCAAATATCAGTCATGAAGGACTTGATATAGCCTTTCATAAATAGGAACTCTTAGAGCGTACCAGGGATCTTCCCATGGATGAAGCTCTACATGCGTTATGACAAATTATGACCGCTCCATATGTTGCTTGACAAGCGCAGAATATGTTATTGCGCTAAGGAAAAACGTATGTTATATGTGAAAGTATGGTATATTTACATCATTGATGTCAACCACTCAATTACCCTCAGGAAGCGAAGGATAGGCTTCCCCATTAGACCTTACTTGTAGTTTTTCCCCAATACAGCAACTTTTGGATAAGTCATCGATCTCAAAGGTCACACGCAGCAACGGTGTCACACTGGAGTGTATACTCACGCTGTTTTGTTAGTGTGCACTTTCTTGAGGACAACTTGATCCTAAATTGTACTTGAGGACAACCAAATTGTACTCCTTGGAGAAGAAGATTTTTCCAGGATTGAGTTTGGTGTTCAAACTTAAGTATTAGTATAATCAAGGAAGAAGAATCCAAGTAAGTTACAGTCGTGTATTGCTTCCTGTGCATTTTTAAGTGCTGAAGACAACACGGCCCACTCAAATAATTTACTGTCAAATTTGTGCTGAAGACAACACGACCCACTCAAGAAATTAATATGTGCTGAAGACAGCACGACCCACTCAAGAAATTAAATAGTCAAATTTGTGCTGATGACAGCACGACCCACTCAAGAAATATAATAGTCACATTTTAGGTTGGACACTAGAATCTAGGTTGGACGCCTAGAAGTAGCTTGCCTTCCTACACCTACTCCTGTTGACAAGTCCTCTCCTGTGAGGCTGTTCATTTGACTACGCACACATAGTCTCCCCTTGATTACAATTGCCTTTTTCTAACGCATCATTGCCTTTTTCTACTGATGCGTTTTCTCCACAACGCTCCCTCTTTCCAGCGTTCTCCCTTACTGCCCAGCGTTTTCAGCCAACGGGCGAACGCAGATATCGCGATCCTCTGGCCCCCAGACGTTCTTGCCGCTGCCGTCAATCTGGATGCGGTAGGGGTTGCCCTGATCCCAGATCTTGAGAATTAGAGAGGGGAAAACGAGAGGAGCCGAATGATGAACAGTATTTTTGTGATTACAGTGAGGTCGATGTCTGTTGTGCTAAGAATGCTTCTAAGAGACTCACAAGAACTTCCCTAGCTAGGGCTTAGGGTTGTTGAGGCTGGTGGTCATCTAGTTTTGTACTCGGTGTCGAAAATGTGACAAGGTTCTGGAACAGGCTGGTCGACAAGAAACGCTCCATCTACTATCTACAGGTCACTACAAGGAAGCATAAGATGATGGTTCCGGTCTCCCACTGGTTACGACCGGTCTTCGCTTGAACCTTGTCGCCGATCTTGAATCGGAGGTCGACCTCAGCCTTGCAGTCCATGACCTTCTCGGTCAGCATGGCCTTGTCCTCGGCAGTCAGACGGCCAGGATATGAAAGAGGAGAGAAGTGCGGGATACCTTTCAGTCGTTAAAAGAGAACTGATGTCTTTTCAGGCTCTAGACCATGCCACGGAACACTCGTGGGAGAGAGCAGTCATGAAGAAAGAAATCAAACTTGTGTCTCAAATTTTGCATCGTGAGAAACGCTCTCTGGCGAATCACAAATAATAGGACCCAAATTCATAAGATGAAGACCAATCGGCACTCGCGAGTCTCGCCTTCCTTCCAGAGGAGATCCTTTTCGCGGGAGAAGCCAGCGGCCATGAGCATGTGCACACCTTGGAAGACGAACTTCTCTGGCATGTTTTTGACACTCAAGACGCCCTTGTAGCGGAAGAGGTCGTTGGATTTCGTGGTGATCATCTCGTCCAACCAACGCTGGAGGCGGTTCACGTTCAAGTCGCCCGCGAACCTTTTTGTGGTGGTTTGGATTGTCGATTAGACAAGGTTTACTGGTGCACGCGCGATTAGAGTTGGGGAAATGGAATACATAGTGCGTTTTCTTCATAGAAATTCGGACACTAGCAGACTGAATCACGAGTTTCAGACCTTTTCATGGAAGTCCTAGGAGTTTGAGCCGAGACGGTCTACACGGTGCTCTTTACGCAACCAGTGTCGTCAGTGTCATTAGTGCTCTGGTTAGAAGCGCACCCTGGTCTGGTATACCAGGTTTGCAACTTTCAAAAAATGTACAGCGATTCAGGCGCACGTGGTGGCCATCATGACTGATCTACAAGTACTTGATGATCATTGCCATCATCTTGAAAGGACTCAACGATTGTGTCATCGATACTCATGCTGACCTCTCTTCATCACATGACAACGAATGGATGCAAATCGGTCCCACATCAAAATACTATGAAGGAGCATAAAGCAAGAAGACAAAAAAAAGTACTTGACACTGTGACTGGAGACGCGGTCGTCGTGTTCATGTTCGCCATCGGTGTCCAAAAATTCCGGATCCATTTCCAGGACACGCTTCAGGTCGAAAGCTCCAACGTTGAGAAGCTTTTTCGGATCCACAACGGAGTTCTGGCATCGGTAGATCGGTGCATGGGCGTTGATGGCTTTGATACGCTTCTCCACGTTCTTAAGGCCTTCTTCCTCTGGAACCAAGTCGATCTTGTTCAGGAGGACGCAATCCGCGAAAGCAAGTTGTTGAGGATTAGAAGCAAGGCGTTGATGGGTTTGGGAAGCTGAGTAGTATTCGATAGGTTGACTAGGATTCTTCAAAATTTAAAAAAGAGTCTAATCGAGTGTCACAGATTTGTGAAGACTCCAATAGGATGCCTGTGTATCCGTCTAATAGAGTCTAGTAGAGTGTCACAGATTTGTGAAGACTCCAATAGGATGCCTGTGTATTCTTACAACACCTTATACCCATATATTCACTCATAGGACCTCCTGTTCATAACAACAGTTTCATTCTCGACACCTTCCGGCTTCTCTTCGTCCAAATGCTGGATCACGTGCTGCGCATCCACCACGGTGACAATCGCGTCCAACTTGTACAGAGCCGAAATGGTATCATCCACGAAGAAGGTCTGCGCGACCGGTGCCGGATCAGCGAGACCGGTGGTCTCGATGATCACGCCATCAAACTTTTCGACCTTTTTGTAGAGCTTCTTCAAGGCTTCGACCAGATCGCCACGCACCGTGCAGCAGATGCACCCGTTCATGACCTCAATCACTTCTTCGTCGACGTTTTGTGCCGCGGAGATAATCTTCTCATCGACACCGACCTCACCGAACTCGTTCTCGATGATGGCGAATTTCATGCCGTGCGTCTGGTCATTCAGTATGTGGTTCAACAGCGTGGTCTTTCCGGAACCCAAGAAACCGGTCAAAACGGTCACCGGAACCGGTCCATCACGCTCCCGCTTCAAAGACATTTTGTTTTTGCGTCTGGGGGTAGATAAAACTCGAGAAAGTCAAGCGAAATCGATGTCAAAGAGTGACGTTGGATGATTACGATAAATTCAATATGTTTATGTTCTTAAACCACTCAGTGTGTATATATATTCTACAGTGAAAAACTCTCAAATGGGTGTCCTGGAGGGATGGAAAACATTTGGTGAAGAAGATGACAAAGCTGTTTGCGGAGTGCGCGGGCAATAGATACAAGGCAGGAAGATATCAAGGCAGTGTCTGCATCAAAGTGGCTGTCATCCAGAAATCGTTGTTGTACAGGGGATTTTTATCCTATAGATCTTTTGCTCAGACTTCACATTTCAGGAGGCCTGGAAAAACAACATAAGAAAATGCCGAAAATGTCGAACAACACCTGACTTTATCCGGCACACTGCTGCTCCCACCGCGATCGCGACGCATCACGTCGCGTCCTTCAGACGCTTTTGTATTTCTTGATAGCTATAAAAAGGAGAAGTCTTTGAGGTGACAACGCAAGAAAGCGGTTTTTGAAGCAGGCTACTAGCGGATCTCCAAAGTCATGGAACCTTCCCGGAAAAGGTTCCCACCAAGAGATCGCCTTTCACCACTTGAGCATCGTTAAAGTCTTTGATGGTCATGATATCACATGTGGCCACACAGCATGCCATGTGCGAAGAGCGTCGAGTACATTGCAACCAGCTGTACATCAAAAAAATAGGAAGATCACACTAAGATTTATCAGTCATTACAACCAACTTACAATCTAGCTTCTACTCAAGGAGAGAAGATCAAACTATAAAAGATGTGTTCCATCGCTGATTATGTGGGTAGTCCTATTATGTAGTCTACGAATATGTTCATGCGCACCAATATGGTACTGCTTCTTCTCTACTGAGTGGTTCTCTTCTCCCATCATGGTGTGCAAAGAACTCATCACAACGGTCGAGCACGGCCTTCGATCTTCGTTTATCTAGAATCAATATGAAGAGAAAAATCATGCATAGCTGAATGGCTTTTTGCTACGCCTATCAAGACCAAATCGTTTTTTGACCATATAAGTTGTTTGAAACGTCTGAATTCTTCGTTCTAAATTCATGCACAGTCTAAACTTGGTCGAACTTCGTGTCACCCCTTCTTCTGAAACAGAATAGCATTATTCTAAGAAGACGCCAGAACCCTAGAAAATACAACGGAAGTGTCGTCCTAACGAAGATCCTAACTAACTAGCTTTAATAGACCTGCTTTTACCTAACTATCACAACACAAATATGTGTGTTTTGTCCTACTTCTACCCGGCAATCCATTCGTATATCCGAAAAGTATTCATATCGAAGATCGTGTTGTTCCCAAGAGAGATTCAGTTTTCAGCATCGCAAATGTTGTCGGTACACTCACCACAGCTGCACACCCCAATCTCCCCTCTTGGTTCGCTTTCACCTCCCAGATCATGATCTACTTCATTCTTATACTGCATGTTGTTGTTCCTTCAAGTTGTAACCGAAAAGAAAACGTGAAATCAAGCTGTAAAAGATGTTGCTTTCTTGTCCTTCAATCGTTGAGTTGACCTACACTTGCACTGGTAATCGAAGAAGATGACACGTGTTGTAGTCTTCCTCTTTTCTCCACCTACCTACTACTAGTAGTAGTAGAAGTCGTTTGTAGAGCCTAGTCATGAAAAGTCGCTTAATCGACTTCCTCAACGGTCGGGCCAGCGCCGCCAGCGCCCATGTCCGGCATGCCGCCTCCTGGCATGCCACCTGGCATGCCTCCCTCACCGGCGCCAGCGCCTGCGGCCTGGTACACCTTCATCATGATCGGGTTGGCGACACCCTCAACTTCCTTCTGCTTGGCCTCGAACTCGTCTTTTTCGGCCATCTGGTTCTTGTCGAGCCAGTCAAGGGCTTCCTTGACGGCGGCTTCGATCTTGTCCTTGTCGTCACCCTCGAACTTGTCCTTCAAGTTCGGCTCATCAAGGGAGTTACGCATGTTGAAGCAGTAGTTTTCGAGTCCGTTCTTGGCCTCGATACGAACCTTGTTGCTCTCGTCTTCCGACTTGTACTTCTCGGCCTGTGATAGTGGTGACGTGCGGAATTACAGAAGTGAGAAAAAATAAATTGGTTTGCAACATGGACTGAAAAAGAAACTTCTATTGATGAAAAAACAGAAGGTAGCCCAAGGTAAGGATTTCAAGTATGTTGGACAAATTACCTCAGCGACCATGCGGTCGATATCGGCCTGCGACAATCGTCCCTTCTCGTTGGTAATCGTGATCTGGTTGCTCTTTCCGGAGGCCTTGTCCTGAGCAGACACGTTCAAGATACCGTTAGCATCGACATCGAAGGTGACTTCGATCTGCGGGACGCCACGCGGGGCAGCCGGAATACCATCGAGGTGGAACTTACCGAGAAGGTTGTTGTCCTTGGTCATGGCACGCTCACCCTCAAAGACCTGGATCAACACACCCGGCTGGTTGTCAGCGTAGGTGGTGAAAGTCTGGTTCTTCTTGGTTGGGATAGTCGTGTTTCGCTCGATCAACTTGGTCATGACACCTGTTGTAGTAGAATGGGAAGAGAGGAATGGATGGGGAATATTTCGAAAATGTCACAACAGCTAAAATGTCATGCTGCAAGTTGTTTTTTAATTGTCATCTAATTCTCATTGATCCTTTCGTCTGTAACAAATGCTACCTCCAGCAGTCTCGAGACCCATGGACAATGGTGCGACATCCAACAACAAGATATCGGTGGTGGTTGGTCCTCCCTGGTTGGTCAAGATAGCGGCCTGGACGGCGGCACCGTAGGCGACAGCCTCATCCGGGTTGATAGACCTGTTCGGCTCCTTTCCGTTGAAGAACTCCTGAAGGAGCTGCTGGACCTGAGAACGGGTTTTATGTGAAGAACGATGAATCAAGACGAAGACAAGGATGCAACGAAAGTTTAGAAGACATTCACAGATTCAAAACGGACAACTACTCTGTTCTAGAGTATAAGTCAATACGACTGCTTTTCGAAAATATATAGTTTCTTATACCTTCGGGATACGAGTGGAACCACCAACGAGAACGATCTCGTTGACGTTCTTCTTGTCGACTCCGGAATCACGGAGAGCCTTCTCAACTGGCCCCATAGCGTTACGGAAATAATCCATGTTCAACTCTTCGAATCTGTTTTGAAGTGATGTTGATGTACAATGATAGTTGTGTTGTGCTGTTCGGATGTGAAGTGTCCATACTAGTTGTAACACAGACTGACATAGATGGAAAATGGGTCTTGGCTCTTCCTTAGTTTTTTCTAGTCGCAGAGCTGGTCATTGAAGAAATTCTGCTCTCTCTAAATCAAGAGTCAGAGAAAACAGTTGCTATTACCGTGCTCGGGAAAGAGTGCAGGAGAAGTCGATTCCCTCGAAGAGAGAGTCGATCTCGATGGTGGCCTGGGTGGAGGACGACAGGGTACGCTTGGCACGCTCGCACTGAGTGCGGAGACGACGGAGCGCACGCTGGTTTCCGGTCAAATCCTTTCCACGGTTCTTGCGCTTGAAGTCCTGGACGCAGAAATCGACAATACGGTTATCGAAATCCTCACCACCCAAATGGGTATCACCGGCAGTGGCCTTCACTTCGAAGATACCATCCTCGATAGTGAGAAGAGACACATCGAAGGTACCTGTTTTTGTTTGTGAGGAAAGCTTTAGATTTCTCTGTAGACCTAGTCTTGCAGAGTGGACGCTCGTATGATGGCTTTAAATCACATGCACTAGCCTTTAAGTGCATACAACACACAACGTGCAGTTTCTGAACCAACAACATGTAACCAAATCCTTTCTTCTCAGATCTCAATTCGCATATTATCCGGTGTTTAGAAAAAAGTACCGCCTCCCATATCGAAGATCAAGACGTTCTGCTCGCCTGCTCCCTTCTTGTCGAGACCGTATGCGATGGCGGCGGCCGTCGGTTCGTTGATAATACGCAACACGTTCAAGCCGCAGATGGAACCAGCATCCTTGGTGGCCTGACGCTGGGAGTCGTTGAAGTAAGCCGGGACCGTGACGACGGCGTCATTGACGGTACCTCCCAAGTAACTCTCGGCAGTCTCCTTCATCTTCGTCAAGATCATACCTGAGATTATGGTAATTGGAGATTCCGTTGGACGTATTTTTCCCGTGAGGTACTATACGTGCAGATTGCTAAGCTATTGCTTTTCAATATGACGCTTCCCAGTGGTAATGAAAAATACTTCAACGAATAATCTAGCATCAGTGACACTAACACACATGAAATTGCGGTCGTGACCTCGTAAATCTAAATCATCTTTCGCAAGATATCAGACACATCAAGAGCCCAGTAAATCAGAGCTAAATCTAAATGTGGTGAAGTATTGGTTTAGTACTGGAGATTTCTTCCGGGTGGAACTTCTTCTCCTCCGCCTGGTATTGGACGACGATCATGGGCTTATCGCCGGATCCGGAAATGAGCTTGAACGGCCAGAGCTTGGCATCGGATTGCACAACCGTGTCCGTGAACTTACGACCGATTAGACGCTTGGCATCGAAGACGGTGTTCTCCGGGTTGCGTGCGGCCTGATTCTTGGCGGCATCACCGATAAGACGCTCGGTGTCGGTGAAAGCGACGTACGACGGGGTCGTTCGGTTACCCTGATCGTTCGCGATGATCTCGACGGTGTCGTTCTTCATGACACCGACGCACGAGTACGTCGTACCCAAATCGATACCAACAGCGTAAGACTTGGACATCTTGTCGAATCAATTTCTTTGAAAAGGATAGAAACTAGAATGAGGAAAAAACGAAATTCAATAAATTTCGAAAAACGAAAAGTTGCTTCGGATAGGCCTGTTAGGAGGATATGAAGTCGATTCCGAGTGGTGGAAATGCACAGCGCAGTAACCTTTAGAAAAGATCACCAGTTCAACGAGTATTTGAATTCTTTGGATTTCTAAAACACTTTTAAATTCACAAATGGTGAGCTGACGAACGATTAGCCAGATCTAAGATTAAAAAGCTTGATCGAAGAACTTTCCTTTTCTTGTCTGAACTGAAAGTTAGTAGGGGATCTTCTGAATGTCTTCAGGGTGAAAAGTTGTTCCTCTAAATTCGGATTTTACAAGTGCATGCCTGGAACGATGAGGATCAGGGAGCCTTCATTCACCAAATTGGATTTACGTTTCGGTTTGGATCTGCACTGTAAATATGACTGAGCTTTGATCGTCGCAATAGCAGGAGTGGACCAGATCATTGTTTCATCTCTTGCCAGAATCTTTCCAAAGCCTTTTGGCGCTGCAGAACACGATCTAAATCACTCTGTGGAAAATAGGGGACCTCGGCACTGTCATTCTCTCGGGCCTTATTTCTCAATTTTTGAAAGGCGACTCCGACAATCTAAATCTGATTTCTGGTAGAGTCGATCAGATTGAACAACGGTTTGATGGTTTCTCATGGCATTGAACCTCTCGCGTGTTCGGGTGATTCAGACCCATGCATGACCAGTCGATCTAAATCGGTTATAATTCCGTTTAAGAATCTAAAGAGTGAGGAATTGTATGATCAATTTCAGAAGCATCTCGTCTTCGTGATGACACATTTATGACTAGCCGAAGGGAATGTGGATTCCGGGTAGTCTGTTTCTGCATGTAGTCAAACATAAATCTCGTTGAACTTGAACTACGAAATCAGTCTTTAGAACCACACGGAGACCCGTGCTGGGACACCGTAATGGTCTCGAACCATCGTAAACACCTGTATCGTCGTAGTTTGGACAAGCATCGTAAACACCTGTGAGGTAAGACGCTTGACTATAAATATATGTAAGAAGGATTCAGGTAGTAATCGTAACGCTTGTAAGAAATGAATATTTGTTGCTCGATCGATCTACCGACCGTGTTACGATCTTGAATATTGCTGTTTATCAAGTGTTATCTCACCATCCCCGGTATGTCAATGAATGGGTAAAAAGACCTAGTACTTCTACGTAAGAATTTATCATTATGAACAGGACTGACATCACATCTAAAAATAGTAGGACATACTGGTTTCTTATTTTTTGACTGTTTTACTGGAAGTCGCTTAATCGACTTCCTCAACGGTCGGGCCGGCGCCGCCAGCGCCCATGTCCGGCATGCCTCCTCCTGGCATGCCACCTGGCATACCACCTGGCATGCCGCCCTCGCCGCCGCCAGCCTGCTGGTAAACTTTCATCATAATCGGATTTGCGATGGCTTCCACCTCTTTTTGCTTCGCTTCGAATTCGTCCTAAGAATTGATGATACGTTTTTCACGTCGTCGGGTTCATTTCCCTTCCAAAGTGACAAAAACAGATCATGAATGGAGGTAATCTTTAGAAGTCGCACATCTCCACCACACAAACGCACACACCTACACATGTTTTGGATCTAAATCAGTGACTACCATCTGTCTCAAGCAGATGGTCATCAACATTCCAAAAGATATAAGTTATACCTTCTCGGCCATCTGGTTGCGGTCGAGCCAGTCAAGGGCCTCTTTGACGGCTGCCTCAATTTTGTCCTTATCATCGGCTTCAAATTTGTCCTTCAAATTAGGCTCATCCATGGAATTACGCATGTTGAAGCAATAATTCTCCAAGCCGTTCTTGGCTTCAATTCGGACCTTGTTGGTTTCGTCTTCGGCTTTGTACTTTTCGGCCTGTAGTTTGATTGTGGGTGGGAAGGAAGATGAAGCTGATCATTGATGCAGTAAGATTTAAATTGTGTGTCAATAGCGAGGAGAAACGCAGGTGATTTACTTGCTCTAAATCGTGTGCAAAGTATGGTCGTTGCTCAATTTCGGTACGGATTCAAATCTCGAATTTAGAAATACCTCAGCAACCATGCGATCAATATCGGATTGCGACAGACGTCCTTTTTCGTTGGTAATCGTGATTTGGTTGGACTTTCCGGACGCTTTGTCTTGCGCGGAGACGTTCAAGATACCATTCGCGTCGACGTCGAAAGTGACTTCGATTTGCGGAACGCCACGCGGCGCACCCGGGATACCATCGAGGTGGAACTTTCCCAGAAGATTGTTGTCTTTGGTCATAGCACGTTCTCCCTCAAAGACCTGAATCAGCACACCAGGCTGGTTGTCGGCATAAGTCGTGAAAGTCTGGTTCTTCTTCGTCGGGATAGTCGTGTTACGCTCGATCAGTTTGGTCATGACACCTAAATTTTTTGAATACTCGTGTTCTTAGGGGGACCGAAACACTTGTTCATCCAGAGAGAAATAACTGTCAAAAAATGCTGTTGTACGTCGTAGTTGTATCGCAAATCTGAAGTGTTCTGAAGGTCTTGGTCATGGACCTGCATCTCGTGTCTACCCCTCTCAAGTGTCTTAAATTTAGATCCGAAACAATACCGCCAGCAGTCTCGAGACCCATGGACAGCGGAGCCACATCCAACAACAAGATATCGGTAGTGGTGGACCCACCCTGGTTGGTCAAAATAGCAGCTTGTACCGCGGCACCGTAGGCAACAGCCTCATCCGGGTTGATCGATCTGTTGGGCTCCTTTCCGTTGAAGAACTCTTGCAGAAGCTGCTGGACCTATAGTGGGGAATGTCATGTCATGGAACCTCGTTTGTAGTTGCACGTGACTACCGATGAGGTCAGCCAGCAAAAGCTTCTTGTTTGGACCAAAAGAACATGCAAACTCTCTGCTTCATCAGACTCATATGCCTTAAGATTCACTACCTTCGGGATCCGAGTGGAACCGCCGACCAGGACAATTTCGTGGACGTTTTTCTTGTCAATTCCGGAATCGCGGAGAGCCTTCTCGACCGGGCCCATAGAGTTTCGGAAATAATCCATGCACAACTCCTCAAAACTGTGAGGAAAAAAAAAAGTTCAAATCACGTGCAGATTTGGCAGGAGCTGAAAGTTTAGACTTCTTCATATTTCCGAGAGAATAAACAGTCAAAATTTTCCGACATGAGACCTCGAAATACTATAACGTGAATTTCGAAAATCCAAAGAATCCTTACCGTGCACGCGACAAGGTGCAAGAGAAGTCGATTCCTTCAAACAAGGAATCGATTTCGATTGTCGCTTGCGTCGAAGACGACAGGGTGCGCTTGGCACGTTCGCACTGCGTGCGCAGACGACGGAGCGCACGCTGGTTTCCGCTGAGGTCCTTTCCACGGTTCTTGCGCTTGAAATCCTGCACGCAGAAATCGACAATCCGGTTGTCAAAATCCTCACCACCCAAGTGCGTATCGCCAGCGGTCGACTTCACTTCAAAGATACCATCCTCAATGGTCAGCAGAGAAACATCGAAGGTACCTGTAGATCACACACACGACTCTGTCGTCGTCACCAAGGAACGCGTTGTGGCGTTTGAGATGAGGAAGATTGTTGCTGACTGACGTCTAGATTTTGATGTAGCGCTAGTCACGCCACAGAGGAAGAGCAGAAGCGTTTCAGGACTATCAATTGGAATTTAGATTCCGTCAGGCCAAGTTTTGCAAACTTGTCGGTCCGGTATCTAATGAGTCTCATCATTCTAAAGCTTCTTCTCTCTCTGTGGCTCGTAGCCTAGTCCATTCGGATCTAAAAGGAGCTTGCAGTTCAGACTATCAATTGGAATTTAGATGCCTTCAGGACGAGACTACCCGTCATTCAGGTTCTAAAAAGGGATCATCACTTGTTTTTTGGACTGGAAAATTCACTTTTCTGATTTCTTTCCATGTAGTAGCTTTAGGCTTAGATTTCTTTCGACCCATGATCTACTGGGAACTTCATAAGACAACTTAAGTACCTCCTCCCATATCGAAGATGAGGACGTTCTGCTCACCCGCACCTTTCTTGTCAAGGCCATAGGCGATAGCGGCAGCCGTGGGTTCGTTGATAATACGCAACACATTCATACCGCAAATAGAACCGGCATCCTTGGTCGCCTGACGCTGAGAATCGTTGAAGTAAGCCGGGACAGTCACAACGGCGTCGTTTACAGTGCCACCCAAATAAGCCTCGGCTGTCTCTTTCATCTTCGTCAAGATCATACCTAAAAAATCAGGTTGTAACTAAAATCAAGACATTTCCGCCTGTCATTGCATCTAAATTCCAGAAAATCTTCGAATTTCCAAGCAGACAATTACACATACTCGCTCCTCTTTGACCGAGAAACAAAACATAACAAGTTGTTGTTACTGGAGATTTCCTCCGGATGAAACTTCTTCTCTTCCGCCTGGTACATGACGGAGATCATCGGCTTGTCACCTGAACCAGCGATGACCTTGAACGGCCACAGCTTGATATCGGACTGGACAACCGTGTCGGCGAACTTGCGGCCGATCAGACGCTTGGCATCGAAGACCGTGTTTTCCGGGTTGCGCGCGGCCTGATTCTTCGCGGCATCACCGATCAAACGCTCGGTATCGGTGAAAGCGACGTAGGAAGGAGTGGTCCGGTTACCCTGATCGTTGGCAATGATCTCGACGGAGTCATTCTTCATGACACCGACGCAGGAGTACGTCGTACCCAAATCGATACCAACGGCAAATGACTTCGCCATCTTCTTTGTTTTTGATGTTTTACTCAATTCAACTAACAAACTACTATGACTACTCGTACCCTTATTCTAATTCTAATTCTAGTCCCAATCAAGAATTGTTCGGTGAAGCAAGTGTGATTTATGCGTTCTAAACAACTTATTTTGCTCTATGCAGATGATCAAGGTGACCAGGCAGAACCACGCATTTACCAATAATTCTTGAAACACCGCACAATTATCAATTATTTTTCAGAAAAATTAGACCGTAGTCTAATGATGTCTTCTTAAGCGTTGTCGTCTGCGATGCAGTCCACACATGACAATGAAGGAAAAAAATGGGTTCTCGCGGTGTCTCCATTGATCAATTGCTCGTGGATTTTTGAGTACCGTGGAGAATCATGGACGAATTGATCCTTCGCTACTGTAGTCGTGGATCTGTATTGCATTTCTCTGTATGATCATCTTCTTGAGCATTTCAATGCATTCTATTTCCGCGCAAACATTTCCGCGCGCTGCTGCCTTCGCCCTCTGTGCGCCTCGCAGCCGCGCAGAGAATATTGATTTACTCGTGAACGAGTTACAAATCATTAACTTTGCGGACAGAGTCCTGTCAGGTGCTTCAACATGAATCTGAATCAAATTCAATTTGCAGATGGACGTCGGTCGGAGTTCTCATTAAATTTGTTCGAGATGAAAAACCCGAGAGAAACGGCGCTCAGCAATTTTTCTTTCCTCGCATGAATGTATCAACAAATTTAATTTTCTCAACGAGAAGATGCGTCACTGACAATGAATGCTGCTTGTAGCCAGGCTCGCCAGGCTTTTGCTCGTAGAATCCAAACCCTTCCTCCATTTGCTACTGAGTGAAGCCCTTCCTCTTCAATTTTCGACCAACAAAACTTGTGCATTTCTTCTCTGTTTCTTATACGAGTAGCAGTCGGGCCCGAGGACGGCTCAAAAATTCGTTTCCGTAAACCAATGCGTACTGCCGCGTTCTTTCTCCAGAAGCCAACCAGATCTCGCACGAACCCACGCCGCGCTCCCCAGGTCCGTAAATAGACAAGCCTGGGTGCTACGAAGCCCATGTGAAAAATACGATAAGATTAGAATATTTTACCAGATGCTGCCTGCCGGGGTGTAAAGTAACTGCTAGTGGTGCGGCAACGACGAAAGATCATTTAGCCAGCCCCTGGCATTTCAATCCGAGCAACACCTTTCCAGAGGAGCGCTCTTGCGCCATCAACGCGCTTCCTGCACAAAAACAACTTGCCTATGTCATAACTCAGTCGTACACGACGCAATTGCGACAACGCCGACATTCCAAGCGCTCGACGCAACACTACTTCAAGCACAGCAAGGCCACGGCTGCGATTCAACCTCCGTTTTTTCCGCTTCCACTCACAGTGCTTCCTAAAACTTTGCTGAATTCGCCTGGCTGGTTCGTGCAAGGAATGCGAATTCAAGCCACAACTAGTACTCCCTACAGCAACAGCAAACCCAGGCATGCTCGTCCAGTGTCCTCGTTGGGAGAGTCGAGCAGAGGCGTGCTGCAGAAAGGAGCGTACGTCAGTGGGGCACGTCGGCGAGCGCAAGTTGGGATCACTGATTTCTTCTAGCCTCGCTTCATCTATCGTCACTAACTTCTTTGCCGCACTTGGCGCTGGCGGACTACGTCCAATGCGTAGGTCTCCTTTGCTCGCATAAGCCGAGCTCTCGAAGCCCCTCTCACGAGGCAACAAACCATTCCCCACCAGATCAAAGCCTGCGTCGGCATCCTCCCCCATACTCACATCGCCACTCGCCTCTGCCTCAATCGCCTCTAGCGCATTAGCGATGTCTGCAACTTGCAAACGGAACCGCTCTAGAGGGTCCTCCATGTCTGCGGGAAAGGCCATCTTTGTCTACTGAAGTAGATCTTCAAAAAAATGGTGTCTTTGATGTGTCTTGAGACAAATAAATGCATCGTAGTGGCAACGGCTGGGAATATAACATAAGTTCGACTCAGTTTAGCAAATTTGCTGACTGCGAATTTTCCGACAAACACTACCGCGTCAGAAACGGATGCTTTGAACCAGCATCCTCGTAAGGAATCTCTTCTTTGTTGCACGCCTCTCTGCGCGGTGTTTCCTTCATCGTTAAATTTTTGAGAATTGCGACCGCTTAAATCCAGCATTCATGAGAGCCAGCAAAGTTTTAAGAGTGCAACCAATTGACTCAGAAAGGAAGTCCTTGGGAGTAAATTAGTTCAACAGTAGGTGCTGGCCAGTGTCCTCTATAGAACTGGCGAATTACGTGGGTTGACTGAACCCCTCCAGCTGGTCATTCACAGTGCTTTTACTCATTCACAGGTGTGTGACAGATACGAAGACAACTAATGAAGATAACAACGTACTAGTCTGCTTACGTTCTTCTTATAAAAATGGCTAGCAAATTATACTGTATTTCAATTGAGGTACGACTATGAGAGACACGCGTTCGTCGTATGCGATAAGCTTAATTTCTGATTAGACTACAGCAGCCACACAGCGCATTTTCTCTAGCATTGTTCGTTCTCAAGTTCTTCCTGTAATATTCTTGACGCAGTTCGAGTAAAAAACCTGTATTGTTGTAGTTCTGACGAAGGTTGAATGATTTGTTGCGAAATTTTTAGACGAATCGAGCTCTGCAAAGTACTTGAACCTAAAGAGTAGTTTCGGTGTTTTCCAACACAACTGCTACTTAAATTGCTAATCCTATTTCTAATCGGCAATTCACTAGGAGATCATCTGCCAGTTCTAGGAGATCATCTGCCAGTTCGACTCATCTGCCGCGATGCACTCCTCAAGAATCCCTTCAAGAATTACTTCTTCAGATTCACGCCTGCTACACCGTCCTTGCCGACAGAGATGTCAACATGCTTTCCGGTCTTCTGCACCATCTCGTCCGCACTCAGCTGCTTGGCCTAGAAAAGAAAGAAAAGAAGGGTAAAGCAAAAAATGACACAGCTACTTCACCCTAGACACGAGATAGAAGATGTGATGATCTTTGCCAGCTGGAAAACAAAAGAATAAATAGTTCCTATAGCTATTTCCTGAAGAATAGGTCAGAAGAATAAATGAGAAGAATAAATCACCGCCGCTCCACCGGTCCCTTTCGTTGCTGTGTTGCTGTCCACAAGAATGAGTCGGTCTCTCTCAACGTGCAAGCGATTGGCCACTAGTGAATAATCCCCATTGCATTCCCTGTATATTCTGCGGTGGTTCTTTTCGTTGACCTGTCATTTTGGGGAAGGATTACGTGGTAGTGACGATGATGATGCGCTGGTCGAAAGATCCACTGTCTTCTCATTAAGGGAACATTTTTCACAAGAACTCGTACCAGAAGCTAACATAGAAGTACCAGAAGCTCAAGCGTCTTTTGTGTGTCTCCATCGTAAGCACTGATAGTAAGCGTCCTGCCGTCTGTCGCCATTTCCACTAGATAATAGCTTTCGCCGATCTTCTTACCTACGAGCGGCAGTACGGTTGACGTGGGTGCTCTAACTAGTTGTAGTGGTACGGTATCATGCCTCTTTATTGTGATTTCCTAGGTGGCTTTTTTGAACTCATTCTGCATGCTAGCTACAGATTCGTGATAAGAAATTATAAATGAAGATGAATCTTCATCCATAGAAAAATAATCTTCATCAAGCGGCTAAAATAACCGAAGCGGCTAATCCCATACCTTCGCGACTTAGCGACCAGCTTCGGCGGTGCGTTCTTGCGAGCGCAGCCGCCACACCTCCAGTGAAGACAAGGGGAAACGAGTAGCGGCCGCTGTGGTAAACCCATCGCTGCCCGCTACGATAGGACGGGGGCCGAGATAGGTGGTGGCGAACAAAGAACGAGCAGGGAGGAGACAAGAAAGGAAGCACGCGAAGACAAAAAAGAACGAAGACAAAACGAGAACGCGAAGAACAGTGCACGCAGGCCGCAAGAACGTCAACCAAACCCGGACGCGCCTCGCCGCCAGGTGCTACCTACGCGCAGTCGCCGCCGCCAGCAGCACGCCGCGCCTGGCATGCCACAAAAGCCGCAGCTGGCGGGGACTGTGGCGACCTGACATGAAACCATAGTCGATCGCAATGACGACCATAGCACTACATACACAGAGCACAAAGAAATCCGGCGGGATCGTACGCGTCGCCCGGAGCGCATCAAAACAAACAAACAAACAATCTTCATCAAGTAAAATTGTACCTTCTTTCAGCACATATTTCAAGTCCGCTGGTTTTTCTCCGTAGTTGTCTAGCTTACTTGTTCCATCCGGCTGTTTAGCCATACTCTCCATCTCCTGACCCTCTTGGATTTGCCCGCGTCGTAGCACAAGCGGATACTCGCAGCAATTCTTCAAATATGACTGAGAACGCCTGAGTGATAGGGTGTGAGAGACAGGAATGTGAGAGACCGGAATGCGAATGTGACTGTTTGAACAAGATAGAGTTGCGGAAGATTGACAAGTGTTAGTCCCCTATCTGCAAAATAAACCAATTGCAGCTGTACTTGATCGCATTGGAACAATTACCAGCACTTACACTAAGCCAAGTAGTGGTACTTGTAGCTCTCCTCCCACTTCACGTGGTTGTACATGGGCTGTGCTCTTTGAATTCGCTTCAGGATAAGCTGATTTTCTTTCGTAATTCTGAGAAGCTCTGCCTTTCTCGCGTCCTGGTGGTGTTTTGAGGATGAGCGGGTAACCTTCTTGCTGCATAAGGCGGGATGACGTCGTCATAGACAGAAAAATGAAACGACAGTACCAAAAGCGCATCGTCATAAACCAAAATGAACTTTCTTCTGTGCCCATCGGTCCATCCCACAACGAAAAAAGGAGGTACCCTATTCATGCTGACGTGCTGTCTTGTTGCACTCCCTGCTTTCGGCTGCATAATCGCACTACTTCGCATTATGTCGGACATTTTTTGAAGCAATATCCTGTTCTCCCTATCGATTTCGCCGTATCTGTATTTGTGGTCAAGGACTGAAAGAACTGCTTCAGAAAACAAAGACACACAAATAATGAGATTTACCTAGGACTTTGCAAAGTCAGTATTTCTATGGAGTAAATTTGTAAGGTGGACTTCCATCAAGTCTCCGTAGCATCTGCAGCAAGTAAATATCAGTTCCTTGAAGATGCTTGCCCAACATCAACAAAGACAACAAAGCCTGTGAAGGTGAATGTCTACCTCTCCTCCAGCAACTGTTCTCGCTTCAAGTTGTTCCTAATGTGGTCCAGCCGCAAACAAGTCGGCTCACTCGTATCGATGGAGGGCTGCATTGTTCGGAGTTTTTCTCGGTGCAAGTGCTGCCTCCTCTCCTCATTCCTCTTCTCGCATAAGCGAGACCCAACCGGCTTTTGGCGGTACATGATGATGCTGCTATCTTGTCACTTTTATATGTTGTAGTTCCGCGGACGACGTAATTTGGCTTATTTCAATTCCTGATTACTAAGAAGATGGTATAAAAATCGGGGTACTACTGGTAGTTGTGAAAACACGGGCAAGGCGGGATGATGTAGGCTGAAGTTGTCTGTCGCATATGATGTGCGCCGGAGACTAGGAGACCCCGCGTTTCGAAAACGGAGTTGAACCGATTCTTCCACCACTCAAAGTTGGTACACTGGTACGCGTAGCGTGCTTACGTCGGCTGACGGTATTGTGCTACTTCAGCGTGTCGTCAGTAAACAAAAACTTCTTCTGCCTTTACGAATCAGCCTTCCGGTTAAACCGAAAAGATTCGTAAGTGTTAGAGGGAAACGAGTCGACACCCTCTAAACGGAAAAGGCGTTCGTAATTTTCTTCCGTCTAAACCGAAAAGATTCGTAAGTGTGCTACTTCAGCGTGTCGTCAGTAAAAGGGTAAGCCTACTGCCTTTTGCGAGGTCGAGGCCTATTCCCGGGTCGACCAGCGGGGACCGCGTGATGGTCCCTCAATTGGGTTTCGATTCACCATGCTCCTTTGTTTTTCAGTCATCTTTTCACGTTTTCAAAAAAATAACAATTTTTGTTCTTATCCAAGAAGCTTTTTGTTTGTCCTACAATGAGAGACTGAGTCTGAGGGCTCCTCCTTTTCTTTCCCGTCCTTCTAGGTGGGGGTCAAAATTTTAGTTATTCTTTCCAACGAAGCGATGCTTTGGAAGCGAACGATTGAGGTATGCTCTCATCCTGTGTTGGCACGACAAACTCAAGGAGGTGCTTTTTCTATTGTCACGAACTTCACTACAGTCACTTTTCTGAATGGCGAAATTTTCTAAACGAATACGAAAACCAAGTGTCATTCTTCGAGAAGGACTCGCAATCCTCTTGCGAACGTCACAAGTAGATCTTACGGTCAACAGCCAAAGCGAAAAGCAAAACTATTGCTTGCTATAATTTGATCTAAAGCAATTCATTAAATACAATCTAAGCAGCAACTGTTACAGCCGCGAGGTGTAACAATAACCGCGCATCCGTCGGTCTTCAAGTAAAGTTTCTGTCTTGCAAACAGCCTTGATGTGCAAGTCCCACCACCCCCACCACTTCTACAACATCCCATCTTTCTCGCGCTGCCGGTAAATCAAGTAGGTGAATACTGCAAGGAAAACGATAAAGACGCCGAGTGCTTCCAGTACTGCTCCATCATTAGAGGTCCTCCTGATCGTCTTGTTCCCCGTCTACCGCAGCAGCATGGTGGCGTTTCTTTTGACTAAGAAACTGTAATCCTGAACAAGTGTTGAAGACGCTAACTCGAGAGAGCACCTACGCTTACGGTTACCTGTACTACTCAAACTAAAACCATTCTTAACATTCGGTGGTCTATTCAGCGGAACCGGCTTAGCACTCGGTTGGTACTCGACTGCGTTGCCATGGCTATCGACGTTGATGGGCAGTCCAGTGACAGGATCTACCCCAAGCGATCCGCCAGCAGGCGGTCGAACACTAGCCGAGGATGTGAAGTCCATGTACTTTTGATGTTTGAGGGATTTTTTGAGATAAGGTCTTTTCCTTGTAAAAACTAACTACATCAAGAAGCTTCTGAGGAGCATGTCGAGAAAGTAAAGTAGGTCTCGCGCAGAGCAGCATCGGTTTTTTTTTCTAGATTTAGATTTAGAAGGGCCCCCGCCTCTGCCCTGCACATCAAGCGCCGGATCGGCAGAAAGTACGATTGGATCCTTCTATCGTCCCCAGCCATGCACGCCTCTACATTCTCGTCCACGCCTCAAAGATTTCCATAGATTTTTGATTTCTGCACTCCCCAGTACATTCAGATGTTAAAACATTTTTCAAAAAAAGTCAGGAAAGCAATATTCATTTTCCACGGAGTCGCGTATTGGGCTCACGCATCCTAATGTGATTGTGATTGGTCCTTACTATGCAACTACCGAAGTACGTAAATCTATGTGGAAGTCTCTATCGAGGTACCTATGCAAAAAAAAAATTGAAGCCGTGCTTGTTCTTACGTCTTACGTGTACTCATCCCATGTTGAGGTTTGTTTGAAGATGCTCAATGTTCATAGACCTAATTTAGTCTAATTTTAGGTTTAGTAAAAATATGCCAGGTTCATTCTCATCTAAATCTACTTGATCTCCTGAAGATACTACAAACTAGTATGTGAAGATGTTCGATAGAACAAGTGCTACTAGTCTTCTAGTGAAGATATTATTAGAAGTGCGAGTCGTGTTCCGCAGTTGTAGTCTAGTAAAAATATGCTAGTGAAGATTCTCACAACTGTAAGAGGGAAATTGAATCAAATTCTAAGCGTTGACCTGTACCATAGAGCTCGCATTGACAGTAACATTAACCAGAAATTCGTTTTATTCTGTACCAAAATACCTCTTATCCGAAATTTAAACAATGTGACTTACTACGTACTTGTAGTCTTGCTTGGTGATCATGTTTTTAGTAATTGACCTTAAATTCTCACTCCTTCTACTAGGGACTTCTAGAAGATTCGTTGCATGTATACTGATCTGCTACCCGAATTACTATGTGGTCCTAGTAACACATGCTCATGGAGGTTCTTTACTTGCATAGAGTACATGCCAAAAACTTTCATGGTGCAGCTGCGCATCTCTTCTACTAGAAGAGACAAGCAAAGTCTCTCTCTCCGTAGCAGGATATCATTATTGACTGAATCTTCACCCGAGACTATATAGCCGTCTTGAATTACCAGTTCGCGAACGGATCCCCGGAACCTGCAACCGGTGGTGGAAGCTCCAAACTATCCGGGATCTGCTCGTAGTTGCTCATGTCCATTTCATCTGGCGGAAAGAAGTTGAAAAAACGAAAGTGTTTCACGATGTTCTTGCTCAGTCAGTGGAAAAAACGCCGCTTCCAGTCCATGTCTAAATACAATCAATCAGCTTAATTCAATCAATCAGTCATAATCTGAAGACATGGATGGAACGGGCTTCTTCAATCAATTGTTTCTACTGTCCTCCGTGACATTTTTGCAATGTAAATGACGGTGTTAAGAATAGTATCCCTGACTTTTAAATATCAAACTTTAAATCCAAGTACTGCTTTGCGGCGGAAAAAACGGCGCTTCCAACTCGTACGTCTTCAACTTATTCCAGTCCATGTCTGCGTACCATTTGTGCTGGAAGATGTCTTGACTTCCTTTCACCAGGTTGCGCTTTTTAGAAGCGGGAGGAGGAGGAGCACGGAAGTTGTGGAAAACCAGCTCGATAGGACAGTTAAAAAGTCGTACTATGAGTGTCGAAAGTCAATTTTCTACCAGAAACAAGAGGTCTAGAGCGAAAGATTTTTCTGAGCTCCATTTTCTTCAGTCCTTTTGATATTGTTCAGCCATAACGTATCGCTTACTCAGGTCCGCTGTGAGCAGCTTCTTGACCAAGCCGCGGCAGTTCTTATCGAAGGTCCTATTTTGCGGCGGAGGATAAGGAGTTCTATTCAAGAGGAACCGAAACTAGTCCTGAAAAGATTCAATGAAGACACAATAGTTTCGCTGAAGAAGCACATTGGTCATGGTCATGTACTTCAGGTCGAACGGTCGCTTATCAAGTTTGAAGCAAATCTTACACAGAGCCACGTGGGCCGCCTCAAACGGTAAGCATTTTACATCGCGAAGGCTGTTCATTTCATGCTGCCTCTTGTGTCGCTATTAGTGTCTACTTGTGAGGCCACCAAGTCTGACAGTGCCTCCGTTGGAGAGCCGTCCTACCGGTCATCATATTGTTCTAATCTTAATATTGTAGCAACCAAAATACTTTGTAACAACTGTCGCCTAAAATCAAATACACAAACAAAATACTTTGTAAAGAAGATCTTTCCTGCAAGGATTCTCTGATAAATGTTCATCGGGTCTTCGTCGCAGAATGGCGGCTGTCCGACAACCATTTCGTATATGAGGATACCTGTTGCCGATCCGAGCAGAAAGTGCAATGGGAGTATTGGGAATGGGAGTATTGGGAATGGGAGTATTGGGAATGGGAGTATTGGGAATGAGAGTATTGGGAATGGGAGTGTTGTGAATAATGGGAGTATTCGGAATGCGAGTATTGTGAATAATGGGAGTATTCGGAATGCGAGTATTGGGAATGGGAGTATTGGGAATGGGAGTATTGGGAATGGGAGTATTGGGAATGGGAGTATTGGGAATGGGAGTATTGGGAATGGGAGTATTGGGAATGGGAGTATTGGGAATGGGAGTATTGGGAATGGGAGTATTGGGAATGGGAGTATTGGGAATGGGACTATTGGGAATGCGAGTATTGGGAATGGGAGTATTGTGAATAAGTGGAGTATTCAACATCTCAGCCAGTTGGGAGTGCGGTAGTGGTTGTACGTCTCAACATGATCAAAAATACCAAACAGTTACCTTCCGCAATTGTCACAGCTAGTTGATTGAGAGTACTAACCGTCATGATGTACGTAGTAGCGAGTAACCTCATACAAATATGGCATTGCCTCTATATAAGTAATTCTAATTGTTGTAGTAATAGTACTTAGTATTAATGTAGGTAGTACATAAGTACATAGTTGTAGTAAGTCTTCTAAACCCGCCCATATAAGTCATTGAATGAATGAATGAATGTACCCACTCCAGGGGTTTAGAAGACACTACTACTGACATTAGTTAGAGGTTTTTTCTTCATGTGTTGATTGCGAGTATCAAAAACCCTCACGATTCATACTTAGTAGACGTACCAAGTGTCCACCAGTCCACTGGCTTGCTGTGTCCCTTGTTCAGCAAAACTTCTGGCGCTATGTATTCCGGAGTACCGCACAGAGTGTAGGTCCTGCTTCCCGGTTCTACTATTTTCGCGAACCCAAAATCGGTCAACTTGGAATAGCCGTTACCTTTTTTGTAGAAAAGAAAAATCTTCTAACGACTAGAAAAGAATCTTCTAACTATTTACACTAGTTTTTACTACACTAGAAAAGAATCTTCTAACGACTAGAAAAGAACTAACTAGTTCTACTAATAGTTAGAACCCTGATGGGGCTAAGTTTCTCCCTAAGCCCATTGGTTCTAAGCCCTAAGCCCTCGCGAAGAACTACAGTTCTAACTAATAGGACGTTAGAAGATTCTTTTCTAGTTCCATCTTCACGACTAGAAAAGAATCTCCGAAGAATCAGTCCCCAAAAAGAAAAAAAACTAGTACTCATAATCAGCAGATTTTCTGGCTTCAAGTCTCTGTGGACGATGTTCAGCGTGTGGATGTGATGGAACGCTTCTGCTACGTGAGCACTATAGAATCTTGAGGTTTCGTCTGGGAATTTATTTGCTTTTCTCAGATGCGTGAAAAGTTCGCCACCGGAGACGATCTGCGGAAAGGCAGGGTTGGAAAAAGGGGATACAGCAATTGGACCTATCTAAAGGAGAAGCAACCATTCCAAAAGTGTCAACCATCTTCCCAAAAGTATTAGTATTACCTCCATAACAATGTAGACGAATCGTTCCAAAACCATTCCGAAAGAATCAACCATCTTCCCAAAAGTATTAGTATTACCTCCATAACAATGTAGACGAATCGATCATCCTTGAAGCTGCCTTTCATTTCGACTATAAACGGATGCTTTATCTGGCTCATGAGGTTCCTCTCCTGGTTGATGTGATCCACCTGTTTCAGCTTGATAATCTCATGCTTCTTCATGAATTTCACCTGTGAGTATTTTGGCAGGCAGAGAGGTAGGTGGGCATATCGGAGAAAAAATGGGCAGACAGCTCTTGCCTGGATGAGCTTTGAAGTTGAACTCCCTGTCGCACCCAAACATGAAAAAACGCCCAGTCTAATCTGCAGCTGAGAAAAGCTGAAATCGACATTGCTTGCTAGAAAGGAGTCCTTTACAACTTTTGAGAAAGGTTATACCGCCACAGGGCTTCCATCGCTTAGCATCTTTGCGAATTTGACACGCCCAAATGAACCCACGCCAAGCGTGCGTATCATTTCGAAATCCGCTAAGGACATCGGCATCTTGGAGGGCTAGTCTGGTTTTTTCCAAATAGTCAATTTAACTTTGTCGTCGCCTCTCTTCAATCAAACAGTTATCAGTGCATTAGTGGTTGGAGTGTGGTAAGACTACTATCATCAAGCAATGTAAAGTTTCATTTCACAAAAGAAGAATAGCATTAAAAGATGGTGATTCCAGCAAAAATCGACTAGTAATAGGACTACGTGTTTAGCACCATGAACAAATAACACTTGCATCAACCAATCAATGTGAATAAACACTTACATCAATCATGCGTGCGTATCATTTTGAAATCCCTCTCGTATCAAATTTTCCGAAAACAATTTTTGTCGGTATGCTAATAGATAGATTCTTGCATACTAGGAGTCCTGAATCAATTATAGTACCTTTTCGTGTTAACACTTACGACCATAAAAAAGCATTCGCATCAAGCAATGAATTAGAAGAAGAAGCTACATCAACAAGTGCTCATTGAAAAAAAAAGGGTGCGAATCTCTCGAAAAAAACTGAAGTACTCAACCGAAGACAACCGATGAGCATCAACAGAAATGACACTCAGGAAACACTGCAATAACCTCTACCGATAAAAGATACCGAACAGCAGTTTCAATGTTGACGGATAAACTCCTTTAGGACAGCACAGAAGAAACAGAGTTCGCTTCTATCGGACAGTGTTAAAACTCCAACCTCCCAACTTTTGTGGATATTGCAACACACTTCTTAGAAAAGAACCGCATCAAGCTTTCTCATCACCAATTGGCAAAAGAGCCGGCATTCTAGAAAAATGGAAAAGATGACAGAGCAAAATCCATGGAAATGTGCACTGCGTAGATGTCTGTGCTTTTTTCTGGGTCTCCCGTAAGCCTCTTGGTTTTCTTTGAAGACCACAATGTGTTGAATCCTCCCTAAGATTGACGTCTCGATGTTGTACTTCCTCATGTTACTCCCATGGAAAAATGTTACACCCCTCAGAATGCTCTTGTTGTGGTTGTCCCCCATGCACATAGCAGAAGTTGTTCTGTCCTTGCGGATCTTCGGCAGGTTCACGTTGATCTTCAGCACTCAGTTGTATCGCAAGATCTTTTCGTAAACAGAACCGCTGCAACTAGAACCGCACACGATAAACTTCCTCAAAAAATTTATTCCGCCTTCTTCGGTCCACTTTCGGAAAACATGCGTCCGTAGAAGTACAACATACCAGAAAGTGCCTTGCTGGCTTCAATGTTGTATCCGCATCGCAATGCACCTCCATGGAAGCTCCCTGTCAGGGCAACTTCGACAGGTCGTTTCTTCGGCACCACGTCACCACCAGCCAAGCAATCGTAGCAGAGCAAGTAAAACAAAAGCCACTTCGCCGCTTTGGGGTCGAAGCATCTTAGAGGAAGATAAAGACGGGTGTGTAGTGAGCATAAAAAGTGGTAGCAGTAGTGGTAGGCACGTAGCAACAGTCACCATGAACATGAAGAAACGTATTTCAACTAATTTCTATCAGGTATTCATTCATTCATTTGAACCACGTAGCAGTTACAAGTAACTGCCTGGTTCCGTTGTGACCCGAGGTAGTTATCATGATAATTATGTAGTAGTCACCATGAGGAACCTGATCACCATGAAACAACACACCATAAGCTTTCGTTGGGTGGCAACAAATGCATCGCGTTCAGCAGATATTTCATCGTTGCTGAGTGCGTCACGCTCAACGTGTAACAAGCGGGTGCGACGTTTAGGGAGGCATAATCTGTGGGAGGTGGACATTTGTAGTTACGTGAATGAAGAAGAGAAGAAGCGTAATCTGTGATAGGTGGATAATGATCTCTCATTTCATCAAAAAGGTATCAAGATACCACAAAGCATTGCTCGCCACAACTGCGCCATTTTCGCAAGCATGTAATTTGGTCCCTGCGTAACCACGATACTGTAAAATTTAGAGCAAGAATAACGAGTAAACCAGAAAAACTGGTAACTAAGAAGACATCTTCGTGTAAAAATAATCAGTCAATCACAGATTAAAAAGGAACAGTGAAATTAGTATTTCTAGTTGTTTAGTACTATGAACGAATTCAAAAAAAAAAGTCGAGGAACAATCAGATTTTTAAAGAGTATCCTTCATCCCGTAAGATAAAGATAAAGTCCGTCACCGCAATCTGAGAGTGCGGGAGATGGACATCCGGTGCCCCTGGCCCATAAGCCTGCCAAATTTCGATTTTTTTCGACCGAATCGTAGGCTTCCTTCCCAATCGGCAAAGGCATAGAATTCGTACAGAGGTATGCGAGGCGGACCTATGAAATATTTTTGAACCATTTTAGTGTGGTACTAACTAGTGTTGCGACGACGATAGAATGTAGAGGTTTGATGTCAGACCATAACAAAAGAGTTTATCTCAGACATTCCAACAAAAAAAAACTAAGACCTTCACCCCCTTCAACGCTTTCTGAATTCCTTCCATGATGATGTCACAGCCCATGGTGACCCGGACGTGAGCTTCAGAGTCCAAATAAGTGTACATTCCTACGGTTACGTCTTGAAGGTTTGCGGCGTGTTGGTTGTTAGAAGTAGCGAAGCTCCGGTACTTCAATTAAACACTTTAGCATTGGTTACGCCAGTAACCCCAGAGCACCTAAGCATCCCCGCAATAGCGAAGTTAGCATACACACTTGAGGAACCGACACACGAATGACTCCAACCAAAAAGAACATAACTTTCAAAACTGCTAAAACCCAATCTCGGATTTCGAGTGGTTCTTTTAATATATCAGCGCCTTCCGCTCCGCTCTTGTCCACTGGAATAAAAAGCTTTCCGCACGTCTCGTTCTCCGTGAATTTTTTCAAAATATTAGAAACTACAACTACTGCTCAATCTGCTCGGTGATGATGTGAGGACCCAGCAGTACTTACAACTTCTGTACGAAGTTGCCAAGAGACCTCATCAACAACGAATAGCATAATCTCTGCCCACTCTTTCGGCCTCCGCGTCCTTACTGCCAACACGTTCGCACCATTTTGCAAGAGCGGTTGCAACGGACCCATCTCCGATCCGGCACCAAGCAAGACAAACCATTTGCCGGAAATTTCCCCAGATTTTTTCATACCTTCCATTATCCGACCAGGAACGTCGCCTTCGCACGTGCCTTTTGTTTGGACGTGGAAGTTGCAGAAGCAGGAGTAGATGATTCTATTTTCTTTGTGGAAGAATGAACTCCTTAGAAGTGTAGCAGTAGGAGTTCAATTTCGAGCATGGGAAGATGGTATCTTTTTTGTACAAAACGTAATCATCGGATGATGAGAAGGGGCATGTTCCTGCGAAGACTAATTACTTACTTCCGGTTCCGTGGGTCTGGAGCTGCTGTTGTTGAAGTGGCTGTGTAGATGCTGAGATTGAGCTTTATAATGTGGATTTCGATTTATGTAGAATTCGATTTATGTTAGCTCCAACTTCGACATTAATCAACAGCAGTACCTTTGCTTGCCCACTCTCCCAACTGTTTTTCCAGAGCCGCGCCCGACAAATTGCTGCCATAAGGAACTCCTGGCGCGGCCGCTTCCTTCAGCTTGCCATTGACAGCAGTCGTCGTGAAATAGCCACCTTATGAATGTGGAAGGGGGACAACCACGTGGTCATCTCTACATCCACAACAATACAATTACCAAAAACAGTATGAGGCTGCGGCTCGATTGCATCTCGGCCGGGTCCCTTTTCTTGGGGTCCCTTACACCTTGTAATATTCATGAGAAGAATACAGGGGAACAAAAGGGTACCGAGATGCCGAGAGAGATGGACACTAAATGTTGACCTCAAAACAGACAACAAAACAGAACAGCATAAACTTGTTGTCGATGGTTCTTTTTCTGCTAGTTCCGCGAGAGAGCAAACTTTGCCTTCTGACCTGAACGCCAATTGCTCTCGCAGTTCCCGCAACCCTGCGGCACATATCGCACTCGCTTTGTCTGTAGTCAGCAGTTCGGCTATGCGCGGAATTTGAAAAAGAGGTATGCTACTCTTGGTTAAGAAGAATTGAAAGGTAATCGAAACAACTCAACGCTCAAATCGATGTCCAGATCAGTGACAACCTGTAAGCAAGAACACAAAGTTTAAACGTATATATGTACCAGGGATGAGGGAGGCCCTGTGGACGATGGAACCTATAAATATAATCAATAATCACCAGACGTCAACCTGTGATTCTATTCCACAGTAACAAACCATAATGAATGTGTGGAGGGTAACCGAAACGCCAGTTTTTTTCGTTTTTAATTGCTTCCGCCAAAGCAGCGTCGCCACCGGCTTCAGCACACTTCTGCCAGACACCTTTTGCGACCACGGTCGTCTTGCCACCACAACTCTCGGGCCATTCGATGCCGGAAGAAGCAGACATGATTTCTGATAAATTCGGGAAGGAAAAAAACTATTTCTTGAAACGAACTCCTAAAATAGAGATGGGTCTAGGTTGTGAAATTAACCGATGGTGAAACGGAGCAACAATATATAAGAGTAAGTACACGGAAAAAATATCATTGAATCGGGTCTGATGTAAGTTGAAAATCCTGCGACAAGTTTTGACGACATCTTTTAAGTACTGGAAAAAACGCGAAGACGCGGCGGCGGGTTACTCAATCTGATACTGAGAACAGGAAATCACTAAAACTCCTTCAGAAAGGGAGGTCTGTTTTGCGTGGTCACAAAGATTTAGTTTGCAGCGGCGATAAAGTACATACACCGACGAAGATGGAAGGCCCATGATCGCTCGCAGTTTTTTGAGTGCTTCTCTTTTTAGTTCTGCAGGCGCAGCCGTGGCACACAAACACGGGAACCAATAGATACAAGTATGACGCGGCGCAGGGGCGGCTCTAAAAATGCCGATTATATAACTCGGGTACGAGCGCATTTTGCATGATTTCACTCGTGCTTGGGTAGGAGCGTGTTTTTGGTGTCACTCGCTATTTTCTTCTTCAATGTCGAATCCTAAAACACAAGTTACACAAGCGTGATCAGTAAAGACATTTTTCTCGAAGCGTCTTTTGGGCTGAAAAACTTCGTAGTCCTTTGCAACAATACTAGGATGCTTCGAATTATATTTCGTGCCAAGAACCTGAACGGGGGTACAATCAGAATTCTTGCATCTAACTTCCCGTGCCCTTTTCTTGTTTAGGGGAGGTCTGTCGACGCTTGCGGTAGTGGTGCTCGCTTTTGGTTCTGTAGTCGCCCTCGCACTAGGTGTCATCGGTGTTTCCCGAAACCAGATGTAGTCAATTCGCGTCTCATAGTGTCCAGCCGTTCCTTGCACGCCACCTCCTCTATGCAAGGACCATCGTGGTGGCTGAGAAACCAGCAAAGACGATGTGCCAGAGCCCTCCATCTTCTCCTGATATTTTGTGTTGCTGTTCGCTTCTTGTAGTCTCTGTTGCTGATTCGAAGATGAAATCGTCCTCGTCGTCGATCCTAAAATGCTATCTTTCCATCCGCTTTTCTGAAGCAAATCGGTAACCTCAAAACGAGGACTCTCCCACGAGGAGCGCGCACGCACCTCTGCAATCTCTTTCAAGTCCTCACTCGAATAGTCCTTCTTTTTAAGTGCATTCAAGTCACCGAGAAGTACATCGAAGCAGCGTCGTGGAGGCTGTTCAACATCTGCTGGAAACGCTGAACCCAGCAGAAAATCTAATTGCATCAAACGACTCTGTTCAAAGCGGTGGTCCAAGTGCGTTGCCGCAATGCGAATTTCTGCATTAGGCGAAAGTCTGATTTTCGCAACAGCAGCACTCCGCATTTCCGCTGTTTTGCGTTGCGACGACGTACAACCCGCTTCCAAGTAAACACTCTCCGCCCCCTCTTCCGTAAAGGGGTATCGCGATAGGAGTAGATTCCCCATGTAGTCGGCCCCGGCATAATGACAATACCTTAGGTCGAGAGAGGACCACAGGTTTTTTCCTGGCGGAAATTGCCACTGCAAAATTGTTCGGGGACATTCCTGCAATGCCAACACACCAACGGGCCGTGGGAATGCAGCGAAGTACTCATACAAAACCTGGGCCTCCACGTCGTTGCCACCATGTATATTCAATGTTGTGAAACAAATTTCAATCTTGGTAGTAGCCGATTTTTTCTTGGCTGTAATGCCATCGTCATCGCGTGCTTCGTTTTCGGGGTTTTCGTTGTCTACATTCGCCTCCTCCATCACCACGATATATTATGCTGTCTCTTTTGAACACAAACGATGCCAGTCTATCAAAATATTTTCGTTTGTAAGTAGCTCTGTATGCGGCACGCGCAACAAAAAAACTGCGCAAGATGTAGCGATCCTCGCCGACGCAGACCAATTTCTCTCTCCAATTTTTTACACTTCGTTATGTTCATGATTAACATGCACGGAAGGCATCACTCTCCATGTTTTCAAGAAGATTAATTCAATTGCGATCATAACAATTGCTTTGCGCTTACCTTCGCGGCGCTGCAGCGCCTTCTCACATTCTGCCAACAATGCAGCTACTCGCATTGTAGCTTTTTAGCTGGTTTCTATTGTTGACACCCATTATCTTGTCACGACTAATTCTGAGCGACGATGCCTATTCTCGACTTGCACATGCAACGACGCCCCCCACGCTGGCGTGCTTCCGTCGGCAACACTTGTCATACGAGGTGCAGTGGGTCCGCGAATAAAGCTCTCAGGGCTGTTTCAGCGAGGGCCCCCGGTTTTAAGTGTTCGCAAAAAAGCCAATTTGCAGTGGCGGTAAAGCAGCTCCAGCGACGAAGGTGGAAAGCCCGTGGTCGCTCGGAGTGGTTTGGGTGCCGCTCTTTTTCTGCCTGGGCCGTAGACAACGAAAAAGGAAAAAGAGGCGCAGAAAGCCTTCTTTCTCTCTCGTCGGCGTAAGGCCACTAGCTGGGCCACGAACGGTGCCGCCCCATCGCACCGAGCCGCGACCGCAATGGACGCGCGGGGCCCACGCTCCGCAGATTCCAGCCGCGGAGAAAAAACGATAGAGCGGAAAACCCGGCACCTCTAGCGCACGCTCGAGGGGGCGGGAGCATGGTGAAGAAGAGGCTTTCCGTAGACTGACACTGAGGTCGGACTGCGGTTGCCTGCTGCCTTCGCCTTCCCACCCTCTCTAGACACCGAGGTCGGACTGGGGTTGCCTGCTAGCTTCGCCTCCGCACCCTCCCGCCGTGGACTGCACCGCGGGCGCGGAAAACTTCGGCCGAGGAGACCGCGACCCCCAAGCCAGGGCGCCCGCGGGACCAAACGGACCGCATCCTCCTAGCCGGGGCGCCCGCGGGACCGAGGGGACCGCAGCCCCAAAACCGGGGCGCCCGCGGAAGGAAAATGGGAGGCCCCGGGCCAAGCGCGGAACCCATCCCAGGCAGCGCACGCGTGCTCCGCGGGTCTCGTCTGTGCACCCGGCCTCCGCGCCCTGGAAGCGCCGGCAGCGGTTTCCTGGGCGCGGGCGCCCGCGCCCGACCGCGGGAAGGGGGTCTACTTTGGCGCGGCGCGACAGCGCGCCCGGGGACAGCCGGCCGGGCGAGGGTCGAGGTAGCCCTTTATAGGAGGCAGGGGCGAGAGGGTCGGAAAACTGCGGGGTGCAGCACACGACCCGCCACCGGTTTTCCCGTAGGGCTCTATAGAGGGCAACCCAGACCCTGCGGCGGAACACAGCCCCCCGCGAGGTTTCCCGTAGGCCGCTATAGAGGGCGAACTCGGCCCGACGGGCTACCGGGGACCCCGCGGCGACAAGGAGGGGCCCCGGAGAATGGGCGGCGGGCAGCCTGCGCACCCGGGGCAGGCCGGTGCACCGCCATGCAGCCTTGGGCGCGGACGCGGTGGGAGGCCGCAGGAGAGGGCAGAGGCGTATGGTTTAGGCTGCCCTCTCTAGGGGCCTACGGGAAACAAATGCGGGAAAGTGGTGCGCCATTTTTCCATTAGTTTTACACGGAGTAGGCTTTTCTTGGCCGTCGCTCGTCGGCAAACAGACGCCGGGGCCCTCAATGAGGAAAGGGCGCGAACTCTTTTGCCATTAGTTTCCAAGAAAGTAAGCAGAGCTTACTCGATACTATCAACCGCGCGGCCGGCCTTTCCGTTTGCCTTCTGCGAGTCTGAACCTCAAAGGGAATAGAGGCCGCGTGGTATTTAATTCCTAAACGTTTCAGACTCGTGGGAGGTCCCTTCCGTGTGGCCATCCTCTCCCCCTCCCTTCTGCAAGTCTGAAACTATTACGGACTGGACGCCTGCCGACTCATCGCGGGCCGGCTGCTAGGCAGCTCGAAGCTGCGCGCCTGTTGTCGACTTATCGCGGGCCGGCTGCTAGGCAGCTCCGCGCTGCGCGTCTGCTGTCGACTTATCGCGGGCCGGCTGCTCGGCAGCTCTGCGCTGCGCGTCTGCTGTTGACTTATCGCGGCAGCCACGGCCTCGAAGAGGGGCGGCTTTTTAAGGGGATCACCCTCCCAACCCGAAGACGGTCGCACCCTTCAGGGAATTGCGAGGACGGCGCGCCATCTAATGGCGGGGGCAAGGTTCTGCGTATCAGCTTCGCGACAAGCAAACAAACGCGCGCACGACCGCGGACAGCCAAGGGAGGCGGCCCGTTAAGGGGGTCGCCTTCCCAAATCGAAGAGACTCGCGCCGCTAAGAAAATTGCGAGGACAGCGCGCCACCCAGTGGCGGGGGCAGGGTCCTCGGCACCAGTTTCGCGACAGGCAAACAAACGAGCGCGCGACCGCGGACAGCCAAGGCCTCAAAGCGAGGCGACTTCTTAAGGAGGAACCCTCCCCAACTCGAAGGAAGTCGCACCAGTAGGCGAATTGCGAGGACTGCGCGCCACTTAATGGCGGAAGCGGGGCCCTATGCGTCAGCTTCGCGCGCAAACAGGAACGCCCTGCGGAATCTAATGAGTGGCCTGCGCTGGCCCCGACTGTGTTCCCAGTAGAAACAGGAACCGGCGGAATCTAGTGGGGATCTGATTCCAATCGCGAGAGAATTACAGAGGGCCGGCGCATTCTCTGCACTGGTTTCCCGCAGTCCCCGACAGGGGAGGGCCCCGTCCTGAAAGCGCAAGGGCGCGCCGCGGTCGTGGGCGCACAGGCAAGACCACAGCCGCAAAATGATCAGGGAACGACCACACACCAACGCCCGGGCGCTTGTAAATAGACGCACGCCCAAGCTGGACACTGGATAGAAAGACACGACCAAAAACCCAACGAAGCTCAACCGGCTAGGTTTATGGATGGACTGAGTACAGGAATCTCGATTGAATATATAACCGAACTGAAACAGCACCAGGAGGGGCGACCCTCTGCTAATGCAATCGGCTCCATCATTCTTATCTTCTTCTTCTTGTTGCTTGTTGCTTTCTCATCTCTCGCCACTAAGGCGCAAAAACTGCCACAAAAGTGCTGACTTTTTCAGTGCGTTCGACTGGATTGATGCCACTTATTTTGGCCGGAATTCAGTGCAGAGACCTTGCATCCGTCAAGGCTTTCCGATGCTTCGACACAACAAGAGCGCCCGTCTTGGGGTTATCGGTTCGCTATGGTTTCCGTGCTTTACGCTTTTGCTTTACGCCCTTCCTGTTGCTAAAAGGTGCTACTTAATCAGCACTAGGAAAAGGGGAACACGCTGCCAACTTGAGGCGTGTTATTATCGGATCTGCCTTCGACTAGGAAAAGAAGCCCTTAGAACTTTTCTGGCGAAAACACTGACAGGAGACACTTGCTGACCATTGGAAACTGCCCAGCTTAGCGGTGTGCCAGACTGACTCCCTGCCTTCCCCTCGAAACCGATACCCGCATGAAAGTCGAAACCATTAAGGGGCGACACTTCGCGAATTCGAAACGGCTAAGGGACTCGCAAAACAGCCAGCAACCTGGCAGATTTTTTGCGAAAGCTTTCGCGCCTTTTTCGTTGTTATATGCTTTGGCTTTTTTCTTACTTGCGGCGAAAAATGTCGCGGCGTGCCGCAAGGCGTGGCGCAAGGTTTTATCGAAGCGCCGCCACGTGGAGACCGATGAGGCCTCTTGTTTGTGGCCAATCTTTTGGAAGATAGAATATGACGAAGCGAAACTGATAAGGAGACCCGGGAAACCCTTGCGGCGATTTTTGTCGGAGACGATGCGGCGGCCTTTTTCTTTTTTGTTTTGTTAATATTTGAGAAAACGAAGACGGTGCGCCAGTCTTTTTCTTTTTTGTTTTGTTAATTTTTAAGAATAGTCGAATATTTTGCGAATATTTGAGAACATTTGGAGAATATTTAGGAATATTCGCCGAATATTTGCAAGCAATTTCTTAAGTGCTGGAATGGTTTTCGCGTGAGTGTTTTAAAATAAGACGCAAAACTGCGTATCCAGTTCGTGCTATGCGGGAATCGAACTCGATGCGAGGGCTTGGGCATGCTCATCGAGTTCTGCGATAAGTTCTTCTCGTGGGGCTATCTGGGCGAGCATATGTCGAAACGCCTCTCATTAAAAGAGGAAGCCTGAAACCCCAAGGCGCGAAAACCATTCCAGCACTGAAAAAATTGCTTTCAAGTATTCGGCTAATATTCCTAAATATTCTCCAAATATTCGCAAAATATTCGAATATGCTCAAATATTAACAAAACAAAAAAGGAAAAGACAGCCGCATCGTCTCCGACAAACATCACCGCAAGGGCTTCCCGGATCTCCTTATCGGTTTCGCTTCGTCATATTCTATCATCCAAAAGATTGGCCACAAACAAGAGGCCGCACCGGTCTCCACGTGGCGGCTTTTCGATAAAACCGCGCGCGCCTCCATCATCCACCTGCTTCCACTTCTTTCATTTCGCGGGATACGCGAGAGAGGTCGTCGCCGTCTTGTGTTCCCCTGGCCTGGCTCGTTTTTGTTCCAGTTTGGTCGGTCGGTGTTCTTCTGGCCTGGCTGCTCTTGTGTTCTACGTCTTCCCGTGTGCTCTCCTCGTGTGCTCTTGCCGCGTGCCTAATCTCGGTGCCGTGGCGCGCCGTCTCTCTGGCGGCCTACGGCCGCCAGGGACGAGGGGGCAGAGGGTTGCCTTGCTGGGCTGTTCGCGCTGGATTATGTGGCGCACACCGCGCGCCCATCAGCGCCCTCCAGCGCAGCGTGGCGCGCCGTCCCTCTGGCGGCCGTAGACCGCCAGGGACGAGGGGGCAATGCGTGACCATCTCGCCCCCCGCCCCCCTTGAACAAGGTTAAGTGTTTGCGCGACTGCGAATCCCTATAACGAACCTGCGCCGAAGAGTGCGCCTCCGGACTG